CCCCCCTAAACAATTAATCAATCAAAGTCCTTTGTGTATGTTAATGATGAGGTGATGTGACATCGTCTTATACCACCATATCCGGTCCATGATCATAAAGAGACTTCGTCGTCAACAACTCTCGTTGTCTGTCTTGTCGAGTCTTCGTGCCCCACCCACACACATCAACATTACAGTCGACCGCCAATCAAACTCTAACCTTATCCTTCTCTTTCTTATTCTCTCCATCCCCAACTAATCACTTATGATAGAATATAGTCTCATTCAAACAACAAACAACAACATATTTGTAATATATCTATATCTATAATCAATCATTCAATCAATGTCATCACTATCATTATCATCCCCAAAATCTTCGACCACCGCAACAACAATGGACGAGTCAAGCATTGAGGAGATTGCTCCTCATATCCTATTTGAGATACGCAACTCACCATCTTTGATGTCCATGTCCAATAGCAACAACAACACCAGTACAGACAGCGCCAACACCCCCACCAACAACACAGACAAACATGCTGAGCTAGACTTTGTACCAATTTCCCCCATCCAGGGCTTTGGCAATGGCCGCTCCAGCATCACCTCGTCCACAGGCATGCGTCCATCGAGCCGAAATAGCGTACGTCGCAGCTCTGGTGCTGGACATCACTCGCCCTCAAACTCATTCCTGCATCTTGGTGAAAGCAGTGGCAGTGGCAGTGGGCTTGGACTTGGACTCGGACTTTCACTTGGTAATAGTAATGGCATTGGCAATAAGAGCTCAGATGACAATAGCCTGGACGTTGGTACGGGTGGCGGCATTGGCAACTCAATATTCAACAACAACATGTTCTATCAGTCCTCCACGTCTTCATTCGCGTCTCTTCCCAACCCATTGCCCGGCTCGCCACGTGTCGAGATCCTGGCCAACGAGAGCGTGCTCTCCAGCTCGACCGACTCACTCACCAACTCATACTCACTCATCAACCTGTCGTCTTCTCCATCGCAATCTGCTCCCTCATCCCCACCCTCATCCAAATCACTCAAGTTCCACAGCTTCAAACAACAACAACATCAACAGCAACAACAGCAACAGTTCCAGGTTGGCTCACCTGGTAAGGGCTACGGCTCACCAATCCCCTCGAACAACAGCAACAGTAACAACAACAACAACAACAACAACACATTGTCCCCACCTTCATCACCGCCCATGAGCTGCGGCTCTACCACACCTGTACACTGCAGCCTCAATGATTGCCTTCTGTGCCAACGTGGACAGCCAGAGATCCTTATCAAGCAGCCAACATGGGCCAGTATCATGCGCGTGGTCTTCTATACATTGAACCATGAGATGCCCGAGAAGCAGTTCTTCTCGCTCAAGACCGATGTGTACGAGTTCATGACCTCGCATTGGGACGTGCTGTGTTTGAATAAGAAGCGCTCGGACAACTGGCACAAGCAGATACAGGACATGCTGTCGCACTCCAAGAACATCTTTGACTCGGGCATGGACACATACAAGCAGAATGGTTTCTGGCGTCTGAAGCAGACCAACGACCCATGGACCATGCAGAAGGGCGGTCGCAAGGGATCGACGTCGATGCCCTCGTCACCCCTGTCCATGGTGTCCACGCCAGCGTCCGCCCTGCTGGCACAGGCCATCTCCAGCTCGTCGGCAATGGCCATGTCGGCGTCGTCCACGTCCAACTTTGCATCGCTGGCCTCCCCGCCACGCACGTCAACGCCCTCGATCAACATCCCGCGTCTAAACACATCGCCATTGTTATTGTCCCGCGTGGCCAACAACTCTGGTATCTTTGACGACTTTAAGAAGCGCTCATCCATCGAGATGCTCCTGGAAAACCTCGAGATGGACTCGCCACGCAAGAAGCGTCTCTCAGACTCTGGTGACATCCAACGCAACTATATCGATAGTCCACGCGAGGAGTTGTACATTAGCGAGTCATCAAACAACTGATCCTTCCATCAATCCATTCATTCAATCAATCAATCACATTATTTGTACCATAACTATCAATCCCCAGCAACATCAACATCAACATCAGCAACATCAACAACATCAACATATTGACTTCAATTAGCTTGTGAACATTTATACACAAGTTAAACTATACTCATCCGATTGATATATATAATATTTAATCACAAACTCAAACCACAAACTCAGCATCGACCAACACTCCACACGAGATTCAAACTCGTCTGTACACATCATCATCAATCATTCATGTAATATCATACAATCAAACCAATCAATCAGTTATAACAATCAAACAATCATTGACATTGAAGAAGTAATTCTTACATTGGAACAATAAAGATACACATAAATTATAATCATTTAATTATTTTCTCTCTTTGAGCTTGTTCCATTCAATCATGGAATATGTACATTTATGGATGTTACATCATACAACAAGTTTACCACTTCTCCTTGTTTGTTCTCAACTCCAACTCATGTGTCCATGCTGTCTTATCTTGTTGGTATAAGTTCCAATAGGTATTGGCGACTGTTTGATGGATGATGATGATGTTAGTATCTGCATCACATGTGCCAATGTTAACAACAACATACTTTCAACAGGATTCAACATTTCATCGAGTGGCCTGGTGGTCTCCTTTGAAACGTTGACTTGACCATCGATGACTACATGTGCTACGTGGATACCCTTGGGATAGTACTCTCTTGCGAGTGACTGTGCAAAGGCACGCAGTCCAAACTTGCCCACGGCGAATGGTGAGAAGTTGACTGAGCCACGCATTGAAGCAGTGGCTCCAGTCAATATGATGGTGCCCTTGTTTTGTGACAACATATGTGGAAGGACTTGCTGGGATGCTGTGATGGCACCAAGACAGTTGTTGCGCCAAGCGCTCTCATAGTCCTCAGTGGTCAACTTCTCGATTGAGCCATACTTGAATGAGCCGACGTTGTATACAAACACATCGGGATTGCCCACTCTGCTCTTGATCTCACTGAAGCCATTGATGATAGACTCTGTGTTGCCAGCATCAATTTGAACACTGATGGCTTTGCCACCAGCATCATTGATCTCCTTCTCAAGTGCCAACAGTTTATCCTTTGTACGTGCTGCCAATGCCACAGTGAAGCCCTCCTTAGCGAACCTTTAATGTAGATTAGAGTATTAATTAATTAGAATGGTGATGCTCAACTGTCAAGTGATTGATTGGGCCCAACACTGATCATACCTTCTAGCAACAGCAGCTCCAATGCCTGGACCAACACCTAATACAACGGCTATCTTTGACATTATTGATTGATTGATTATTTAATATAGATATATAATAAGTTTGTAATATTTGTTTGTTTGTTATGTTTGTTTGATTGAATGAATGATTCTATTGATTGAAGATCACTATTATAAATTGGATCGTTAATATTCATGACTTCAGAGATGGAAGGTGGTGGAAAGTTGCGGAAGTTGCCTCTATCTGAAGAATGCAATCTTCTGGAACCAATTTGAAACGACACTTTTTGACCCTAGGTCTTATACCAAAAATTATATTAAATTAAAAGATCAAATATTCTTTAAAGTCGATCTCAATTCTTTAGAAGAAAGAATAGGAAGACAAAATTCTAAAGAATATTTATCAATTTTAAAAAAGCCAAAAATTCCGCTATAAAAACATGGCAAAAATTCGATTCAAAACATGGGCTCCATAGCATAGCTGGTTATTGTACTTCCCTAGTAAGGAAGGGGTCACGAGTTCGAATCTCGTTGGAGCCTTTTTGAAAGTTTTTTTTGTTGAGCTTTTGAGGACTGTCAAAGTGTCTGAAACGTTCCCTCCTCCGCTGTTTTATCATCCAGAGCCATCTTTATTGAATTCAAAGACACTGGAAAATATAAACTGAATGATTTTAGAATAAATAATCAATTGTTTGGGTTAATTATTATCTGATTAAATGATCTCATTATTAGAATAAGTATTTTAAGATTTTTACTTAGATATATATCATGAAGATGGCTTTCGAATCAAAACATCGTTGTAAATACTAAACAGTTTATAACTAACCCGTTTGTCAAAGACGATGATGACGTTTTTTTTGACCTGTACCAAAAACACAAACGGTGCGACCTATTTTAGTTCAAAACCATCTTTTAATTAATTAATTAATAGGTTGTGAGTTGATCTATTATGATGGGGTGATTGTTGGAGGTTTTTGATTGACTTGACAGATGATGATTGAATCCAAACCTCCAGCCGCTGCATTTCAAGACACCAACACACAATGTGAGTGTGTTCCAAACATAACCAATCACCAAGTTCTGTAAAGGGGCATATATTGACACATCATATGATATGACCAACATCAAAAACGACCATCACTTCATTCAAACAAACAATCATTATTCAAATATAATAATAATGTATAATATAAATTATTTAATATTATTACTTCTTGTAATATGTTCCACAACACACGCAATATCATGCCCACCAAATACTTTGGTCGATGTTCAAGTTGATGGATACTGCCGTTCATCCACAAATCAATCACTTGCATTTGTTAAAGTTTGGAATCCATTCCAATATGAGTCAGTTTCAATGGTGGATTCGGCCACCAATCAACCAATACCCTACACATTCTCTGGTGGCTACGCTGTATTCACACCCTCGCCTGTCCAACCATCCGTCGTGCTCTCCTACGGCAACTCTGGCTGCATGTTAACCAAGTCCTACAACATCATTCAGACCAACATTACCTACATCCAGCCACTCTGTCCATTCACCAACTATGTGATCAACTTTGTCGGCAACTCATCGATCAAGTCGTACTACCTCAGTACTGCTCAAGCATTCACGAGACAGGGTGCGTCGCCACCTTACTCCTTCCAGTATGACAACCCCGCCACCTACACGATCAAGACATCAGAAGACTCTGTGAGCACGATACCCCCAACCAACGCCTGCACCTACCGTCTGAGCGTGTATCCCAAGTCCACATCTACTCCCACGCTAAGTCTAGTGTACCCAACCTGTAGCCTCTTGAATGGCTCCATCACAGTTACCAACGCTGCTTCATACAGCTCAATTGCACTGTATGACAAGAACATGATCGCTGTCTCTGGTAGCAATGGTGTGTACACTGGACTCGGTTTCCAGACTTATACATTGGTTGTTCAATCTGGCCTGTGTGGCACACAGACAATGAAGGTGGACATGCCCAAGGTATCACCAATAATCAAGCTAGATGTACTTGGTTATCAATGTCCAAACAATGCCACTGTCAAGGCTACATTGATCAATGGTAACAACACCGATCCATTGCTTTACTTCTACATTGGTGCGAGACAAGTTCTGCCCACCTTCACCATGGACCTCACAATCAAGAATCAGATCATCTACAACCTCAAAGGATGTACCTCAGTCTACAACTACGTCCCATCACCATACAGTAAGTATCACTCACTCAATCACTTTATCGTTCAATCACTAACTCAATCACTCACTTTAGCCAAGAACATTGGATACCAGGTTGTGTCGAGTGACTATTGTAAGACGGTGAATGTGTCTGTGACTGCCGGACCAGAGGTATCGAACATTACCGTGACCAACCCTTTGACAAAGGAGAATATCACATTGGACGCCAATAATAGGTTCATGGCCAACTACTCAACCAACTATGCCGTCTACTCCACATGCTACTCCGATCCATACCTGTTCTCAGTGCCATACCCCATCCCAGAGTACGAGATCTCAGCTGGTGACAACAGTTTGGACAACACTTGTTTCTACAACTTCACTTTGCGTGTATTCAACTTCCTCCAGTTCGTCAACCTCACATTGGTCGAGGTGACCGACTACACTCAACCGTACCACCCAACCCCCATCAACATGGCACCAGACAGTCTTGGCTACTTCCGAAACATCCCTCGCTTCAAGTCGTACCAGCTCAAGTTCAATTACAACAACAACTGCTCAGGAATGAACACCATCTCCATTGCCCCACAGCAGGCCACCGTTGATCCCTACACCCGCATCACCAACACCAGCCGAGTCTTGAGCTGGCCAAAGTGTTCGGCCACCGCCAGTAACAACTTGATCAAGGGTATTCTTGAGGTGACCCTGACCGGACCACTCGGCATCCAAGTCTACAACGTGTCCTTCCAGGAGAACGAGGTTGTGACTGCATATTACAACGCCAATGGATGCCGCTTCATTGGATTCCAGTGGTTGGCACCAAACTACCGTGACCCATACTACACCCATCTCACATTGATGAGGAATGCCTCGTGTCCATACGCACACGACTCGCTGATCTTTGTCAACCAGACACTCCAGGTCATTGTCTATGTTGAGAACAACGCCATGCCCATCACCTCAGGAATGTTCTCACTCCACCCTGGTACCTACACTTTCAAATTCTTCTACTTTGCCAGTCAACTCTGTAATGACTACCGCAACTTTACCATCGGCTATGACAATGGTATGTATCAATGATTGACCTCGGACCACTTCACAACCTAACTTCGCACTACACAGAGTACAAGCTCAACTACAAGATCACACCTGTTACTGATTGTGGAGATGTGGCTGGAGGTGGCCAACTTCAATTGACTGGTAACTTCACGGATTTGACATTGAGTGGAAAGAATCCCAATGGAAACCTCAATCCTGTTTGGACTGGTCTGAGATCACAAGAGTATAGAGTATCGTTCACAGAGGTTGGATCATCATGCAAGGGTGACAACTATCCAATCTTTATACCACCCGTTGAAGTGGACTTTGCCACGACTACAATCAATCCAACTTGTACACCATACATCCAGATGGCCGGTGATGGATACATGCAAGTTAATGTGACAACCAAGGTCGGTGGTGTCAAGCTACCCATCACAAGCATATCATACAACCAGCGTGTCAATGTCTTTGAGAACCAGAGCTACCTATCCAACCTTGGCGCAGGTGTCTACGACCTGTTCATTATTTCCAATCAATGCGAATGGAAGACCAATGTCACCTTGCCAATGGATCCACGTAAGTCCAAGACTCCACTTATCCCATGATATGTTTGATCAATGACTAACATTCAATCAATCAAACATATTTAGTACCATTCAAGTTCACTGTCAATCAACCATCATGCCCATATGGTGGAAGCATTGATGTGACTACGACCAGGAGCAATATCAACTTCCAAGGATTCGTTGACCAGGAGTCGAATGGAAACTCATTGTACCAACTCTATCCAAACATGACTGTTAAGATCAAGTGGAATGATTACTGTATCGCTTCAGTACCATTTAACAACATTGTTTCCGCTCAGCCCATTCCACCAAGTGTCAAGATCACAGATGCTTCATGTGGAGGCTTTGATGGTGCGATCAAGGTCACAGACAACCTGGCCAACTACATTGTCTACTTGGAGAGTCGTCAGCCAACAGCACCAGGCGAGTGGTCTGGTCTGAGCGCAGGCACATACACGCTCACATACACCAAGATTCAGACTGGATGCAAATCATCAGTCCAGCTCACAGTCGGCTCAGACACATCGATGGCGGCAGTCCAAACCGCCAAAGAGTCGTGCCATGGAAGCTATAATGGTGTTGGAATGAGCATTGATTCATCAAACTATGCCACACAGGTCGTGCCCGCCAGTCCAGCCACCTTCAACCCATGGAGCGTCTTGACCACACCATTCCAGGCTCAGCAGTTGAGTGGAGTGTTCCCTCAGCTGACCCAGGGCAACTACGTGGCCTACGCGACCAGTCGAAGCAACCCAATGTGTGTCCGCGCTGCGCCATTCACCATCAATGCCAACGAGCCAGTGACCAACGATGTCACCATCACGCCAATCTGTCTGAACGAGTCGTACGCCAACATTGTGCCATCTTTCTTGCCATCGGACTACACCAACATTGAGTACGTCTTGGATGGCGTCACGATTTCCAACCCAACACAGGAGCAGATCAAGCAGGGCTTCAACGTCACCAACAACCAACAACATACATTGAGTGCCATTGTCAGGGATCAGAGATGTCCTCGTGTTCTTGCACAGGCCGCCATCAATGTGGCTGCGGTCTGTGGAGGATCCACTACGACTGCCAGCACCACTGCCAGTACCTCAGCTTCGACCACGGCAACGACTGCCTCGACGACAGCCACTACCACGGCCACCACAACAGCGACTACGACGGCCTCCACCACTGGCGGTGTGACAATGTCCACAACAACAGGAGATGGTATGAATCTGTCATCACAGCTTCGTACTCCGTGGAGTCTACTATTGATCCTATTATCACTATTATTACTATGTATTGTACAATAAACTTTGATGTCATTGATGTTGTTGCTTATCAGCCAATGTCATTAGATTTACACATTCAAGTATCTGATGTTTGGACACCTCTGCAATGTGTCCATTCGATATCATCTCATCAAGAATGAAGTGTGCCTTGTCAATGTGGAACATAACCTAAAGTGACAAATGACATGTCAATGAGTGAGCGACAATGTAGTTGACACTTGAACACTTACATCCAACTCGCATACTTGTTCGAACAAAGTATCAAGTATCTCGACATAGTTATGTATCAGTTCTAGGATTGATAGTTCATTCTCTGAATGATCGACACCAACTATAAAGTACAATGAGAGATATCTCCTGTAGACCAACTTGTAGTCTTGATACTCAAGGTATGAACACTTTGTAACGTGTAGACATTGATGTTAGCAATCAATCAAGTTGTTGTATATATGTATGTACATACTTGATTTACACTCCTCGCAACACATTTCCTTATTATCTCTGCCTCTTGAGCTGGACGTTTCTCAAAGGGTACATATTGGTAGTACTGTGACAGTCTGACCTGACCCTGTCTATTGGCCAACATAAAGAACTTGATCATTATCAATCATATTATAAATATATATATTTATATGTATAACTATGAATCAATCAATAGACTTGAGAAGTTCATTTCATTGAAGTTCCCTTGCCCGATTGAATCAAACACAACACAGCGAGCTAGAAGTAGTGGTTGTAGTGTTGTTGGATCTCTTGCAACCCAAGTGAGTTATATTGCCGTGGGAGGGTGTGTTGGTAGTGAGTAACACAATACTCAGTGACTACACATATTCATTCTCATTACACTCACTGTCACTGCTGTTCTGTTGTTGCTGCTGCTGTAGCTGCAATTCGTTCTGAGCTACCACCCAAATACCAACACCACCAACAAACATGGAATCTTGATCTTGTAGTATGGTCCGTGGCGCGGTCATATGCCTTGCTTATACAAGGTGCTGCTGTTAACAGGAAGGGTATTTATAATCATACATATAACTAACCTTTAACATATAGAAGAAAAAGAGGTTAATTAGTTGGATAGTTAGTGAAGAAGGAAGGATGAGACAGTATATCATTATCCTATTAGCAATATCAACATTGTTAATAGGTCATGTTGTGGTCAATGCTTATGACACTGTGAATGATGTTAAACATACAACACAACAGGATTACTCTTATTTCAATGGTCCGCCATTGACAATACATCTCGTTGCTCATTCACATTGTGATTCAGGTTGGTTGGAAACATTCGATGTTAGTATCCCCATTATTAGACTTCCAGGAACTCAAGTCACTCACTCATTCTTCCATCCAGGGATACTTCGATACCAGAGTAGAAACAATCATTAATAATGTTGTAAATAGTCTATTTAATGATACAAAGAAGAGATTCATTTGGTCAGAAGTGTATGAATGATCAGTTTATTGAATGGTTGACTGAATGATTTAGACGAACTCATACTCATACTAATACTCATGGTGGATAGTGGATTCCTCAACAAATGGATACAGTTTACTTCGGAGGAGGAAGTGACCAAGTTGAAGTATATTGTGGCAAATGGTCAATTGGAATTTGTTGGTGGAGGATGGGTAATGAATGATGAAGCATGCCCTGATTTGCCATCAGTGATCAATCAGATTGGTGAAGGTAGAAGATTCCTTCAGGATATATTCAACTCAACATCTATACTGCCTATCAATGGTTGGCAGATTGATCCATTCGGTCATTCATCATCCATGGGATCAGTATTAGCAAGGATGGGATATAAACGATTGGTTATCAATCGTGTCAGTGATGCCATCAAGGAAGAGATGAGACGAAGACATGAATTGCAATTCGTCTGGAAGACCAGTCCGTCACATGGCAAGAGTAGCAACATATTCACACATGTACTACCTTATCACTACTCATGGCCTGATGTAATGAAGGGCTATGACTATCGTCAATTACCAAACATGGGCAGCAATGTCTATCAATCATTGGTTCAAACTGGAAGAAGTTACCAACAACTATTCGGTGGTGCCCCGCATGTCATGGTACCAATGGGTGATGACTTCACCTACGACTCACTCACTCCATTCGACTTTATCGACATGGCAATCGGTATGTTCCATCATTCATTCATTGTCAACGAGCGAACTATCAATCTAACTATCCTCTTTAGCCGTTGCAAAGACGCAACAAGCAAGTACTAATGTTGTGTTGAGGTATAGTACTCTGAATGAATACTTTGGAGAGTTGGATGCTTGGTCAGCTCTGAATGGTAGTGCATACAAACAGTTCACAGGAGACTTTTATCCATATGGAAGACCTGGTGATTGGTGGACTGGATACTTCACCACAAGACCTGAACTCAAAGGATACTCACGTTTGGCCATCGGAGATTATCGCACTGCTCAAGTATTCTCAACCTATGGCGAACAAGTTGATGGAATGGGTAGGAGCAAAGACATGATCGAGGCTATTAGAGTAGGTATATCACATACATATCATAATTGTCCAATAACTAACAACCAACCAAATAATATTTAGGATATATCGATATGCCAACATCATGATGCAATCACCGGTACTTCAAAGCCTTATGTTATGGATGATTATATTTCCAGATTGGGAAATGCAGTTGATAAGTCAAGATCTAGCAGCCAAGATGAGTTGAGTAGACTTCTCCCAAAACATCCATCAGTGGCTTATAATCGTAATACAAGGATATCATTCAATGATTCATCAGTATGTTCAAACATCACAATCAATCAATTAATCAATCACTGACCCCTATCAATCAAATATAGTACGTTCCAGTTATAATCACTAACTCACTTGGATGGGATGTGACTGATATACATTCTGTTCGTGTTGATATATCACCAACATCTGGATGTCCTTATTCAATTTGGACGAGATCAAACAATGAGATTGACTTTGATTGTGTGTTGGATGTAGAGTCCAGCTCTTTGGAACTGGTGTTCACACTACGTATCAGTCCTCAAGCTTCATTCAATGTATTCATCAGTAATGTGCCTTCAATCAAGTTCAAACCACAGTTGATTGTCCCAACTGATGCTCCTAGCAATGCCAATCTCATGCAGTTCAAGAACAAGTACATCAAGTTGAACTTTGGCCTCACAACCAAGATGTTGCAATCAATTGAGACACAGGGTGTCATTCAAGAGGTGATACACTCAATCACTCATTATGCAGACACTGGTGGTGTCTATTCATTCTACAACATTGATCGAGCTGTCAATGCCAACAACATCAGTATTCCTGGCCAGCCAAAGGTATCAATCGGAAGATTCAGGAGCACATACCAAGTTGATCTGGTCATTGGAGAGTCAACGTATCCTTCAAAAAAGGCTCCCCCAGTAATCAAGATCAAGTACACAATCAAGAGAACTGGTTTACAAGATGTTGATTCAAAGATTGGATTCTCCTATGTGCTCAGAGGTGAGCCAGAGTTGATCACTGTTGCCAGGTTCCAAGTCAGTGCAATCACACCCACCAGACTCTTTGTTGACAACAGCATGGTATCAAGCTCCAGACCTACAATGGATACAGGGGATCTACCATCATTTGTGAATGCAGCAGTATCCTTTGCTGGAATATCAAACAATCAATTATCATTCATAGTAAGTATTGATATCCATGTGGATCAAGTCCAACCCATCTAACAATGATATCCAATCAATCAAGTGCAATATTGATAGGACTCGAGGTGCGGTTGGCAAGGTTGGCGCTTTGGAACTATCACTACATCGTTGTCCTATTCATGGAGATAACAAGGGAATGGATGACAGATTCATCAATGATAGATTAATTGAGGTGAATGATCAGTGTTACCTTAGCACTGGTACAATCACTCCATCAACAATCAAACGAAACTCATTGATATTCGAGAATGGATTCAAATCCTTCATATCCTCTGGCAACTATAATAGTGGTTCAATGGATTCATTCCCCAAGCTCTACTCCAAGATCAACTTGGGTAAGTACACCATGCAATGCAATGTACATCGACCAAAGACTAACAACCTATTAGCACTTCCATATGGAGTACATTTGTTGACCTTGACAAGCGAACAACCAAGAACATACTTGGTTAGATTGATGAGTATCGACGATGTATCATCAATCACAGTGGATATAGGATTGGTGGCCCGTGGAAATGGGTTTACCATTGAAGAGATCAACCTTGATGGATACTCCCCTTCAAAGGCCAATGTCAATTCCAATCCAATCTACAAGATAGATTCAAAGAGAATACTAACTGGCACCGTTGGTATCACTGACAAGGATCCAGTCAGCTCAGTCAGCTCCAAGCAATGTATCCTAGGACCATTGGAGATCAAGACATTCATCATTAGAACAAACTCTAAATAAACTGTAAACATTACCTAACCTATCACCATTCACTCACTCCTTTAATGATTTGGCAATGTGTCCAAGATGACACCAACAGGCTCCTCGCTGAGCACCAAGGGCAACACTTGGCATTGCTTCCAATTCATCCAACATTGTCTGACGGCCTTTGAGCTGGCATCACCAAGGACAATGGCAAAGAGGGCGTCGAATCCACCGGCGCCTGGAACACCAGAGGCCACACATCCAACAATGTCCATGGTGTCGTTGGCAAGATTGGTCTGCTCGGTTGGCTCCAATGGTACGTCTGCCAGCTGTCCCATCTTTCTCATCAGTGTTCTGATGTTGTAGAATGATGATCTGATGTTGGACACCTCCTTTGCTACGTCACCGCCAAGCTCACTCCATTGTGCCTGAGGTGTTGATTCCAGCTTTGATATCACCTCCATATACTTGTCTGATTGTTGAGCATGCAATGAGTGAAGTTGAGTCAATGATACCTTGACAGCGCTATTTGATGCATGGAGATCGTCCCATAGTTGCTTGGCTGTTTGGGATATTAGTAACCGTTCTCTTCATCTGGAGCAGGAATCATACATACATTCAACAGGGAATGCCTTCCTCCAATCCAACACCTTCTTGACCATAACAGGTGTGTTGGAACCAATGCTCACGTCGGCGAGCAACAAATGCAATCCTGGTGGCAGTGCCATTGGCGTGTGTTGGTTGTCCCATGGCTGGTAGTGATCCAACTTGATTGAGTTGAAGTCCTCCTGGAGGAGTGCCTGAAGCAGTTGAGTTGGGTTTGGTGTAACATTGTGATCATACTATATAGAAGTTGATGGACACGCGTTAGATGTCAATCAATCAAGTTGTCCATGCTAAGTTCTTACCATGGCTAATATGTCCTGGATGAGACTTGGAGAGAAACGACGATAGACTTGACTGCCAAACACTGCTGAGCTAATATCGAATCCACTGCCAATCTTTCCTTGGGCAACACAATGACATAGTTGTGCCAGGTTGTGAAGGAGTGTCTTGTCGCGATTTAGAGTCGCAGCCTGGTCAGTGGCAGTGTTGCGTAGATTGATGACCTTGAGGTGACTCAACAATGCAGCGGTCAATGAGCTGACCAATGCGGCTGAGCTGCCCAGACCAGTCTTTTGAAGATCGTCCAATGTTGTAGTGAGTGGAAGGAATTGTGGCAGTGACTTCAATGACTCAAAAGTGATTGGTAGTCCTCTTTGATTGAGCTATATAGTATTTTGTTGTGTCAGAACAATCAATCAATCAGATTGAGTGAAGTAGCACCTACCTGAGGAATCTGAGAATAGAAGTCGTTGCCACCGAGGATGGTGATGTAGAGTCCACGTGAGAGTATTGTTGTAAACTGCTCTGGACCAACCAATGATGATGCAACGATCAATGTGTATAGTAATGTCCTTTCAACATACTTGTTCTCTCTGTATGTGTTTGGATCTGCAGGTGAAATGACAATGGTTGGTACATCTTGTTGTTGCTGAACATTGTAGACAACAGTGTAATGTTGAATAGAGTTGAACTGTGGAGAGGATAGAGTTATGTTGAATGACTGTGTCGGTGCAGCATGAATAGGTTTGATTGTTGTGTAGAAGCGAGAGTTGATTGTGAACACTGTTCCATCATACTCGCGATCCAATACCAAGTATCCACCTGTGATCAACACCTTTCCAGGTGCTGAGCAGCAACAAGTTTCACTGTTATCACTGCTGGACATTCTTTCGTTCGTTCGTTTGTTTGTTTGTTTGATTGTTTGATAAAAGAACGAAAGGGTACACTGATCATTGTCACACACCAGACTGAAGGTGTGTTTGTTCAAACTGATCAGATTTTTTGGAACTTCGATTGATTTCTGATCAAATCAAAAGATGTCCAAATCAATCATTGAATATTTATAGATATAATAATTATGATTAATTGTTTGATTGATTAGAATATCCAACCTAATTAATAAACTTGAATAGACTGAATGGAATGATTCCTGTTAGCAAAAACAAGTTGCAAAACCTTCTGGTGATTTGTCGGTTTTTCATTCCCAACACTCAAAAGACGAGCTGTTTAATCAAACCAAATCATTACTATACTTCAACTTTGTATAACTACAACATATAATATAATACCATGGTGGTCAACAAGACAATAGGTACTTTATGATCACATCCAATCATTCAATCAATCAATCTAATCACTGACATCCACTCAATCGCATTGGAACACAAATTATAAAAGAGTTTGGAGACAAAGAGTATTGGGACGAAAGATATGAGAAGGATAAGAAAGGAAGACCTCACTTTGATTGGTATCATGGTTGGTACACACTGGAACCATTCCTGTCGAAATATCTCAAAAGAGAAGACTGCATCATGATGTTGGGCTGTGGCAACAGCAAGCTGGGCGAGGACCTGAACGACAATCACTACACAAACATTGTAAACATCGATTTCTCAGAGGTGCTCATCGAGGACATGAAGCAAAGAACACAAGGTCGCACTGGCCTAGAGTACATCACGATGGATGGTCGTCACATGACCTTTGCCAACGAATCATTCGACTCAGTGTTTGACAAGGGCACCATCGACGCTGTGATGTGCTCGGACGACGACAACTCAAATGCACGAATGATGATCGCTGAGGTTGCCCGTGTGTTGCGACCAGGTGGATTCTTTATCGTAATGACCTATGGCTCACCAGAGTCGCGACTACCCATCCTGGACGTGCCATCACTTGGTTGGACCGTCCATCTCCGACTGGTTGGCACACACAGCGAGGCCAACATCAATGAGTGTCATTATGTCTACATCATGCACAAGCATCAAGTGGCTGATTCACCAACAACTGCTCATATCGATCCAAGCAAGGAGGTCTTTGACGTGTACCTGAATAGTTCAGTTGGCAAGATTGCACTGGAAGTGACACCTATCGTCAAGAAGTAAAATGGAAGCATTGATGTGTATTACTACTACAACAACAATCTACAGGATACAAACACGTCTTCAAAGTTTTAATACTCCACGGTCACTGGAGCCGCACGTGGCTTGGGAGGAGGAGGTGGCGGCATTGCCCTCTCCTTGGTCGGTGATGGAGGGACGGCGGGCAGCACACGATCCTTGACCTTGTCCTTGGTCTTGTCGCCAGGCAATGCTGGTAAAGTCTTCTTGGAGTACATGACATCGGCCTGCTTCTTGGTCTTGCCAGTCTCCCATGTCGATGGCGATGATGAGTATTCGCTGGTGGACGGTATGGGAGGCAGTTCCAGTGGGGCCAGAGGTGGAGGCATCGATGATGGTGAGGTGGAGAGTGGTGTGTTGTGAGTGTACCCATGCGAGTGCGTGTCTATTGACAGACTGGCTGGCAGAGTGTTGTAGCGTTGATGTGAAAGAGCCTGGATCGAAGGTGATTTTGCACCTGATGCAAACGATGAGAGCGACTTGGGCGAGGGTGGATCGCCACCGCCACCCACGTTGTGATGCTCGGCGGCAGTTGTGGCTCCGCCACCGCCAGTCGAGCTTGGGATTGGTGGTAATGGAGAGCGATTCTTTTGTTGAAGATACTTTGGTTGTGATGATGATGCAGATGATGGTGGTGGGGCAGCATGGCGGGCTTGTGATGGTGATGAAGGTGGTTTTGGAAGTGGAGGTAAGGGTGGAAGTGGAGGCAGTGGAGTATGATGATGTGATGATGTTGATGATGATGCTGCTGATGGTGTTGCCGGTGTGAAATGTGTTGGTTGAGCAAACTCTGTGATTGCTCTGTTGGGTCTTGTCTTGATGAACAATGATGGATCTTCAAAGATGTCGTCAAAGTGTGACAACATTGTAGTCATTAGTGTCTTGGTACTGTTTGAGTCCTCAACTGTATACTGTAGTACCTGTTGATCAGTGTGGCCCTCTGGGCGAAGTATGGTTGGTAGAAATACAACACTCACTTTGGGTATTGCAAGGATGGTTAGTCAATGATCAATGGATGAGTGGCTGGAAACACATGGATAGTTACAGGAGTCAGCTGACATCTTATTCGATGAAGAGTTGGCTATTACTTTGACCAAGAATCCAAATATATACCTGGATGGAATTGATTGATTGATGGTGAGTGAGTGAGTGATTGAGTGAGACTGTTCATTGAACACTGTCCACCTACTTAATAACCTTGATGTTGGTAGTAGGCAACAACTTTAGAACCTTCTTGATAACTTCAACCTTGACATGTTCATCATTGATTGCTGCATCGATGTATTGTACAATGTTAGTACTTGAATGAGTGATACTATCATGATTGAATGAATACTTACATTCACAAGCAACAAACATGTTATACTAATGAATGGAATGGCAAAGAGGGAGGGAGAAGGTTAGTATGGCTGGCTGACTGAGTGCTCTGCCACTGGAGAACATACATTTTCAAAGGACAACAATGGATCTTGGAGGTCGCGCAAGTAAGCTTTGAGTAGAGATGCAACTACATGACTCTCGTGAGCCTGGAATACTACTGGTTTGTCCTGTTCGTAGAGGTTCTTGTAGTGTAGTACCTGTTGTTGAGAGGCACTCTCACGGAAGATACCGGGTGTCTGCAAGGAGTTGGCTTCAAGGTATTCGACAGTCTGTTGGACAACCTGCGGCACGTCGCCAGTGTCTTTCAGTCTGGAGCCAAACACCCTGCCACCGCCTTGATGCAGATGCATTGCATTCTGTTGATGTGAGGGTGGTGTGCCAAACTCTTGTGTTGTTGCAGGCATCATTGTCCTATCTCCACCAACCCCACCCAACACATTCTCTTTCTTGGTAAAAGATACGATCTTGACATCATTGCTGTCCCATTCCTTATTCTTCTTCTTCTTGCCAAACTTGATTATCTTTGACATTCTCTTCTATCTCTTTCTTAGTATCTGTATATGTTTATATATCTATGTTATATATCTATGTAAATATATCTATTTATCAGATTAATGAGGTAAGGTTTAAAGTGTTATATTGGTGTATTATTGTTGATGTTGATGAATGAATAAGCTTTGATTGTTAGGTACACAATTCACAACAAGAGATATTTTGTTTGATCGTGTGTGTCGTCATCATCAGAATCTGAGAGTGAGCCACAAAACACATCGGATGTGGACCACAATTTAGACCAATCGGTGGGTGTTGGCCCAGTATTGGGTCGGTTCAACTGAAGATGATGGTGGATAAGCTCACCACCTCTACTATGATGGGATGGATGGCTTTGATGATTAATTGGTTGGTTCCGAAGGTATTATTGTTCAAGATTGATCTTGTTGTTGACCAACTAACTGTGTCCGATGTAATAGATAGGTTATATATATATATGTTTGTATTGGTATTTGTTTGGCGACTGACCCTTTAGACTTCATCATCATGATCATGTGCTCCATAGCCATACTTTAGTTCAAAGGTTGATTTGAACTTATTGTACTTCTCTTGCATGGCTTTGTTGTCGATGGATACCACTGATGATGTTGATGTTGATGATTGAAGGAATACATCTGTGATCAAATGATCACATATTCTATAAATCTCTTTTGATAATATACCTGAACTACCTTGGAACTCGATGAAATCCATCAACAATGTGACCATTGGTAGCAGAGGTTGATCATTTGGCAGTATATTTGAAACTAATTCTCTATTAGTCTCATTATCCTTAATCAGGAATCCAATCAATATAACTATAATGTTTGATTATGGATAAGAATGAGTCAATGATTGATTGATTGGAATAGTTCCAGTTGATGATACATACCAAGATATGATGATGCCACTCTCTCTTGAATCTTGGATGTGAAGCGAGTGAGTACGCGTTCGGACGTACGCCATTGGTACACGCTTAAGATGGACTGGATGGCACCGACGTTTGAACGGAATCGTTCACGATTCTCTGGATTCTGCTCAACAAGATTGACTAAAAGTGTAACGGCCAACTGTGCAATGTCATACTTCTCCGGCACTTCGATACGTAGCAGATTGAGTATGGTCTGTATGCCAAAGTGTGTACTATTGATCGTGTCCATGAATGCCTGCTTCTTTGGTGTCAATGGTTTAACAATGTTGTTGGCCAGTACTCCATCGATGTACTCGCAGAACTTGTTGACCACCACTTCGCCCTTGTCCTCTGCCTCTGCCTCTGCCTCTGCCTGGGTTGCACTGGCCGACACGTACTTGAACGGTCGAGATAGTGCACCAATCATGGCCGATGTAGTCTTGTTGGCATGAGAGCAATTCAATAATATGTTCAACAATGATATGATGGCCTCAGTGCCACCCACCCTAATATCAATACCGGAGAGTCGCTCTTTGTACTTGGACATTACGGCTAAGTTGGGGGAGGTTAAGAAGGGATGAGTTAGACAAGGTCAGGGTTGGGGTGAATGATGGAGGGTCGCATGGAACATACTCTGCAAGTACGAGATGAGTGTGATGAAGACTTCGACTGAGGATATGACAAGTCCGACGTGTTGGCGATTGGATGTATTCTCGGATACACACTCTTCAACAATCTTACACACCTTCTCCACACTTCCAATGAGCTTGGGTGAGATGGATGATGTCTCCACTAATGGATTAAGGTATAGAGTGAACTTGGCCAGCAGTCCAATCAGGCCATCCAGTAATCCATGCTCACGGAACCTATCCTTGAGTGTCGAGCTAAACTGTTTATGTGAGACCAACTGCGCCAGACTGTTGATTGAGAGTGATGATGGTGTGGCGGACATGCGCACAGTGTCTGTGGCGCCACTGGTCTGGAACAGATTGCTAATGGATGATACCAGTGCCGACCGCCTCCTGCCACCAGGTGTCTTGGGTGACCGGGGCAACTTGGTTGGCGTGGTGAAGTACTCGAGCTCATAGTTCTCTGGTATGATAGTGGCGTGCTTTAGGAGTAATGCAAGTACATCCGGAGTGAAGTGATCAGTGTTGGCCGCCTGCGATGACAAAGTGTAGTAGATGAAGCATGTCGCCAGTATGATTCCTCGATAATCCAGTGAGTCTATCTTTGTTGGAGATGTGGTGGTTGGTGATGTCGTTGTTGCTGCCGTGATCAAACACTCAACTGATGATCGCTTCCCCTTCTTATTCTTGCCCTTGGAGACGGGAGACTTGGTGAGGTCGATGTCAGCTGACACGCTAGTGATTGGTTGAGAGGATGAGGAGGACACTGAGAGGAACTGATTCATCAGGTCTTCACCACCCTCGATCGAGTGGCGTTTGGATAATGAATGTGATGGACTGGAGAATGATGGTGATGTGGTCGCGGTGGTGGTCGTCGTCGTGGCCCCAGCCACAAGTGCACTCTGATTGCACAGACGTAGCATACTGCTGCTGAGTATGGGGAAAAGATTGGTGGATCGCAGAACCAGTGATATTTGTGTGGCATTGGTGCAGAGCATCCTGCAGAGCTGTGACAAACTGTCGTGAATGGTCTGTGCATCCGCAGATGACTGCAGTGTATGAATAACTGTACTGCAGTCCTCACTGAGCTGTTGATGCTCTGGCTGCACCAAAGATGATGATTGAGTGGGTGAGACATGGTTCAAAGATATGCTCACGCCATTATCATTCCTCATCTTCTTGTTGCTCTTGAGTGCACGTGCTGCCAAAGATTCGTATTGATCCTCTTCGTCGTTGTCGTCTTGTTCGCTGTTGTCCTCATCACTGCTGTTTTTCTTTTTAGGCTTCTTTGCCGATGATGATGACGATGCTCGCTTTGGTCTCTTCTTGATTTCATACGATGAGTCACTCCGTGAAGAGTCCAATGAGTCCTTTGATGATGATCTCTTGGGTGTTGTACGTGATGTGATGCCAGTGGATGATGATAATGATGATGATGATGATGAAGCCAGTGAGCTGGATGACGATGATCTTGATTTTGTTGTTGATTTTGAACGCTGCTGTGTCTTTGTTTGCTTTCCCAATACTACTGATGCAGTGACATCAGACTTGGCCTTCCTTGTTGGTGGCTTTGGCCTTGATGCTGCATCATCCTCTTCATCAGTATCAGGATAGCCCAGGTCGTCCATCAACTCCAATGATCTCTTTGGCTCGATGCCATAACTATCGGGTTGTGTAAGTTGTTCCTCCTGTTCTTGTTCTTTCTCTTTCACTTTCTCCTTCTCCTTCGCTTGAGGTTGAGGTTGGACTCGCGGTGGTGGTGGAGGAGACTGTGATATGGTTACTGCGGCGGGAGGTTGTACCTGTGATTTTGATGATGTAGTAACTGTGCCATTTGTGTTGTTGTTGTTGACGTTATCCTTTGGTCGTTGTAAACTTTGAAGACGTTGAAACAGAGATGATGTGGTCGATGTATAGTCCTTCTTTGTTGTTGAGGAAATGGGTGAGGTTGATAATAATGGTGTTGTCGATGATGCTGATGATGACTTCTTAAACTGCCACTTCTGAGTTGGTACCGGTGTAGATCTACTCCAGAAGCTTAAGTTAGTCGTTGGTTTGACATTAGTCGTTGTTGTTGAAGTAGTAGTTGAAAAAGTAGTTGTTGATGATGATGAAGTCAAAGCTGCTTCATCAGATTTACGACTACTACTACTACTACTACTACTACTCATTCTCTATTATCTCTGTCTACCTATTTACAACTAATTCATTCATTCATTCAATAACCCAATCATGATGTTCACCACTAACATAGTGTTTAAGTTTTGTTTAGTCCAAAAACACTGTGTAAACCTGATCACGTGACTGGTTCATCAATCAGCAAAATAACATTAACAACATTGTTTAACTGTTTATAATCATATTAATTTGTTATGTATATCATATAATATGTATATCATATCATAGGTATTTATGTTAGTTTCAGAAGTTAGACTAAACAATGTTTAACTGTCCTTATCTGTTTGGTGAACCAAACGACACATTTTTCATTAGAAGGTTGCAAAAACAAGATATTTTTGGATTTTACCCGATTTCTGAGGACTCAAAACCTACTTTGACTCCAGGGATCGGTCCTTCCCCATCAGTATCATAAACTTAAGTTGTATTTGTTTCAAACATACATATATACATATATACATATACATACATACATACAGATATAAAGGAGATGGCAACATTCACACAAATCTCAAACAATCTTACAAACTTGAACAATGCTACAAAGAGCATCACAAGAGATAGAGTCGTCATTGGTACAGACGTTGACAATGTTGAACAAAGGAATCATATCAATAATGTAATGAATAGGAAAGAATAGGAATGAATAGAATGAATGATCACCCATACTAATCAATCAATCAATCAATTAAATTATGAATGAATGAATGAATGAGTAGAGTATAGAAGCTGGCAAGACATGCATTAGGACATTGAAGACATTGTTTGGAGCAGAGTTTGATAGGAATGATAGAGCAAAGGTTACAAAGCTGAGTAATCAGTTCAAACAGTTATCTTCAGAGTTTGAGAAGGAAGCCACGGAAGTACTAAATCTGATGATGGCCAATGCCATTGGTACAAAGGGTCGTTCAGGCTCACTATCACTCAATGGCAAAGATCGTGGTTCATTCACTGATCGTATAAAGTACAAGGCTGCATCCCCATCATCATCAGATATAACACCAACAACAACACGTGTTGAGTACAGTCATGGTAATGGTCTATCAGATCAACCACAACAATATCGTAACTTGGAGGTCACATTGATTGATGCCAAGCCTGCAGAGGAGATGATCATTCAAGAGTATAATAATGAGATCAAGTCGTTGGTTGGAGAACTTGAAGCGATAAGAGATATTACAAATGACCTGCATGCATTGACCATGGAACAAGGTGAACAACTCAAGACTGCCGTGGTCCAAACAGAGAGGGCCGATATGGATGTGGCACATGGTGCCGAGGAGCTCCAAAAGGCACATGTATATAAGAGCAGCTACAGGAAGAAGGTTGTCATCCTAGTAGTTGTCCTGGTCATTCTGGTCGCTGTGATCGTTGCCATCGCAGTGCCATTAGCCAAGAAGTAATAATAATATTAAATTGGATAAGTTAATGTATTGGATGGAGCACGCTTGGCTTTGGAGGGCCAAGCGAATAAAGGGTAGGGTATTTATTTAGAACTACATGGATTGATCGATCCAGGCTATTTAGCATCCACAGCCACCTCCCAGGAGACCTCCGAGGAGACCACCAACCAGTCCGTTGACAGTTCCGAGGACACCTCCAACCAGACAGCCAACACCTCCCAGGTTGACATTGACATTGGCGTTGACACCAACTCCACTTCCTCCACATCCTCCACAGGCCACTGAGTTGGCTCCCTGGCTGGCACCAGCACCCATTCCACCTCCGATTGAGCTCTTGGAAATCGAGTTCATTGAGCCAACGTTGCCGAGGGAAGACATAGCATCTAATATTATGATTGTTTGATTAGTAAGAAGTTCTATAGGATGGTGATTTATTTAGAGATATACATACTCATTAAAGTCATTTTTGGATTTGTTTGGGTATTGGAAATATTAGATTTACTTGATTGGATATTATTTGTTTGATTGTTTGAAGATGTAATAATTGTTCCAAGTTGGTCTATTTATAAGTTTTCTGGTCCATGAAATTTCCAGGGAGTTGGAGCGTTCCAGTACGCGATCAGCACTCTCTCAGTGCTTACGGTATAGGGAGAGAGGTAGGGTCTCGTTTGACTTGATCTCAATTGACATCAACAAACATACACTGACCCACCACAGTTGATCAACCACCAATGTACAATCAATCATTGGGCTAAAAAGGAGGTAGGCCTTATTTGGTCTGATAGTGTCTACTCTTTATTGGTTGGTACTCAAAGGATTGTCGTTACTTGGGTACCATATAGGATGATGGTATCTGTGTGTGCTAATCATTATTGATTAATCAATCAATCAATCAAATATTAATTCAAACAACTGACTGTTGATATAGAACCAGACACTGTTGAGGTTGATCTGAGATTTATATTTGATTGATCACTCTAATGTATAATTATACATGTAGCAGTCATATGACACATATGTATTGTGAATGACACTACCACTGATCAATCAAACACACACACACACACACACATACACACTTATTCAATCAAAGACGATTAAGTTGTGTGTGGTGGGCTTTGACAAACCTACCTACCTCATCTTGTGTGTAGAGTCACACATATACACTCACACACTACAATTGAGTCCTGCCCTTGACCATATAGAGTAGGTATGGTATGTATCTCTAACACATCTATCACCCATCACAGACTGTTATATGAATCCTTCGGTGAAGTTTGATTGCAAAGGCACAAACCGGATGTGCAAACCTCGTCTCCAATGATCTATCACTCATGTTTATGTAGTTGATGTTGTTGTATTGTTGTTGAGCAAACGTTTGTAGTTGACTTGACAACTGGGTGGGGCCATATGTCACATGAGGTGGATCACATGTGGCCCACATATACTGTAAGTAAAGTTGATCGACTTCGAGACCGATGACGCAACCTCCTGTTTCTCTTTACACTCTAACAAGTTGGTAGTGGGCTTAATTAATAACATCATGTATAATTTGATTGGAACGATTGAACAAGTTGATTTAGATTGATTGATTGATCGTATCGTTGTTCAAGTGAGTTGCTTTCCAACCAACTTGGTTGACATTCCTTGAAGAGTGTGTGTTTGTTGTTAGCAGTGTGTTACCTCTTGACCATCTGTTAAATTGAACCCTATCTAAATTGATTGATTGATTGGCGGTAGCCTAGCCAACTTCCTAATTTCCAATATCTATAAATACACCAACTTGGAACAATTAATAAATCATCAAACAATCAAACAAATAATATCCAATCAAGTAAATCTAATACTTCCAATACCCAAACAAATTCAAAAATGACTTTAATGAGTATGTATATCTCTAAATAATATTGGAAGTATTCCAAGTGTCATAGACTAATCTATCAATCAATTAAACATTAGATGCTATGTCTTCCCTCGGCAACGTTGGCTCAATGAACTCGATTTCCAAGAGCTCAATCGGAGGTGGAATGGGTGCTGGTGCCAGCCAGGGAGCCAACTCAGTGGCCTGTGGAGGATGTGGAGGAAGTGGAATTGGTGTCAACGCCAATGTCAATGTCAACCTGGGAGGTGTTGGCTGTCTGGTTGGAGGTGTCCTCGGAACTGTCAACGGACTGGTTGGTGGTCTCCTCGGAGGTCTCCTGGGAGGTGGCTGTGGATGCTAAATAGCCCTACCATAATATATCCTTATCCTCGACCCTGTAACAATAAACGAACACTACTTAGTTACCAACACAAACAAATGATCAAATGATGAATTATTATTATAATTATTACTCTTGTGAACCCCAATCAATCAATTGATTGAGTGTAGATATATATATATAAAAGATTTATTATTCCATGTCGTCGTCATCATCGATATCGAGTGATCTAATGATACCATCCTCGTCGGCAATGAGGTTGGAACTTCTTCTGAGATTGGGCATTGACACACTTCCTGTGGAGGTCGTTGATGTTGATGTCAACGTTGGAGTCGAGACAGTGGGTGGAGTACCTGACGGTGAGGAGCTGCCAGATGGCGCAGCGACAACATCGACGTTGACGCTTGACTGCTGCTGCCTCTCCATGAGTGGCGAAGTCGACGAGGTGGAGAATGAAATGCTTGGTGAAGGCTGTTGAGAACTAAAGAAGCGAGGCGATAGTGAGATACCTGACTTGGAGCTGTTGCCCAGGGCCGACAGCGACAGGGGTTTCAGACGCGACGTCGAGCTGTTGGGCAGATCAAAGTTGATTGATTCGTTTGATATGGACAGCGAGTTCTGGTGCATGATGTTGGCGGGTATCGCCGAGATGGTCTCGAGCGACAAAAAGATCGATGGCAGCTTCGAATCGGACAGCTGTGACTTTCCAAAGAGGCCTGTACCACTAAGGTTGTTTGTGCTACTGCCAATGTTGTTGTTGGATTGCTGTTGCTGCTGTCTTTTAGAGGATGGTGATGCGCTTGTCAGTGGAGCAAGCGAAGAGTTGGACAACTTGAGTGGGTTGGGCGAGTTGGGAGAGAATAGCAATGACTCGGGCACCATGATGTCGCCAGCGGAGGACGAGAGAGTGCGATCGCGATGGATGCCACGGATGTTGATCTTGGAGGAGGACGTGCGCAGAGAGATGGGCGAGTCGGGATAGCTGTCGTACGAATCGCTTTGATAGGGGATGAGCGGGGAGAACATCTTCTGATCTACGTTGGGAGGTGCGGTGTCAAAGAGCGACGTCTGGTTCGAGTGTGGCAGGTACGACGAGGGCGAGTTCATGATCTGCGGTGACGAGTGCACATGGTCGTTCGAGTCGATATGCAGCTCGTTGCCATCATGGTCGTGGTCATGATCGCGATCACGGTCGTGCTCGCTCGTGAGCTCCTCAATATGGTGATCACCATATGTGTTGTGGCCGTGGAGATGGTACTGTTGTTGTTGTTGCTGCTGTTGGTGATGATGGTCGTAGGACTTGCTGGCGTTGTTTGGTGAGGTATTTACATATTTGCCACCGCCGACTCCAACACCACCGTTGGCATATGGATGGTGCATGTTCATCTTGATCACATTGCTGTCCTTCTCAAACAATGCCGCCACGTTGCCATTGATGTTGTTGGTGATGCTGTACTGATGGTGGTCCGCGTGTGGACTGCTGTTGCCGCCACCGTTCTTGGACTTGGACTTCTTGGAGGATGAGCCGCCGCCAGACTCCTCCTTCTCAGCCTTCTTGCTCCTCTTCTTCTTCACGTAGCCGTCGTCCAGCTTGTGGATGTTGCGCTTGTGCTCGTTGAGATCGGATAGCTGGACGAACCTGCTGTCACACTCGCCAATGTCGCAGGAGTAGGGCTTCTCGCCCGTGTGCTTGTAGCGAATGTGATGGATGAGGTTGTATGCACTCTTCAGTGGCTTGTCGGCACGGTTGCAACCGGACCACTCGCACATCGATTCGCTCTTCTTTCCCTTCTGGTTCTTGACGTGCTCCTGGATATGGTCACCCAAGTCCTTGAGATCGTCAAAGAGCACGTCCTTGCAGTCGCCCCACTTGCACTCAAATGGGCCGGCCGGCTGGTTCGAGCGTCTCTTCCTCTGCTTCTTGGCGTGCTTTCCCGATTTGTCATCGTCCGATTCGTCGTCCGAGTCGGAGGCGTGCGTCTTCCTCTTAGGCTTTTTTGTCTTGGTCGTGCTCTTTGATGATGATGATTGAGTATGTACATTGTAGTGATACGTATTATTATTGTTGTTGTTGTCATCCTCCATCTTTACATTGTTGTTATGTTGTTGTTGTTGGAGTTGATGCTGTTGTTGTTGTTGTGGTTGCTGTTGATACATGTTGTTGTAGCCAGAGTCGTCTTCCATCTGTACATCCATGCCCATTGGTTTGCTGTACCTGCTACTCCTATTGTTGCTACTATTGTTGTTGTTGTTGTTGCCGCCATGCTCGTACTCATTGTCCGACATCAAGTTTGATGAATAAATACTGTTGTTGTTGTTACTGTTGATTGTACTATTACTATTATTGCCATTGCCATTGCCGTTACCGTATGACATCTGGTTATTATTATTATCTGTATTGCTGTTGTTGTTGTGATGATGTGCATCATTCAGATTGATATTCTGCAATGTTGACAACTGTGATAGTATCGAGCCATATGGTTCATTGCCACGGGTTGAGCGCTGCAGTTGGCCACTCTGATTGTTACCAGCGTCCTTCCAATGCTCGATCAATGAGTTGAGTACATTCCTACGCTTGGTGACTGTCCTTGGCGCTGACACTGTGAAGGTTGTTAGAACATGGCCAATGAGTGAGCTCACTCAATTACACGAATACATACCTGGATCATATGGATTGATCAGATGAGTGAATTTGATGTGACCCATCAGTGTGTGGAAGTCTTTGATGACTTGGCCACAGGCATCCCACTCACAGCAGACAGAGGCATTAAAGTTGAGTCCACTTCCACTGCTACTCAGACGGAATGATCCAGTGGCACTCAATGATGGCTTGTGCTTAAAGTGCTCCGTACGGAAGTGAATCCAGAAGTCCGTAAGTGACTCGAACCTGTACTCGCATTGGTTCCACTTGCATTGGATTACATTGTTATATATATCATAATGTTGATGTTGTTGCTGCTGTTGCTGCTGTTGTTGTTGTTGCTGTTGTAATAGTAGTTGTTGCTGCTGCTGTTGTTGTTGCTGCTGTTGCTGCTGCTGTTGCTGTTGTTGGCCATTGGTACTTGATGACAGGACGCCACTACCACCATTACCATTGGTCGACATTGATAGTCCACCTGTACTGTTAGACGCGAGGTTGGTGAAGCTGTTGACTATGTTGTTGCCAATTGACATGGACAGATTGTTGGTACCATTGACCGAGGCGAACAGGGCACCCTGCTCCTGGGTCAGGCCGAGCGAGGACAGGATCTGACTATTGGACGCAACCAATGGGCTGGTGCTATTGCTCAGTTGTTGCTGTCCGCCTTGGGAGGCGCTGCCGCCGCCACCGCTCTGGTACGTATCAAAGTTGAAGAACATGCTAGAGTTGTTTAGCGAGTCGGACAATGGCTTGACCGATAGCTGTGAACTGTTGATAAAGCTTCCCAATATACTGTTACTGCTCATTGCTGGGTTGTTGCCACTGCCGACACCAACTCCGACGCCGACGCCGACATTGTTGTTCTCTGAGTTGAGCAGGTTTGAAGCCGAGGCCAGTATCGAGGGCGGTAACTGATTGCGAATACTCGAGTTGGACAAGGTGAGCAGGAGGTTGTCAAGGTTGAGGCCCACTGCAGAGGCCACCGCTGCGATTGTTGACAGTGATAGCAGGGGCGAGGTGGGCAGCTGGGGTAGTGACGGGGTTGAGGCCATCAGTGTGGCCCATTCCAATGTCTCCTTTGTTATCAGTGTGTCATCTTGTGTGGCTATATCCTCTGCTGGTACTGCTGTTGTTGTTGATGCTGCTGCTGTTGCTGCTGTCACCAACACTGCGCTATCTTTCTTTGGTGACAACTTTAAGTTGGACGCTTTAATAGTGTCCAATGGTACACTATCCATTATTAAGTTGTTTGTATTATTGATGTTGTTATTGTTATTGTTGTTATTCATTATGTTTGAATGATCAGATGTATTGTTGTTGTGTGTCCTCATTATCGGAGTCGGACCTGCTGAGGAGTGTCTTGATACCTCAGCATTTGTCGATGTGATCATTATTCTACAAATAATATAATGTTGATGATGTCACTTTTGTTTGTTTATGTATGATGTATAAATAAATAAATAGAGTATAGTATATTATAGAATAAGGTCTTTGCTGGTGTAGTTGATGATGTATATCCGATGATGATGATGATGGTGATGATGGCGTATCGGGAAACGATGCAAGCAAAAGCAAAGGCTAAGATTTATCAAAAGGATTTGTGTTTGAATGAATGAATGAATTGGCTAGCCTGGGAAAGAAGACTCAAAGAATGAAAAGGCAGATGCAATAAATAGCTATTCTTGTGACGGTTGTTTGTTCTAATATATAAAGTATGTGTTGTTGTTGTTGTTTGTTGTTGTACTATCTGTGTGAATATTACTCTGGGCAAAAAAGTAATGATTCCCTGGTTGCGTTGTTGTCAACGGGTGAGTGAGTGAATGAGGTGTTGGCGAGCTGTCTGTGGGATTCATTCAAGTACTCACTCGACAACCCAGGCGCACCCACAAACGGTTTGACCCAACTCCTCATTATCATTCTTCCCGCACTCTATCCCAGTGAAAGCATTCATGAAACCAAATTGAACAAAAAAAACCTGGTAAAAAAAAATAGTGTAACTGATCGAAAAGAATCTGGAACTTCCCCGTTACATTCGTGATCCAAGACGTCACCAGTAATACAACCACAATCCATATCCTGGGTCATCATTCTACTTTTAGACCCAATAATGATGAGATGGTGATGATCTTGATATCCCAAGTTGATTGGATATTATATATAATATTTGAAATCAATCCACCTGTCCAGGATTGTAAATAATATATCCATCCAATCCATCCAATCCATGGATGGGATGATATGATACCTTGAAGTTAATTAATTAATTAATTTATATGGTGTGGAAGGAGGAATGAAGAAGGAATGTGACTAATCGACTCTGGTCATCGCAGTAAAGTTGTCATCTCTGGCTACAACTGCATAATATTATTGGTTTGTTGTTGTAGTTGTACTTTGTTGTTGTTGGGTGGACCGCGCGAAGGGGATGGTGCCATGCGGGTCGCATTATTTGATGATGTCTAAAACCAAACATCTTGTAAATACCTTCCAGTCTTTTGCATGTCCTCAATGTACTGGATGGCAGCATTCTCGTCCTTGAAACCACATTCTTTGATCACTTGAATCAGAGTCTGTTGGACAGACTTGGCCATGTTGCGGGCGTCACCGCACACGTAGAAGTAGGCGCCCTTGGACAGATAGTCCCATAACTTTTGCTTGTCCTGCGCCATCTTGTGCTGAACATAGTCCTTCTCGGCGCTCTCTCGTGAGAATGCAACGGACAGCTCCTTCAACGTCGCTGACGACAGGTGCTGCTCCAGCTCCTCCTTGTATAGGTAGTCGATGTTCTTGCCACGGCAGCCAAAGTACAGAATGCTCTCGAATGGCTCGGTGACGTTGGCCTGCTGTCTCTTGTGCTGGATCTCCATCAGGAAGCCGCGGAACGGCGCGAAGCCTGTGCCTGGTCCGACCATGATCATGGGTGGTGGTGTCGATTGCTGTTGTGTCTCCACGGTGGTCTTGGGTGAGAAGTAGGTGGGCAGTCTAAAGTGAGACTCGCGAACGAATATGGGCACCTTGTCGCCGGCCTTGAAGTTGGTCATCCACGTGGAGCACACGCCGTTGTGGAAGCGGCTGGTGTTGGTGGTGAAGTTGACAACGACCGAGGTCACTGTCACTCGACCGGGCGTGGCGTTCAATGACGACGAGATTGAGTAGTAGCGCGCGGGCAGACGTGGCAGGAACTCGAGAATGTGCTCGATGGGTGGCTTGACGCCAGGGAAGTTCTGGAGCAGCTCGCCAATCGTTCTAAAGTCTTGCTTGATGAATTGGTTGTACTCTTCGGATGCCTCCTCAGTCGTCAGGTGGATGAGACGCTTCTTCTCCTCCTCGACCGAGGTGTACTCGGCAAGAGCACGCAGCACTGCCTTGCGGGGTGGGTTGGTGATGTCCAAGTACTCGGAGAATGCCTTGCGAACGGTCATTGGACCGAACGAAGCTTCGATCACCGAGCCAGCCTTGTCATGTGGGACGAGAGCAAAGTATGTTTCGCCGTCGACGCCCAGGCGTTCGAGCAGCTGGTCCACCAACATCTTCTCATTGATTGGGTATATTCCAAGATGATCGCCAACTGAATAACTAATGTTGTCGCCAATATCAAACTCGAGATGCTTGCATGATCTATCAGACTCGCTCGAATGAAGTTCCTTGTTCTCAACAACTGTTGCAAGGTATGGGTTCTTGATGTCATATACACTGTGTCGTTTGATTGATTGATCGTGATTGGATTAGTAAGTCAGTCAAGTCTGCCTCGCAAGCATGATCATTCATAGCAATCAATCAAACACATACACTGAACCTGATGATGACAACTTGGGCTTTGGCTTTGGTGCTCTAACCTTGATGTAAGAGTTGTTCATGTCAACGTTCTCTTCAGTGAGCTTGATCATTCTGAATCTTGGTACACTACGATGTTGATGACAGTCATTGGTTAGCGACAAACATCCAATGCCGGTCAATGATAATCAATACTTACAACTTGTCGTCTTCGTCCAACTTCAACTCGTAGCCAAGGTACTCACAGACAGAGACCCACATGTTCTTCTTCCAATGTTGGAAGTCCTCCTCGAGGGTGGCATCATCATCGCCCTCACCTCTCTCGTAGATGCGCTTGCCTCCCAACTCTTCAAGACGACGATCAAACACTCGGGCGACTGCGTTGAAGTGTTCGTAGGTCTTGTTGCCCAGACCAAACACGGTGAAGGGCACGCCGTTCAGCATGCCAGGCTCGCGCTCCTGGCTCGTGATCCATGTGTAGAACTCCTTGGCATTGTCAGTGGGATCGCCCTCACCGTGCGTGGCCACCAAGAACATGACAAAGTACTCATTGGCGAGCTCCTCTGGGTCGTAGCCCTCCATATCGACGACCTCGCATGGGATGCCCAATTTCTTGGCCTCCTTCTCAATCACATGTGAGAAGTCCTCAGCAGTCCTAGTTTGTGTTCCAAAGAAGATCTTCAATACCTTCTGTGCTCGGGTCGTCGTCAAATGGTGTCAGTCATTCAATGCTCATCGTCATCCAATCAATCAATCAATCGACATCGGACTTACCTCTGCTGACTCTGATCTTGGCTTCTTCTCTTGTTTGGCGATCGCTGGAGCAGGCTTCTTTGGCTTGCTTGATTGGGGAGGAGGTGGAGGAGGTCTGTTCATGTAGAGATATGTGCCGACGATGAGACACACGACGATCAACGTCGGGAAATACTCTGCCAGCAATGATTCGATTGCTTCCAACATGATTGATTGATTGATTGATTATAAGGTCGTAACTATATTCTATTCAACCTTTTTACTACAACTATACTGGTCTGGTTGGTTGTCCTTCTCTTGTTTGTTTGTTGCTAATGATGTTATATAACTTTGATATAGTACTACTACTACTATACTGTGTGACTGAACTAGCTTGCTGTCAACTCAAATGACTCTGTATAATCAGAAGGGTGTCGTCGATTGATTGATGCAATGTTAGCAAGGTCCGTCAGACTGACTGTCTGTCTATCTGTCTATCTCTGTTCTGGTCTAGTCTCGTCTGATTGATGTGATTGTGTTGATGATGAGGTGTGTATGTATGTATGTATGGTTTGTATTTGTTTCAATTGACACGCGTCAAAGGATATATAATATAGTATAGTAATGGGATGGGACGAATGAATGGCAGAGTTGAGCTGAGCGATATAACTTAAAATCTAAAGATATCTCATGTGATGCTGTCTACACCTTAAGGGGTAGTGCCAATGCTAATGGAGTGAGTGTTGGCGTTGTGTTGGTGTTGGTGTGTGAATGGATGGAAGGAAGGTGTGGGTTGGCGTGAAGGGTTGACAAGGGTAGTGTGTGTCTTTGGTGCATAAGGAAGGAGGAAGGTTGACATTGACATTGACACAACATGGACGGTTACATTGTTGTTGTTATAATTATAAATCGACAATGTCATGAATGAAAGACTGAATGAATGAATGAACATTCTGACATAATATCAAGATTCAAAAAGGGTATACTCTGATGTGATATTGGGTGATCCAACAAGGAGAAAGTAGTATAGGTAATTAATTATACTTTACCTTAATGCAATGCTGTAATATTAATCGATCAAATGTCTGTCTGTCAGTCTATGTATGTTTGTCTGCCTGGTCTTGTCTGTGTTGTATATATGTATCTTGCTAATCTCCACACCACCAATATCAAAGGTACCCAGATAGGGTTGACAAGTAATATATATATAATAGGAACAGATAGAAAGATAATAAGAAACGACCGTTTGGAATGAATGAATGAGCGTAAAGTGTCGGTTTTGCTGAAAGGTTGATTGTGATAAAACACTCAGATTCAGGACCACCACATCATTATTGTTTGAAGTTTTGTGTGTACCTTTGTTGGAAGCTTCCAACTTAGAGTGTGTTGGTGTTGTTGAGAGATGCTCATGAGTCATGGCACTGGGACAAAGAACACATCCCACTAAACCATCACACATTTCCTTAATAGGTGGTTGTAGATTGGGCAATCAATCGCACAATCGTACTCTGTATCTTTCCCAAAGGATACTAACTACATCATATAACAGGATTGGAGGACCTTGGTATCTTAAGATAGGTCTACTGGTAGGAAGACATTAGTTGTTTTATTGTATTGTAATGTAATGTTAATGTGATGATAATGAGTTTAAAGTGTAATAATACTTAAGATGTTGAGACTTGGGAGACTTAACATATCCATCCCATCCATCTACATCTTTAAGATCTTCTCGAAGCCGATCGAAGAACCAAAATATCTTTCTTTGGGATAGAGGTGTCGTGTCGTCAAAGTGAAGTGATGATCATATATTCATTCACCCTCAATCTCAATCAATCAATCAATCAATCAATCAAACAACAACCAAATAACTAAATAATCATACATTGAATAACATTGAAGAGGGATATGGATAGCAACGACCAACATTTACACTTTGATAGTTTGGCCACCAAGAGAGTGGAGGTCAAGGGACCGGTTAACTCATTGTCAACACCAATATATACTTCGTCAACATTCTACTTGGACAATGCACAGCATGGCGCAGCACTATGCCTTCAGGACTCTGTTCAAGATGGTCAGTCACCCTGGTTGTACTCGCGTTGGGGAAACCCCACCAATGATGTTGCCGAGCGTCTAATTACAAAGTTGGAGGTGGGTCGCAGTGGCCTGACAACAGCCGCCACCTATGTCACATCGTCTGGCATGTCAGCCATCAGCACTGCACTCCTGGCACTGCTCCACGCCGGTGATCATGCTGTGTTCCCAACCAACATATACGGAGGCACGCACGAGGTCATCACCGACCTGTTGCCCAAGATGGGCGTCAGTGTGACATGCGTCGACCCAAGCGACATTAACAACTTTGTAAACGCGATCAAGCCCAACACAAAGATGCTGTACGGCGAGACACCTGCCAACCCGACCATGATCCTCACTGACTTGGCCGCACTGGGCAACTTGGGTCGCACTCGCAACATCACCACAGTGGTCGACGCCACGTTTGGAAGCGTGTACAACACTCGTCCACTTGAGCATGGCATTGATGTGGTCGTGCACTCGGCTACAAAGTACTATGGTGGCCACTCTGACCTCATCGCTGGCACCATCACCTCGGCCAACGCTGCCCTACACGATCGCATTGGCCACTACCTGCGTCTTCTTGGTGGCACAGCCTCTCCACACACTACCTTCCTGTTGCAGCGTGGTATCAAGACGCTGCACCTGCGCATGGAGCGACACAACCAGAACGCCTTGCGTCTGGCACAGTTCTTGCAGAGCCATGCCAAGGTGGAGCGCGTTCACTATCCTGGTCTTGAGTCACACCCACAGCACGAGTTGGCCAAGAAACAGATGCAGCCAGGCTTTGGAGGCATGATCGCATTTGAAGTGCGTGGCGGTGCCGATGCTGGACGTCGTGTGATCGAGTCCGTTCAACTGATCACGTTGGCCGTCTCACTTGGTGGAGTCGAATCATTGATCGAGCAGGCCAGTACCATGACACACACAATGGTTGATCGCGACACCCGTGAACGATCCGGAATAACCGATGGCTTGCTCAGATTCTCAGTAGGTTGCGAGAACATCGATGACCTCATTGCAGATCTCACCCAGGCACTTGAGAAGGCTTAGGCCTAGGCCTGTGGACCTGGCTGGGGTGGAACCACTCACCTCAAGACCTCAATGATATACATTACATAAAGTTATTATTTTTATTATTAGATTGGTCATTGGCAATTAATGACCCACATGATGAATGGCATGTCATTTAGGTTCCACCTGTTCAAGGCTTGGGTCCCAAGCTCAATGCGAATTCGCATTTGCTTGGAAATGATGAGGTTTGGTTCGCAAACCCACACAGATTGCGATGAGTGTGTGTTCAATGTTGAGGGAGGACCTCCAAACAACTTGATTATTCAAGTGTAAACAGCATCGAGTCACTTCACTTCTTTGTCGTGTGTGTACAGCTCAAGGTAGATAGATAGATAGATAGATAGATAGTCATTTGTACTTGAAGAGATAATAATATATACTCTTGCTTGTTGTGTACACACATACATATCATTTAGCTAAACAACATTAACATTAGCATACTACAATAATAATAATAATACTTGGGTATTCATTGATTCACAGTTCATCAAACAAACAAACAAACAATCAATCAATCAGTCATACTTGTATACTTCTTGTTTAAAAAATGAGTGATGAAGATGATGATATAATGGAGGTCCAACAACAACAGCAGGGACCTCAACTTCAACAACAACAACATAATCAACTACCAGTGTTCCCTCCACAGCAGCACCCTCAGCAGCCACAGCAGCAACAACAACTTAATCAACATCTCCAAAATCTTCAACACTTTCATCAACAACAACAACATCAGAATGTAGTTGATAGGAAGAGAAAGGAAGAGGAGATGGATGATGGGGAGCAAGATGAACCAGAGTTTGTCGAGAGCGATGATGAGGACTATATCGAGGATGTTGAGTACATCAACAATAACAACAACAATCAAGAGTTGGGCGCCGGCGGAAGAGCAATGATGATGGAGGGTCATCCAATCCAAATGATGCAGCGTCACCATCACCTGCACAGACAGGAGGTTCAACAGAGGAAGCAACAGAAGCAGCATCTGGGCCACCAGAGACACCAGCCCGACATCTTTGACGAGGAGGCAATGGACAGGAAGGGCGCTCCAAAGGCCCAAAACAGGGCCGCTCGACGAGCAACTCGTGGTCACCCCCTGATGGTGCCCCAGAGGCGTGGTGGCAGAGACGGTGCTCATTTCCCACTGGACGCCCCAGACGATGGCCCTGGCTATCTTGACTTGCCACATGAGCGACCGGAGCGAGGCTTCCCCAACAAGAAGATCCTCATGGCTGAGTGGAGTGAGATTAGGAACATCGTACTGGTACAGCCACAGGCGCAAGAGCAACCAGGTGTGCCTGCACAGATTCGTGGTCCACCAGTTGATCTCGCTCAATTACTCTATTCCCAGAACAACAACAACAACAACAATATTATCGATCTGACCGATGATGTTGGCAACAACAACAACAACCAATACCTTGGTGGCAACAACAACTATAATGGCAACATCAAGTTCAGCACATCCTTCTCAGTCATCGACACCAAACAACAGAACCACTACAGGTTTAACATTAATTTGATAAACAGTGGCGATTGTCTGGTCAAGGTGCAGGACAACAACAACAACAACATGGTGGAGGCATTCTGCAAGAGCTGCATGGACTGCAGCATCAACAACATCGACGGCGTTGTCATTTTGCCCACCGATCAACACCAGGACAACTTAGAGCGTCTGCTCGCCTCCATTCCACACATTGATCGATTCTTTGAATGTGGCGTGCGACTGGCCGTCGTCATCACGCAACAGGGCGAGTCACGCGAGGTCTGGGAGAACAGATGCCGAGCAATGAAGGAGCAGGTTTCTGCAGCCAAGGACAACAACCAGTCCAAGATCAGGAATGTGGAGTTCCTGTTCCTGGCCGCAGGCGTGGAGAGGATGCCAGCGCAAGTCGCTACAAACGTCCAGGAGTTCCTTTGCCAGCCAAAGGACTCCAGGTCGCTGCAAGCATTCCTTGCACCATGGGGACTTCCTGTTGTTGGCGCGCAACAACAACAGCCCCATCATCAGGATAATCAGCAACCTCAACAACAACCACAGCCACAACAACCACAACCACAACCACAACAACGTCAACAACCAAGACAGCATCGTCAACAACAGCGTCAACCCCGTGATGCAGAGATGGGAGTGGACAACGACGAAGTCAATGACAACAATAACAATAACAACAACAACAACAACAACATGGTTGGAGGACCAGAACGAGGTGGTATGCATCGTGATATGGATGCAGCACCGATCAGAGATGTGGTGGCACCAGACGTACAGCAACAACAAGAGATAACCGTGCAGATCGTCACGTTCTCCCTTCCAAACAAGCCGCTCTATCAAGAGGGTCTGTTGTATGGCTCGTTCAACTTTGCCCAGGAGACGATATCGTGGCACCTGGCCAAGAAGGACAGGGTCATCAAGTACGCCTTCAACGATATGAAGAGTGTCGAGGTGTTCAAGGGCCACCGCGGCGTCGAGCTGGTGTTTGTGCTGCAGCCAAGTCCGCCAGAGCACGAAGCCTTCATGACAACGATGACGACCATCACCAAGCACTCTGTTCACATCATGGACGACGACTGGAAGGTCTTTACCAACAAGCTGAAAGACACGCCTTTCAATGTGATGCTGGAGGAGCTGCAGCGCAATCTTGCGGCCAAGGGCAAGTTCCACACCAAGGTGATCTGGGATCGCTCGCAGCACACCTTCCTGCCCACCATGGACTTTGTGCCAATGGTCAAGTCATTCATCGAGCGCACTGAGTTTGACGACAAGCTCAAGAACTTCTTCATTCAGAATCTAATCAACAACTACAACTCGCGCGAGAACGATGAGTCCATGGCCTACCTCACATCAGATGACCTCCATCAGAAGTTATCCAACAACAAGACATTCCCATTATTTGCTTTCTATATCCTCATGAGGATTGACAAGTATGTATACATGCTCTAGATCATTGATTGATTGAATGAATGACTAACACGCATGCACACTTATTAGTATGTTGAATGATGGAATCAAACATAAGGACACAATCTTTCAAACAATGTTTATGGAGTTGCTCAATGTTGGTGGAATGATGATGTTGCACTCTGACCTCAATGAGGTGTACATTCGCTTCTTGGACAGGAATTATGACGACTTGAAGATCAGCGTCGGCATGCTCACATACTTTGGCATCAGCTACTTTGACTTTGAGGCTGCTGACCAGGGTCCCGAGGACGACAGATTCCTCCACAAGATTATCGCATTCGCCGACAAGAACAACACCTTGGACACAGACAACACCTTCACCGTCTACAAGCGTCTGCGCTCCAAGAAGCTATTCTTGGAGACACTCACCATTCACTCTGGTATCATGGATAAGGTAAGGAAGGAGTTGATTGGACGTCGTGATGGCCTGGTCCTGACACTGATACTGACTCACGCAAACAGGAGATCCAAGACAATCAATCATTCAAGCGCATCTACAAGTTGTTGACCAAGTTTGTTAAGGTTACACCACTAATCTACAAAGACTTTGGCAAGATTGTCATGTCGTTGGAACCAAGTAAGTAGCACATTGAATGAATGAATGTGGACAACTCCAACTTGTCACTAACCACCTCACTTTGCACACGAGAAGATGAGGATATATCGCCAGAGATGATCATTCACAGGTTTATGTTGGCGTATGAACTGAGCTTATTTGACAACACGCCAAGAATCTCTTACGGCAAGTTGTTCTTCTTGGGCCTCTGTGTCGAGAGGAATAGTTTCATCAAGGAGTTCTACGCACCCAAGAAGAAGGCGGTCACTGCCAACATCCAGTTGTACATTGAAAATGAGATCAAGAGGAACAGGGACTTAAGGCAAATCTTTAGCATGTTGAACGACCCACACGTCTCTTGGATGTACAGCGACAACATACTCAAGTCATTGGCAGAGCTTGACCTGCCACCCCCTGTCAAAGTGGAAATCTTCAGTTGTGATCCACACAGTCGAGTGATCTCCCAGCTGCAGTCCTACATGCTACAGAGGTTCCGAATGGAGGACTATGCCCTGATCTCACTCAACTGTCCATCACAGAACATAACACTTCGTGATCCACAAAACGTAAGTCACACTGGCATCCAATGACTCAATCAATCAATCACTAACATGCCCAATCAATCAATGATGATAGATGAGAACAAGCTACCATGTATTGAGTGTTGTGTCAGAGTATGAGGTAATCTTTAGACAACACAATCCGAATGTAGTCTTGAACGTTGACACGCACAAGCGTTACCACGACCTTTGCAAGATCATTGTGGAGCGATACATTCAGCTCAAGGACAAGCCCGTGACAAGCTTGTTTGATACCTATCCACAGAGGATACCCGCCACCCTGCCATTCATCCTCTTGTTCACTCACTACTTGGAGTACCTTGTGAGTATGCCACGCTACCAGATCTACTCTGTGTTTGGCAAGTTGGCTTCGCTGCGCACCGAGATCAAGATATGGAGGAGGGACTCGGATCAGTACGCTGAACGCGCCACCAGATTCAAGGACATGATATATGCCCGCTGCCAAGTGCTGATCAAGCAGTGGAAGGAGGAGCACACCGACGAGTACGACACGCTGAACGGCATCCTGATCAATGCCTACCAGGTCAGCAACCTGCCCACCTCCAAAGAGTTGAACATCAAATACAACCGCGAGATGATGGAGCTGAACAGTCTGAGGAAGCTGGGTGACTGGCTGTCCAAGCAGTTCAGCTTTGGGATTGAGGGCCTGCACGTCGACACCAACGAGGAGCAGCCATCCACTCAGAACCAACGTTTGCACAACCTGTTCCTGACGCTTACATCAGAGACTGGCTTCAAGTTGCGCTCACCCGACACGGTTCACTTCCTCAAGTACTTCCTGTCGACTGAGCACAATGTCTTCTTTAAGATCATCGTCGACTACTACCTCCACAAGCTCAACACCAAGGACATTGACAAGATCGCCAACAGCGCCGAGTCGTTTATGAATCAGTTGATCAAGCAGGACGATAGCATCCCACTCAATGAGATCTTCCGTCGCGTCATTGCCGCCAAGGACATCAACTACACCAAGGAGCTGCAGAACGTGTTCCTGTACTTCAACCCCGACGGCAAGGTCGATGACAAGGACAACCGTTTGAACAACTTCATCACCAAGGCCACGTCACTCTATGGCATTGAGTCCAACATCAACTTCCTGTTCAACTTCATCGAGAACAACCTCAACTACGTCTCAGTGACCCAGTTCAATGAGGTCAAGACCAACATCAACAAGCAGCTGGCACTAGTGTCCAAGCCCGACATGACGATTCGCAAGTCCCAACAGATCTTCACCGCCATTACCGAGTTGATTGGCGGACTCAACTACCATCAGCTGGCGTACTTCAAGTACATCAACCCAGAGTTGATTGAGTTCTTTGCCTCGTTCAAGGATATCGTCACCACCAATCAGATCATCACGTCCAACCTCATCTCTGATGAGTACAACTCCAGTCTGATGAACAACACGATCCATTCGCACACGCTTCTGTACCCATTCATCCGTCGCTACCAAGACGCCAAGGAGGCCAACTTTGTGCTGGATCACCTCAACTACCCATCGCTCACTGCCATGTGTGCCTCCCTCACCAATCTGATACCCACCGATCATCATGACCTCGAGACAGCATTCAAGAAACTCAACTATGTTGTGGAGAACATGTCTCATGTGCGAGGTCTCTACTCGTCTGCTGGAGGCACGTACAACTCCGAGTCGATCTTGCCCACGGTTGTCAACATCCTCAAGGGCTCGGAGTACACCTCCAAGAGCTCCAAGAGCGAGGACGGCCTTGTTGGCTGGAATGTCAAGATCGTCTCAACATCGGTCGAGTTCACTCAAGAGAAGATCGAGGATTTTGTCCAGGGTCTAAAGATCAGCTCCACGAGCAACAACGTCGCCAAGGACGACCAGCATCAAACTGTCGAGGTGTTTGGCATCATCGTCAAGCTACTGCGCAGGATCCATCATCTGCACGGTGAGCTGGACCGTGTCTACCATCCAAACCACTTCAGCGGCTCGCTCCAGTTGCAGTTCTCCAACGACACGCTGGACCTACTGCGAAACACTGTCAAGAGACTGGAGGATGATCTCAGCGGCTGGATCGACTCGATCAACAAGCTTCCCAGACGTCTCTGGCTGCTCAAGGCGCACGGCATGTCGTCGCTTATCTCTGACTATGAGAACATCGTCGCCAAGCATGCTGATGTGAAGCACATCCCGCCAACCGCCCTGATTGAGTTTGTCTATCCTTATGTTGCCTATGTCTTTGGCAACTGTGGCATCACCAGAGCCACACTTGAGTCGCTCATACTCCAGGACCACCCAGTCACGTCCAAGGTACCCTACACGCAGTTCTTGACCGAGCTGGTCAGCATCATTGAGGAGCACGAGGACTTTGACGAGCCGAGATCCACCGACATTGGTCCAATGCTGGTCCATCTCGATACTAAGTCCAGCCTGTACAATGTTATAATGCAGCTCAACAACTTCATCGCGCCTCACCCTCACCAGCTGTTCTACGCCCACACCTTTGCCAAGGACATTGAGTACTTCTTCAAGGTGGTGGAGCACATGCGTGGCTACATCTTCTTCCTCATTGGCATCCCAAGGGAGAAGGACAGACTGATCCAATGGCTGTCTGAGCACTACAGCAATCAGACCATCAAGAACCTGGCACGGGTCTACATTGTCTCAACAGAGACCAGTCTGAGCAGCGACCTCTGCGCCTTCCTGCCACAGTACTCTCAGAACTTTGTCAAGGAGTGGCGTGGCTTCAAGGAGACCTGGACCAAGACCAAGGCATCGTGTGGCATTGAGTCACTCAACCTTGTGTGTGGCGATAGTGGCACCGGCAAGTCCTACTTCATCAAGTCCAAGAAGACTGACAATGTTCCATTCATCACTGTCCCCATTCATCCAAGTTTCGACTCCCGAGCACTGATCAATCATCTCACCAACCACATGAACCAAACTGGCATTGATGTCAACAACAACAACAACAATGCACCAGTAGCTGCTGCACCCAAGAGCCCGGTTTTCATTGGAGGAAAGAAGAAGTTGGTCGTTCACTTCTCTGTGTCACCCTACTGCGACTTTGACAGCTTCAATCAGTTCATATACCCATTGATCACTGCTGGATTCGTCATTGGCAGTCGTGTCGGAGAGATCATCTATATCGCCGACAAGCTGCTGCTCGAGATCTACGTCGAGTGCGGCTCTCCTTTGCTCGATGGTCGCAAGTATGACAACGTAATGGAGTACGCCCGTGAGACCACACCACTGGTAGTCAACCTGGCCGACCTGGCCGACCACACCAAGGTGCAGTGGCTGATGACTGCCGTCGAGAGGAAGTGTTTCTCCTACGTCAACAGCAACCCATATCAGAAGCCCGCCATTGATCTGGCCAAGAAGGTCACCATGCAGGACTACCTCCAGTACATCACCACCAAGGTGTTGGTGCCGCTGGGCTACCACACCAAGTTCCTGGTGCGCCCCAACAACCTGCTGCAGCGTCGCTGCTTCATGAAGCTACTGAACGAGCGTCTGTTGTTCCTCGACGCCTACTTTGACACGTACGCCGAGATTGGTCTGCAGGATATGGTCGACGATGAGAAGCACACCGACTTCCAGAAGGACTACATGCAGCCAGCCGAGTTGTACAAGTACTTTGTGCTGGAGGCAGTCAAGTTCTCAGATCCCGCCTATTCAAGTGCCGAGACCATCTGGAACGACCCACCAATGATCACCTCGCGACTCAAGCACAACCCCAAGACAGTGGCGGTTGAGTATCTCGAGTTTGCTCCCAAGCCACAGCTCACTGGACGTGTCAAGTCCACCACACTCAAGGATGCTTTGGAGAACCCAGGCAAGTTCAGAACGATCATTGCCAACATCTTTGGCATCCACTCGAGAACTGAGATCATCATCAACCTGTGCCATCAGTACAACTACGTGCTCACACCAGACTTTGGCATTCGTCTGTTGATGCTGCACAACAAGGTCAAGAACCAGAGATCGCTTGTTCTCACTGGAGACACAGGAGTCGGCAAGACATTCATCCTGTTGTTCTACTCACTGCTCATCAATGCCAAGAACAACGCATTGCCAGACATTCTTGCCAAGATCCGAGAGGAGATCAACACTATCATCAAGAACAAGCCCGACTTCACTCTCAAGGGCGACTTCCAAGACAATAAGCTGACGGCCGACTCTTCCACCATCCAGATTCTTGAGGCGCTGACACAGCTGGTCGACAGCGAGGTCAACCAAGCAGGCCAGACAGCCATCTTCAACCGCTTCGAGACCCTCTTGTCCCAAATGCTCAGATCATTCCCTCTGATTGAGTTCCCCAACACTGGAGTGCTGCAACAGATCAGGAGGAGGATATCCCCACTGATGTCCACTGTGATTAACAGGAAGGACCGTCTGTTGGAGGCTGTGAAGGAGATCTCCAACGCCACATTCAAGAACATCTTCCATCGCATTATTATGCATCAGAAATTCTCGGCCAAGGCGTTCAAGTTGCTGGTGCAGGGCTACATGAAGGAGGCCAGACAACTGCGACAGGACCAACATCTCAAGATGGTGATCTTTATCGATGAGTTTAACACCAGTCCTGACGAGACGCTGTCCATCATCAACGAGATCTTTGTCGATGGCACGCTCGAGGGTGAGGAGATCCCAGAGAGCATCTTCTGGATCGGCGCCATGAACCCGCCCAAGAAGATCACAGACCCATCATCGGTCGACTACACTGGCCAGCTGACGTCCACCAGCAACCTGGCGTTTGTCGTCCAGCCACCCCCACCCTCCATGGTCAACCTGTTCCTCAACTATGGCGAGTTCACCGTTGAGAATGAGAAGTCGTTCCTCACCACCTTGTTTGGCATGCGCACTGACATCTGCAAGGAGCACTCGTCCGAGGTGCTCAGGGACTTCATCATCATTGGCCAGAACGCATTGCGTCAGGCCAATCAGTCCCGTACACATGTCTCCATCAGAGACATCAACAGAGTGATCGATCTCTATCAGTTCTTCACACAGACACCAGTGGGCCAGAGCATCCTCACATGTGCCAACCCAACGCTCATGTCCAAGGAGGACCAGAGTGCAGGTTTCGGCCATTGGCTCGCCATTGTCTGCTCCATCGCCTTCACCTACTACATCAGAGTGCCACCTGGAGTGGTCCGCGTCAAGCTGTTGGAGCTGCTCAACAAGTTCTACGTCAGCAAGGCTGCGCCCATGGTTGTCCAGCGCTATCCCAACTTTGAGCGTCTGTTCAATCACATCTACACGCAGTTCTGTGACAAGAGACACACTATCCTACCCGAGGGCATTGCGCTCACCGAGTCGTTGAAGCTCAACATCTTCTGCACGGCCATTTCAATCAACTGCCGCATCCCCCTGTGCATCGTCGGTCCACCAGGTTGCTCCAAGACGCTGAGCTTCACAATCGTCATGAACAACATGAACGCCAACAAGCTGGTCGACAGGATCAACAACAGCTACGTCTCGCCCTGGTCGCTGATGACCAATGCCGATCCCTTCCGCTACCAATGCACACCGCACACCACCGATATTGAGATCCACTCGGTGTTTGAGCGTTCTCTCAACCGTCAGAAGACCTACGACATGTCTGGAGGCAAGAACCGTTGTGTTGTCTTCTTCGATGAAGCCGGTCTGGTCAATGAGAACGACTCGCCCATGAAGATTATGCACGACTACCTCGACAAGGTCTCACAAAAGATCGAGCAGAACAGTGTAGACATCTCCGTGATCATCCTGTCGAACAAGGTGCTGGATGCAGCCAAGACCAATCGTATGCTGCTGTTGTTGCACCCCTCGACTATCACAGACGACGACCAACGCGCACTTGTCACTGGCTGTCTGTTCAACAACGCCACACTCTCCTCAGTGGAGAATGACATGTCCACAGCACTCTGTCGCGCATTCCTCAAGGCCAACACCTATGCCAAGAGCACCAAGACAGACCTCTTCCATCAACGTGACTTTGTCTACTTCCTGCGCCATCTTGCACGTGGAATCAATCGCAACAACGGTGTGTTCAATGGCGAGGTGTTGCTCAACTCCCTCGAGCGCAACTTTGGCGGTGTTCCACCTGCCCAGTTCAAGCAGCTGGCCACCGAGTTCTTCACCGAGCTTAGCCACATTGAGCATCTCAACATGAAGACTGCTCTCGAGTCTGGCCTGCTCGAGCACAACAACACCATCACACGTATCAAGGAGTCGCTTAGCGAGACGCTGGACCCCAAGCAAGATCCCAACATCGTGCCATTCCGATACATGATGCTCATCGATCCATCCGAGAATGAGTCATCGCTCATGATCCTCAACGAGCTTGGCATTAATGTCAGTGTCATCCGTGTTGGAGGCTTCGAGAACGACTCTACCACCGAAGCACTGGTCAACGTTGTGTCACAGATCAAGAACGTGATGGCGTCTGGTGGCACGGTCGTCCTTGTCAACACACAGTTGATCGATGCCTGTTTCTACGATGTGTTCAACAGGTACTTCACCCTGCTGCCCTCAGCCGATGGCTCAATCCACTTCATTGCCAACGTGTCCTTTGGCACACACTCGATCTTCTGCCCCGTGCACCCCGAGTTCAAGATCATCGTTCACTTGCCACTCTCACAGATGTCATCAACACAACTTCCATGGCTCAACCGCTTTGAGAAGTATCAGTTGTCCATTGACACCATGCTCGACTACTATGTCGAGAACGACGAGCAGCTGAGGAAGTGGACAGACTTTGTCGACAAGATGAAGAAGTCCGCATCGCACTTTGTCAACGAGTTCCACAACAAGGTCACGAACAAGTCTCTGCTGTCTGGTTACTCCGAGACCGAGACCATCCCATCGCTCGTGTTCTCCATCGCCAAGGACATCAAGCGCAAGGGTGTTCCCGTGATCACACCACAGCGTGTGTCCGACCAGCAGCTGGACAAACAGAACCCCACCGAGGACTTTGAGTTCCGCCAGCTCAACTGGAAGATCCTGCAGGTGGCCAGACCCGAGAGCATATTCAAGTGTCGCTCGCTGCCTCGCTCCTACATCGAGGAGTACCTGCTGCGCCAGGAGCATTTTAACATCCTTCGCTTCCTCAATCACCTCTTCACAAAGAGGATCGTGCAGGGCAGCAAGGACATCTCGAATAAGTGGACCTTCTTCACCAGGACATCACTCACACTTCATCGTCTCAAGGACTCTGATCACTTGGACAAGTTCCACAAGATCCTCCTGAACACCATCTTTGAAGCCAACCCCGACTTGATGCAGACCAACCTGTTGCGTATCATCCAGCTCAACAGCTTCAAGACCAGCCACAAGTGCCACAAGGAGATCGAGGACTTCAAGCAATCCAGCCAGCAGATCTGCATGATCATTGCAGACATGTCCACGGTCAACCAGCACCAGTTCAACTTCATCGTTGAGCGTCTGTCCCAGTTTGATGACTCCAAGCTCATGATCATCATCTGCCATTATCCACCCGAGTTCTCCTTGTCCAACAACACCAAGCTGAACGCCATCTTCCTCAACAACATGGAGTTCATCTATATCGACTCGCTGGGCGTCAAGATCGACTCTCAAAAGATGGAGCAGGCCGACAACCACGTGGACGTAGACATCCGCACGTGGCTCGCCAAGGCCTTTGGTCTGCAAGTACACATTGACCCTGAATCACTCGAAGAGACCTTCAAGGAGATGTTCTTTGAGCATCTCGGCCAGGTTGCCATGGACGTCGGTCGCCTGAACATGTTGACTACCAACATGCAGGAGCGCCAGTTCTATTTGGATCCCGCAGCGAGGAAGCAGTTCATCACCAAGCTGTTTGAGAAGCACCCAACATGGTACCGCGAGGTCATCATCAAGTTCTCCAAGAAGTGGAACGAAAAGTCATTGTTCAGCAGGATCATCAACAACATCTCCACTCTGATCCTCTCGGGTAAGATCGTGCAGTCGTTCCTCGACTCGATCAAGAACTCCATGTCGTCGTTCTTCTACCCCATGGTGTCGCAGATCTTCAAGCTGCTCACCAACTATGGCTCGTACGGTGTGATCTCGCAGATCACCGTTGAAAACACACTGCTCGTGGACCTGGTCCGTCTGTTCATCGCCTCTGTCAAGGTGCCCAAGATCTCGGACGACATTGAACGCCGCTTCGAGCCCGTCACCCTGTACCTATCGATATACCGCCAAGCGCCCAAGCTGCCTTTGTACGACTCGATCGCCACAGTCATCAAGTCGCTCTTTGAGCAGACACTCAACCTCAACCCCGAGCGTGGTGTCGCGCACATCTTCAAGAAGTTCACCGAGCGCGTCAATGCACACCCCATCCGCCAGCTGGTCGCCTACATCGACAAGTCGAGCGAGTTGTACAACTACTACCAACACGACTACGTCGTTAGGACCATGCGTTTCACCGACCCCCTCTGGATGGACTTTGTTGTCACGGTGCTCAAGAACATCTTCCCGCTCAGCTCCAACTCGATCCTATTGTTCACCGTGAGCAATCACTTCTACTTCAACACGGTGCACTACCTCAAGAGTATTAGCACTCCATTGATGTACCTAGATTTCGACATCAACATCCAGGGCCAGCTCAGCGAGCAGCTCACCAACGAGAACCTGCAGGACACGACCAAGGCCAAGACGGCCATCACCATGCTGGCCTTCAAGACATTGTTCATGATTATCAAGAACAAGATCGACCTCAACGATGACGCCCTAATGGACAAGATCTCCAACTGGTGCACGGTCGTGCGCGAGATCCTCAACCAGGTGACCATTGAACAACTCACAAAGATGTCCACGCCGCAAGTCCTGCCATTCACCACGTTTGTGTTTGTCCTGTTCAAGGTTCTGATGAGCGCGAGCATTGACAACAAGGAGGACACTATTCTCCGAGTTGTCAAGCTGATCATCAGCTCGTTCAGCATCGTCACGATGCAGCCCAATGACCTGGTCACACGATTCATTTCCCAATTCTCCACGCTCAATCGCACGCTTGCCAAGGACAATCTGCCACAGCTCAGCGTCACATGTCTCATGGACTGCATCGAGCCATTCATCACACTGTCCAAGGCCAACATTGAGGCATTCCTCAAGGTGTGCAACAATGGAGGCATCGACGAGTCGATGGTAATGCCCATGGGTTGGTACGCCCAGATCTTTAAGAATCTGTTGGACAACAGCTACAACCACAACAAGGATCGCTTCAACGAGTTAATGTTGAAGGAGCTGCAGGTCAAGGCCGACGCCATCACCAACCCCATCTTCTTTTGCTTCCAGCAAGAGGCCAAGGGTGTGCCCTCTGAAAACATCCTCAAGTTCCTCGACGTCACACCTGCCGAGTACATGCAGCACGCACCCAAGAACTGCAACATGGTCAACTCATTGTACTTTGTCTGTTTGGAGATACTGCGCGAGGAGGACAAGGGCAGCAAGCCACCCAATATCACTGATCGCATTGGATTGTGGAACAAGCTCAAGACCGAACGCGATATCATGTCCACGATCAAGATGTTGGCACTGGCCACACTCTTCCTTGACGTGCTCGCGACGATGATCAACAACGATCAGATCGCCAAGACCAAGACATTCTTTGAGAACAACAAACAGTTTGCCGCGATCATTAATGACATCCTGCTCGTACCAGCCAACCCCGCGCTCAAGGCAAAGATCGAGAAGCACTACTTCCAGATGTACGTGCTCAACAAGATCAAGTCCGAGAAACTTTTGATTGAGCTACTGAGGTCTGGCGACTTCTTGGACTTAGTGGGCATGTCCAACTGCTTGGTAGTCCAAGATCTGTCCATGAAGGAGTCATCTCTGTTCCACTTTGTCATTGACGATTCCACCGAGGATGGCAAGTTCTACAACGATATCAAGTTGGCGCTGGAGGCCAAGAGCCGACCAAGGATCGACCAGCTCGTTCAGCAAAGTCGCGGCAACCCGCGCGCCCTTGGTTTCTTCAGGATGTCAATGTTCCTGCTCACATACCAGGCCTACACCGACGATGCGCCAATGGACTTTATCAAAACTCTCGTGCAGCCTGGCAGCACATTCAATGCTGCCCTCGATAACGAGCCATTCTCCAAGTACTTTATGAAGATAGTCAACAAGGACTTTGATGCGCGTGTCAAGCATCTCGACGACATCCTCATGAAGAATCCGCAGAAGCCCAAGGAACTCTACGTCAACGCGCAACTGCTCGTCAACTCTCTGGCCGCAGCCATCGGTGCCGCCGACAACATGTATCTCTACCATCTGGTGCGTGACTTCAAGTTGATCGCAGGAAAGTTCTACCCCGCGTGCGAGTTCTACTTCCGTGACTGTGGTATGATCTACCGTTGGGAGCAGGCTCAAGAGATGCCCGTCACCTGTATGAAGGGCAATATAGTCTACAAGTATCTGATTGCCGCCACCTCCTGGGCCGCCTTCACATGGACAGTCAGCTTTGGTACGAACGAAGACTACAGGCATCTCACCGACCCCAGTATACACTTTGCCAACAAGCTCGAGAACTACCAAAAGACCAAACAAGGTCTCACAGACTATGTGGGTGCCAGAGCACTGGTAGCCATCACCGAGATCAAGCAGACCAAGCAGATGAGCGATCTGCTCATGGAGCCTGGCCACATCGTCACGGAGATTCTCTATGCCGTGTGGAGCGATTCATACACGCGTCCACGCCCTGTGATGAAGTCCCACTTTGCCTCATCGAGGGAGGTGGAGCTGTACGAGACCTATCTGATCGAGATGATCAAGCGTGTGTGGGACGACTACCCCAACATCAAGACCAGGAGAATTGACGCCATCGTGTCTAAGTCCAAGGTGCTGCACAGCATCATCAGGGTGCGTGGCGAGTACACCAAGCACTTCTTCTCGCCCTTCTACGACTATGAGTTCATCCACGACGCGTTGACCAAGGCCAACAGCCCACTGTTGTTGTTCTTCTCGACCAACATCTCGGTCATCTGCATCTCCAAGTACTTTAGCCACCTCGTCCAGTTCCTGCACCTGTTCTTCAATCACTTTGCCCGTCGTCTGCCCGCTGACTACCAGCATCAAACCGTACCCAAGTGTATCGAGTACCTGGCTGCGGGCCACTTTGAGACGGAGGCCACCATCCTAACGATTAACACTGCATGGAAGGACCTCAAGAGCTCATGGGCTAAGATCCTTGAGCACCTCAACATCATGGAGGGCGGCTGTCGCGAGCGTCCCGCCTACGAGAAGGTGCTGCAAGAGATCACCGATGAGATGCCATTGTCCAACCTGCTCCACAACAGGGATCTGGGCGAGGGTCTGATCATCAACCTCGTCAACAGTTGGATGGACAACACACAGTCCAAGGCCATAAAGCATCGTGACGAGATCAAGCCACGACTCAGTCCACTTCTCAGCAAGGTGACCGAAGGCAACACCAACATGAATGAGATCGATATCGGTAACATCACCTTTAGCCCTGGCGAGAACTTCTACTTGGTGGGCTCCAACTACACCGTGGACGACTACAGACGCTTCATCTACAAGTCCATCGCACAGTTCCAGACGTTCACACGTGACAAGTTCGTGCCAATGTTTGACAACATCGAGTCCAACCTGGCTTACCAGTTTGTCTCGGGCAAGATCGAGGGAGGCAAGCAGTTACAGCAGTACATTGTCGACTTCCCATTCCTTGACAAGACAGCGTCCAAGAAGATGACAGCTGCTATCAGCAACAACAATGATGTGGAGATGTCCGATGCATCGATCAAGGCCCCACTGGTACCATCACTCATCCCCGAGTCAGTGCGCGATCTCCTCAACATTCGTGAGAAACTCGACGACAAGTTCGCTCTTGATCTTCCAGATGGCGTGCGCATCCCCTTGGAGAACAAGTGCAACTCCAAGCTGCACCCCGAGGAGCTGGAGACTCTGTGCCGATTCTTCACGTCGCTCATTGCCAGGATGATCAACCATACTCAACAGCTGGGCGAGCAAGACAACATTAACAAGTCCGTCATGGAGGTGTGCGCCGGCTTTGGCATGGACACTCAGTTGCCGCACAAGATCAACCAGGATCTGTCCAAGGTGTCTCTGTTCTGTGTCAAGACAATCTCCCAGCTCGTCGTCAATGGCTATCTCAGGTTTGGACATCTCTACGCCAACACCATCCCCGAGCCCGCCCTCCAGGACCAGTCGATCATTGAACACCTCGAGACCAACAGCGCCAGACTGCTTGAAGAGGCCACCAAGGACAGCTCTACCATCCTCAACTGGATCAACCATCTGCAAGAGGTCATCCAGAAGCTGTCCTCCAAGGAGAGCAGAGAGATACTCAAGCAGACTCAGCCAGACTCGTTGCTCATTGCACACATCACTCCACTGCTAGGCACCATTACCAACCCTCCACCAACGACTGCTGCTCCATTCCAGTCGCTGATCAGGGACAAGACACCTGTGGCCTACTATCCCGTGTTGATGAGGACCATGCATGAGATTCTCTCGATGCTCAAGCTGCAGAACCAGGACCTGACCAAGGAGACCTACGTGGAGCCCTACCTCCCACAAGATTATGTCGTCCCTCAGGCAGAACAAGCAAACTCTCAACAAGCATCCATGGATGACACCAAGATGGTCTTGGATGATGAGGCTGTGAAGGAGTCTGATGTTGAACCAGCTTTGGAGAATGATGAAGATGAGGATGAGGAGATCGTAGACAAGCAAGGTGATGGTATGGTTGTTGGAGATAATGACAATGATATCCAGGACCAAGACGACACACACCCCGGAGCTGAGGACTTTGGTGAGATCAAGACTGAAGCCTTGGTCGTTGATCAGGACCCAAGCGAGATCAACCTCAGACCTCTCAAGATCGTACAGGACCACCCCTACATCCACTGCTTCCTCAACTGGCTCAGATACAAGCCCGAGTTCATCTCCACCGTGGTCGATGACGAAGACAACGAGTACGCTGAGTTGGCCAAAGAGACCCATCTGTTCCTCCAGGAGTGCCAGAAGATCTCAGCAGCCGAGATCGACATTGGACCACTGTACCGCAAGTTTGTTGACGTCTTTGAGGACACCCCATCCATGGGAGATTTCTTCATGCAGTTCCTCAAGGTCATCTCAGGCTTTGACCCTCGCAACAAGGATCTCATCATTGGAAAGACCCAGGCAGTCTGCTCCAACTGTAACCTTCCATTCAAGAAGGAGACCACCGAGTCTGAGTTCATCTTTGAGGACCTCAACAAGGGCAAGGAAGAGGACATCAGTGTCCGTCTCCAGAACATCTTTAAGCTCAAGATGAAGAACAAGAGACAGTAAGTTATTCTCCATCTCATCGGCCACACAGTTGTACTAACATATTCTTTGCCAACCTTAGGTGTGCAAGATGCGCAGGATCATTCCCACTTGCAACTGCACTGTTGGAGTCTCCTCAATATATCTTTATATCAATCCAGCGATTCACCAGTCCAGAGGAGAAGACCTACAACAGGATCAAATTCGACAACCAAATTGACATCTCCAAGAGCTTCATCACTGACAAGAGCATCACATACACCATTCACTCCATTGTGGTAAGTGTTATCATCAAACCATTGCATTATTTGCTTATAGTGATACTAACATACTCCAACTCAAACAGTGCCACGAAGATGAACCAAACAACCCTGAAGGTGGCAGCTACTCGATCCACATCAAGAACACCAATGAGCAGTACATTAGATGCACAAACAGGAACACACTGGTCAACAAGGATGAGTACCAAGAGACACTCGAGACAAACTGTGTGATGCTTGTCTACTCCAAGGCATTCGTGGCGTTGGACAATGATTCGTTCCTCAAGTGGATCACCAACTTGGCAGAGATAGACAATATCGAGACCAGATCGATGATTGCCAAGATCCTTAATGCGAATGGCATTGACACCTTCCGTATTGCCATTGCTCTCCACTCTGACCTCAGAGAGATGCTCCAGCCACATGTCACACCAGATACCATCGACATCTTCATTGGACAGCTGGAAATGGTCAAGAACAAGAACCCATCACTGTGCAACACCGTCGCTCAAACACTAGAGGACGACCGCTTCCTTGATTGGGTCAAGACCATCGGTATCAACACCAAGTCAGTTGACACTGTCATTGACAAGCTCTCCACCAATGATGTCCGAACATTCTCTGCTGCCAACACCATCGACATCAAGTCTTTTGTGGAAGAGATAGGTCTTACATCCACCTGTTCCAAGTTCCTTGCCCTCTCCCTGCAAGACCTTCACATCAATCAATAAATAGCTAAACAAATATAACATACATTTAAACAATACAGTTACACAAGTTTATTACTAGTTCATTGTTGGCCCTCTGCCATGACTTGGTTGATTGCCTTTGCGTCTGCCAGCTCCATACTGAGTGAGTTGACTTGGCTCTCAAGTTGCTCGATTTTGAAGTCCTTCTCCAGGAGTATAGCATTGTGCAGCTTCTCCATGGCCTCAAGCTTCTCAGTGAGCGCCTGGATCGTGGATCGGCTTTCAATATGATCTCTACGCAAGGCTTCTTCTACTCGTTTAAAGTTATTGCGTGTGCTGTTTGTCTTTTCTTCGTGCTCTTGATCCTTTGACTCGATACGCTCTAGATATTCGTCCACTTGCTCGCGCAGCTTTTGGAGCTCGGACTCTTGCTCCTTCTGTTTGGACTCCATCTTATAGCCCACTTCATACTGGTTGTCTAGCTGATCCATCAGGTCTCGCACTTGATCAGCTTTTTGTTCGGAACTTGTCGTGGCGGCACTGAGCTTTGTCTCTAGCTGTGACATTATTGTTGCGTTGGACTGTAACTGGTTGCTCAAAGTTTCGAGTTGGCTGCTCATGGTTTGGATCTGTCCAGTCATGGTCTGGACCTTGCCATTCAACACTTCAATGACAACATCCTTTTCACCAATCTCTTTGAGTAGATCAGCATCGGACTTTAGACAGATGACACTATTCTGTTCAGATGGTTGGAATATTGTAGAGACGGGTTCTACCTCTTCCTCACGAGGAGGTTGTACAGGAACCTCGCCAACCACCTGTTGCTCTTGGTACTTGTTCTGATGATAGTGTGCTGTGTCCTTGGCAATATCCAATGTCATTCTCTCAAGCATATCATTGATGTTTGCATTCTTGGGATGAGTTGGAAGGAACGATGACATGTGATTGATTGGCTTTGGTAAACCTTGGACAGGTGTGAAGTTTCTAGGTGCCACTACATGACCGAACCTAAATATGATTGTGGATAAGAATAGTGGCGTCAGTTACTTGCATCATGTTGTTGGATGATTGTTGTGAAGGACATCATACTGCTCTCTCCTTGTTAACTCCTCGTTGATAACCTTTTGGAGCTCTAGCGCAGATCGCTGTTGGAGCTGGCCAAGCATGTGATTGAAGCTAGATCTGCTTTGATACTCCAACTTGCATTGTTGATGATAGATTGGGATTCTCTCGACATCCTCGATCAACTGGTCAAATGGCATTGGTGTGAATCGGTTGAGCAAGGCATCGATATGACCCATATGCTTCAATAGTAGTGGCAAGTAGTTGCTCAGATTCTCCAACTCTCTGGACATGTTCTTTTGAAGTTGTAGATACCAAGTGTACGCCTTGTTAAAGACAATATCACATCTCTTGAGATTGTCTGTCGTGCTTAGTATAACCTGCATGTCACTATCCTTCTTAAGTGCCTCCAGTATATTCTTCACCTGTACAACATCCTTGGCAATGGCCTCCACCGTATTGTTAGAATTGATCTCATCAATCCTGTTTCCAAGCAATGTCAAGTAGTTGCCATAATCTGTTAGATTCTTTGATGTTAGGAACACTATATTGATTGATTGGATGTTGGTTAGTATGCTTGCCACCCAATGTCAAGTACAATACATACCACTCATGTCGATTGGAGAACATGATAGGATGTGTTGTAGGAACTTTGGTAGGTGACTGGTTAGTGGATGATCGGATTCAACACCATTGATATCAAAGGATCGCAATAGTTTGATCTTCTCAAACAATGGCAAGTATGAGTGTGACTTCTTGATTGCCTCCAAACATGTATCCACTGCCTGTTTAAACAAAGTACCATTCCTATTTTTGTTGATTAGTCATCATATGAATGATGGAACGAAGGAATGAAGGAATGAGGGATACATACAATCTATAACCGATTGATTGGATTAAATGAAGACAGGTCCTAATGATGGCTTTGGATCGACTAAACACATCAGTCTTGTGATTCAACATCTTCTCAATGTCTTGGACCTTCTCAAGGATCTCTTGTTGCTCAACATGTACATTTGATCGATAGTTAAACACTCGCTCAGTGTCTGCCATATTCTTATGTTTGATCAGGTTGTCTATACTGATCAATTGCAACTTGGGGAATGTATAAATATTGTATACATATATCTTCTCCTATAATGAGTCAATGATATTGTTGTTGTTGTTAGTATCCAGGTCGACTGACTTTGATGGATAATGCGTGAATGATACAAACAATTGTATATATTGGTCTGAGTGGATCCACGCATGATGGGAATGGGGAGAGAGTGTCGCCATCATAGTAGGAGACATAGATGACTTGGCGCTCGACAGGTATCTTGAACGTGTCGGAGATGATTGATTGATATGATCCATCAATGAGATTGCGCAAAGTGATTGCTGAGTTGGTCACGTGCTGGCCAGCTTGAACATCGAGTATGATCTGTTTGGCTTGGACCCAATCAGACTTGAGCACCTCGACAACTGATGGCACACGCTTCTCTGATATCTGTACCATTGACTTTATCAAATCCTTGAGCTCCCTGGATATTGATTGCTTCTCGATATACTCATGAGAGTCTGGCACGTTGGTGGTCAACGACGCTGCCTTGCCTGTCGCTGTAAAGAGTAGTGTGACACCAAGTGCGTATATATCCACAGACTGATTATAAGGTGCTCCATGCATGATCTCAGGTGCTCTATATGGACCTGAGCCAACACCCGACTGCAGTGACTTTAGGAAAGTGCTGGACTTGGCGAATCCAAAGTCAGACACTAGAGTGGATCATCATGTGATTGAATGAGTGAGTGATCCGGGCATGTGATGGGATGATGTCACATACATTTAAAGACGATCTTGTCACCAATGAGCTTGACGAGTATATTCTCCATCTTGATGTCGCGATGAATGATTGGCTTGGTCCTGTCATGAAGGAAATGTAATGCGGCCAAGATCTGAACAAACATATGTCTGACGATACTCTCCTCACGATTAACAGTCTTGGCAAAGTACTGTTTAAGTGTTCCCTGGTCGCAGTATTCAAAGATATACTTTGTTTCATTCTTTGTGATTGATTGATTGATTAGTAATCAAACTGTGATGTGATGATATGGATGGATTCGGGTGATATACCTACCAACACTTTAACAATGCCAACTACATGTGGATGTTGTGGACCTTCCAGTAGTTTGGTGAGCATCTCCTTCTCGGTAGTGATGTATTTGGTTGCCTTTGGATCGATGTATGCACCATACTTTAACTCTTTGAGTGCATATCGTACACGTGTTTGCTTATGCTCTATCAGACAAACAGTTCCAAATGTACCTTGTCCCAGACTACCAATAATAGCATACTCCTGTTCTTCATTACAATTGACTTTATTATTATGATTACCAATCTCCTCCTGTTGCTGTGGTATCATTACAAAGCCAGCCTCCATCTTTCTTCTTATCTTATCTTATCTTACTTTTATATATATTTAGTACAACTACTAACTAGTAATAGAACAAGAGGAGAATAACTGGGATGATGTCCATTGGTGTTTGAGTTGCGACCTCATGACTAGGAGGACTCACCCAAGAACTCAGATTCATAAGTGTTTGCTTTGACAACCCCAACATGAATGAATGAATGGAGTGTGGTGAAGTGATGAGGTGTTCATCGTGTTGGTCAATCAAGTCATATGACATGATCAAACAACTTTATATCCTTATTCCCATTGTTGGATAACAATCAATATCTATGTATGTTGTTTGTTTGTTTGTGATTATAAATGTTGATATTGTTGTGATTGTTTGATTGACCAAACATAAATAATGTAGAGTAACGTTGACAAGTTTTATTTTAAAATGAAATGGTCCAGGTGATCATGAATGAAAGTCGACACTCGAAAGTGGGAGGATGACATTCATTCTATGATCCGAACATCTACAAAAGACGACAACTAAATACACATAATATATATATAATAGGATGGCATCTATAATTGGAGGATTACTATTGAGTAGAGGAGCAAGTCGTGGATGTACAATGTTGTTGCGTAATAACAATGTCATCACTTCCTCTTCATTGTTCAACAATACATCAGCATCAATGGTCTCATCAATAACATCAACAACAACAAGATCATTCGCAACAGATGCTAAGAAACCAAAGAAGGAGAAGGCACCAAAGAAGGAGAAGGCCAGCAGCAAAGAGGACAGTGACAACATACAGGAGCAGAATGAGGATGGCACACCAAAGGTGGCTGCAGCCACCACCGTCGATGACAAGGTGAACAAGAAGGCATTGCTCAAGCCAAGAAACAACAAGTTGGACAAGAATGACACGACCACTGTGCTGCTGTCGAGGGCACATTCCAAGACCACCACCGAGCAGAAGTCTGTCTCATCACCCGTACCAACCATCACCTACGAACAGCTGAAGGAGCTACTCACCGGTGCCTCCCAACCATACACACTCATCGATCTCCGTGATCCCAAGGAGTTCTTTGGTGACTCCCCCATCAAGCAGAGCAACAACATGCCAAGTATGTCTCATCCATCGATCAATCATTCATTCATTCACTGACCTCACTCGCTCAATCAAACGATCAATCAAACAAACAATAGTGGAGTATGAGATTACAAAGACAGAGGATCAGATTGAGAATGAGAAGAAACAGAAGCAAAAGTCTCAGAAGGGAAAGGGCAAGAAGAAGGAGGAGACAAAGGTTAAGTTGGTGGATGACTCCAACTTCTGGCAGAAGAGTTTAAAGCTCACTGGCGCTCAGTGGAAGGAGAAGTATGGCTTCACCAAGGTGCAGCCAGAAGACCGTCTGATTTTCTACTCTGCCAACAATGGTCGCAGTGCCATGGCAGCCGAGATGGCCATCGGTTCAGGTTACAGCAAGTAAGTGTTTCATCGTCACATCGTACATGTTCAATCAATGCTGACCCTACCTTACCCATTAGTGTTCAGATACTTGAAGGAGGCATTCGCCATTGGAACAAGAATGAGAATAAATAATAGGATGCGAGCGAGCGAGCGAGCAACACAATACAATCAAACAAAACAAACACTGTAGAGTAGGATAACCTAAGGTGATGATGATGGTCTACATCCCTTTTACGAACATCAATCCAAAGATTGAACAGGAGGTGCGATTGATTGAAAAGACCTGGGCCATGCCTGGCATGCTCACCAGCACAACCCTGGCGCCAGGTTCATACCTCCAATCCAACCTTTGAACAACCACCTTCATCAGAATTGAACAGCATGTGATGTGTGTGAGACGGTGTGTATCTGGTGTGGTGATTGGACTGGCGATCACATGATCATGTGTGTGTGAGGGTGTGAGATGGATGGAATAGTGCGATCACCATCACTTTATCACGCTTCGTCCATCCATCCATTCATTCATTCATTCAATCAATCAATCAACCAACAACCTATATTACTATTAATATGTATATATAACAACAATGAATTATAATCAATCATGTATATTAATACTAATGTTGACAACGACTGCTCTGTTGTTGGTCACATTTGTCAATGCCGACAATTGTATATGTATGGACAATAGAGCATATTGTGGATCACACTTTACAAAGACTTGTGGACTCAACTCAACAGACTTGTATCAATGTGTAACGAGGGGACAGCCTCCAGTGCGTAGATTCAGTTGTCCAAATGGATGCCACAAGAGTGATTCACAGTCTGCCTCAGACACTTGTGTGCCAGACGACATATCTTGCACATGTCCAGACAATGCCGATCATTGTGGTTCCGTGCTAGCCAAGCAGTCTGGCAAGGACTGCGCATCCCTCGATCCCAATTCATTGTACCAATGTGAGGGCGAGGGATTGTTCCCGTCATGGAGGTGGACCTGTTCCACAGGCTGCATATCAAATGGTCCAGGAGTGAATGACACATGTGATAAGGGTGCCAGCAACGTTGTTGGACTTACCAAGATCAAGCATATAGTCATATTCATGCAAGAGAATAGAGCATTTGATAATTATTATGGCATACTTGGAGGCGTGTGTAACTATAAGGACCCAAATGCAATGGTCCAGGATAATGGCAACAGCATATTCTATCAACCCGATCCAAACTCACCGGACAAACATAATGGAGTGAACTCGTCATTGCCATGGATGATCACAGGACCCAAGGCCGGATGCACATTGGGCGGTTCAAACTTCTGGCAAGGCAATCACGATGCATGGAACAATGGATCAAACAATAACTGGCCAGTGGGCAACACGCCAAACTCACTTGGATACCTTGCACCCTCAAACCTACCATTTTATTATGAGTTGGCCAGTCAGTTCACCATTGCTGACAAATACTTTGAATCAATCATGGGCTCGACCAACCCCAATCGTCTCGTACTGTGGACGGGTATGATTGACCCGCGAGGAACCACACCTCGCGGCCCAGTGACCGAGAACACAGAGACACCACCATTCATTTGGTTAACCTATCCAGAGATATTGGAGAAGGCTGGCATCACATGGCGTGTATACCAGGACATTGATAATTTTGATGATAATGCCTTGGAGTGGTTTGAACAATATCAAAAGTCAACAAAGATGTCACCATTACGAGTCAATGGTATTGATAATTGGGGCCTCGATTCATTCTTTGGCCACGCGATGAATGGCACACTGCCACAGATCTCATGGGTCGTCGGACCAACTGAACTGTCCGAGCATCCAGACAATGGACCGATGGCTGGCCAGTGGCTAACCCAGCAGGTAGTCAATGCGATCAAGAATGGCAGTTCATGGGAGGACACGGTGCTCATCATTAACTACGACGAGACAGGCGGTTTCTGGGACCACTACCCTCCCCCTGTGGCGCCCATTGGTACCCTCGACGAATGGATCAATGTGGACGGTGCAGCCCCCATTGGACCAGGCTACCGAGTGCCAGCCTTCATTGTCTCACCATGGAGCAGTGGCAGTGTGGTATTCACTGAACCATCAGATCATACTTCAGTGATCATGTTCATCGAGCAGTGGGCAATGGCCAATGGATATTCACCAGAGGATGTTATGTGCCCTTATGTGTCGACATATAGAAGGAACCACATGTCAGATTTAACTCGTTCGTTGGACTTCTCACAGGCCAACCTAAGTGTGCCCGACACAACTCCAATGCCCATGCCATCACGTGACCCTAGTGGCTCTTGGGACCCAACCGAGGAGTGTGAGGCGGTCCCAGGACCTTTCCCCACGATCCCATATGGTAATCAAACATTCCCAGTTGTCGAACCAGGCTTCAAGTTGGTACGAGGTAACAATCCAGGTCTTGGTCGTACATATGTCTTCCAATCTGGCGCACAGGCCTTGATCCAAAATGGAAAATCAATTGCCTTTGGTCCACCCTCACCAACCATGACCAATCCAGTTCAATACTTCACAATGACAATGGCCAGCAACAATAATGATGACATTGGAGACAACATTGGATACAGGATCGTAGCAAACAATGGTCGATGTTTGAGTGGTGCTGGACAATTGGTGAAATGTGATCAAAATGCAGACAACTGGTTCTTGTTGGATCTTGGAAATAGTGAAGGTTTTGTATTCTACAACATCCCAAAAGGAGAGTATCTTCAATATGCGGGTACTTCATTCTTCCTATCCAATCAAATCGCGACAACATTTGCTGTTTACTCTGTCTGAACAACTAATAAACAATTTTATATGACCTGGGTGGTCATTGGTCACCTAAATAGTCGTCGAAATTACCTATTTAATCTCTTGACAATCCCATAACAACAATTTAAGATCATAACCAATTAAAGGATGTTATTTTAATATTTTTAACCAATAAGATAATTTAATAATTAAAATGTAGATGGTTCTTCTCAACTTATGAGACTCCAAGCTTGGATAACAGTCTCTGGAGGGTAGTATTCTACTATTTTTAAATAATAATTAATTTATATATATATATATATCATACTGTATAATCATATGTATAATTAAGGCCCAAGTTAATGTTGGTCCAGGATCCGAATGTGAAGGTTCAAGGAACCAGCTTGTATGGTGATTTTTGCCAAAGGATAGTTTGTTCAACCCATGGTCCGTCTATCTCTTTATCTAGACTAGATATATAAATATACATTCCTGGAAGTGTCTTTCCACTTCTTCTCCCATATGTTCTCAAGAAAGCTCATCTTGGTGTTTGGATTGAGTATCATTGCAGTGGTGTAGAAATGGCCTTCATCTACTAGTTCATAGTAATTCTTCATTACTCTAAGCGATTCAGACAGTCTTGGATCTTCCCTCGTTTCCCTCTTTATCCTAAAAGCCCCAAGTTGATCAACAATGGTGTTTAACTAAGGAACGATCGACAATATCATCAAGACACTTGAGATCTTCCAGGTGGTATCAAAGGACGACATTGACAGTTTTGCCACCTGAAAGATCAAGAGTCTTGATGATATTGTCGATCGTCACCCAATCATCTGAAAGGTTGTAATTCAAGGTCACTCTCCAACAAGAACTGGATGGGCAGTTTACTTTTGTAATTGCCTTTATTATCTTATAAATATGTTACTAGTATGATACATTGATGATTGATTGATTGATTGATTGATTGATTGATTGATTGATTATACAATGGACTAGACACGTGTTCCACACTTGGAGCAGAACTTGGCCGAAGAGCCAAGTGATGCAGAACATTTGGTACAGTTGGTGGGCCTGGCAGAAGTAGTGGACGCAGATGATGTTGTTGTAGTGTTGATTCCAGAGACAACACTAGGCAGTGGCTTACCGAGCAGTATTGCTTGGATGTCCTTGTCACCCTCTGAATAATCCATCACTGATATACCTAGTGTATCACGATCGTCAACGACTGCACCTGCATCTAGAAGTAGCTTTACCAACTGAAGATGTTTTGAACGTACTGCCATCATCAATGATGTCTTGCCAGACTTGTTTCGAATCGATACATTGGCATTGGCCTTGAGCAACAGCGACACGATGTCGGTGTAGATGGATGACGCATTGCCAGCGCCTCTTGACACACCATCTCTGGCGGTGGAGGTATTGCAAGCAGCCTCGCAGGCGGCAAACAATGGTGTGGCATGATCATCGTCCTGCTTGTTGATCTGAGCGCCCTTCTTGATGAGCAACTCAACAATGCCAGGTTGTCCGGCCTGTGCCGCCTTGAACAATGCAGTGCAGTCCTTTCGATCAGCTTGGTCGAATCTTGCATTGCCCTCATTGATCAATACGTGAACCACATCGAAGTGACCCAATGAACATGCCAGATGCAATGGTGTATAACCTTTTGAATCGACCTGATTCACATCCAAAGATCTATCATTCCTGATCATATCCAATACTCTTAATGACTCTCCCATTGCCGCAGCACTCATAAGAGAGGAGTGAGTAGACATATCTATTTAAAGTAAATAAGTAAGTAATATAAGTAACTGTTTGATATTGAAACCAAGAAAAAGGTCATCTTTCCCAAAAAAAGTATGGATTTTGGGATTTGGATGATTTTAATTCAAATTCCAATCTTATTTAATATTAATTAAATTGTGTTAATTATCTTCAAGATGATTTAGAAATATTAATCAATATCAATCTAATTTATTAATATATGTTGACAAAAAAATGACTTATTTATTATTATTATTAATAAACTGGTAAAGTTTATTGATTTACCAAACTTATTGAATAAATTCATTATTGATTTAAGGTCATTTATCTTTGTGAGCTCTTGTCCCTCCTTTTTCAAGTCGAGAATCTTTGATTCAATAACTAAAATTTGAATCCTTGTATTATAGGAGTTGGCATCTGTAGCTATAGTTCTTGATTTGATATCATTCAAACGTTGGTAATATTGATTTAAAGTATCATTATTTTCTTTCAACTTATTCTGGTAGTTTATAATTTGGTTGTCCAATTGATTCTCAGAATCACTACTTGATAATATGTCATTATTTGGAGACCCTTGGCAATAAGCAATGGTAACAATAAAAGAGATGAAAATAAAAATCTTGGCAATATTTTTCATAGTTTTAAAAAGAATATTATTGATTGTTGGATTGAATGAATAAATCAATCAAATAAGAGTCTTTATATATAAATTTACTAATAGTACTCCATTGAGATTGACTACAATCACTTTCAAGCTTTAGTCCATCTTATTAATTATTTTTAGTCCGAATCAACCTTTTCCCCCATCACAATTGAAGAATGCCTCCTCACCCAGTCATTGGATGAGCAAGTGGACATTGTCTACAAATTGAACATACAAATTGCCAACATCCAATGTATTAATACTCGTCAATATAGTTTATTAAATGTGTTCTCTTACATAATTAAACAGTTGGATGAGCCCTGTTTATGTTTGATTGATTGATTGATTGATCAGTCAGTTAGTGATTGGAATTAATTGATTGCAATGTGTATGTACTTACATTATTTGGTGTGTATTTGCCATCCTTTGGCAAGGTGATCACTTCAACCTCCGCACCAGTCTCTGTGAGAAGGAAGATCTTGGTTCCTTCGGTGACTGAACCCCAAACATTCTTGCGATCCCAATAGAGCTCGGTGTTTTGGAATGGCAGTTGCTCGTCATTCTGAAGACGTGAGCGTCCAACCCAAACGTTGACCAAGTGGGTGCTTGGCTCCGTGCTGGCCTTAATGTGGAATCCACGCTTGTCTCCGACAGCTGGGTGCACGATCAACTTCCAGTCGGCAATCGACATATTGACTAGCTTCAACTGAATCAGTCCACTCTCAACGTCTACTGAATTGATTGACGCAGATGGCTCCACGGGTGGTGCCTCCATCTCCTGGTCGCCTTGAACCTGTTGCTGCTCGTGCTGCTGCTCGTGCATCTCATTCTGCTGCACAGGCATTCCACCAAATTGATAATCATCTTCATTTCTAGGTTTCTTGTACACCTGTGTCTCAATGTTCTGGATGGCATCCCTCAGGTGCTGGATCACATTTGTCAGTGGGACTTCTGGCTCGGAAACGTGAATACTGGTGATCATCTGGACCTGTGTGCTGAGGTCGGCGATCTGTTCCTGTGCCTTGCTGTTGCGCAACTCTTTGTTGTGCACGTCCTTATGCAGCATGTTGATCTTGAGGTCTTTGGTGCTGATCTCAGCCTGTAGACGTACATTCTCCTTCCTTTGCTCGGCATTGTCCGACACGGCCTTGGCAAGACTCTCGTCCTTCTGACGCAGCTGGGTGGTGAGGTGATGGATCTGGTCCTCCAGCTCATGGTTCTTTACTGAGATGTCGGTCTGTTGGTCCTGGAGGACGTTGAGCTGACTGCGCAGTTCATCCTTGTCAATATCGTTGGAGTGAATGAGTGACTCGAGCTCCATGATGCGGGCACTCTGATTGCCCATCTCTGCCGCCAGCAATTGCTCCAAGTCCCTACCTTGGGACTCCATAATGTCCTCTATCCTCCTCTCATGTGATTCAATTGTTTGTTTATGTTCGGCTTCTGTAGTGCGAGCATCTGACAATTGTTTGTCCTGGATATTATTGATTGATTGAGAGGGTTAGTGTCTGATCATGCGATGATCACTCACTCATTCATAACATACCTTGACAAGGATCTCCTCTTTCAATCTTCTGATGTCGTTCTCTCTGTGTTTGATTGTGGTGCGTAGCTCCTCTTGCTTGCCCTTCATTCTCTCATACTCGGCTCCAAGCAACTTCTGTGTCTTCTCGGCGGCACTGCTCTCCTTGGTGGCAAGGTCTGATTCGAGTCGGCTGTTGTTAGCCTTGACAATGTCCAACTCATTGCGGAGTTTGTGTACCTCGCTGGTGAGTGAGGCCTGGAGGGTGCTCTGCTGGAGAGTGATTTTCTCTATCGCCTCATCGAGTCTATGCTGGTGATGGTTGCGCTCGTTTAGCAGCTGCTCCTCCACGCGCTTCAGATTGAGTTGTGTGCTCTCGAGATTCTCGGTGGCCTCCTCCAGGCGGTTGTTCTCGGTCTGGAATGACTTCTCGCTTTCGGCCAACTTGGCACGCAGGTTGGCCAGCTCGTTGTCCTTGCCCTTCAACTGATCGGAGAGATCAGTGAGCTTGCGCTGGTAGTCCAGAGCGGTCTGGTGGAAGGCACCGGCGATGGGGGCCAGTTTCTGGGTGAGATCAGCAATGTCCTCTCTCTCTCTGAGACGGGTGAGGCTGGACCTCGATGGGGTCATTGGCGTGCCTTGGCTGGGGGTGAGCAGGCGACTCAATGGTGTCTGTGGTTGTTGAGGAGCAGGTGTGCGCTGTGGAGTCCTCAGTGGGGCGGTTGGGGTCCTAGGGGGCTGGGCAACGACATCATCATCGACCGATGTTTGGGAAGAGGTTGTAGACTTTGATGCCTTTGCCTTCTTCTTCTTCTCCTTTGGTTGTGGTGGAGGTGGTGATTGTGTAGGTTGCATTGGCTCGCTCATATTAACGTCCTCCTCTTGTTGTTGTTGTTGTTGCTGTTGCTCTTCATCATTTCCAAGATCAGGTGAGCTCATCTGTTGTTGTTGTTGTTGTTGCTTGAGTCTCTCTGACTTCTTTGTCGATGAACTCTTTGATTTCTTTGTTGTCTCCATTATATTATTATATTTAGTTGATTATGCCTTTGATATCTAGATTCATTCAATCAAATGAGAGACTGTTAGTAAAAATAATATTCGTTCAGAGTTAATCAAATAACTTACATATATATATATATATATATGAATGAAGATATAAATATTTGAATATTACTAGATATATAATGAATAAGTATGTAACAGTAACAAGAAGTCAGTGTGTTGCGAGATAGTTTGAGTTGGATTGGTGGGACATCAAACAAAGTTTACTTGAATTTGATTGTTGGGGTCATGGTTGTTTTGGCGGGAACATCTCAAAAAGTCAAAATAATGTCAACTTCAATTTCATAACTGTGACGATATACAAATAAATAATGAATGAGATAATTAGTACACCATCATATGATCAGTCATTACCACAATATATATATTCAAAGATCTTGTATTTTTGTTATTTGGATACGGCAACCAATAATAATTGGAAGAGATCATTATGTTTGGTGTGCAAGTCATTCTTCAAACGTGTAAGCTCAGTGTTGGTCACTGATATCAGCACCAAGACACTGGCAAATCCAGACTTTAGACAGCACTACAACAATCATCTCTCGCCTCTAAAGACATTCACAAGTCTATTATGTGGTATTAATCGTCTGACTGACCTGCTCAATATCGATCCCCAGCTCATTGCCGATCTCTTTGCACAACAAACCATCACTAAACTTATTCTCCGTCGTTTGGGCAATGTCAACAACAACAACAACAACAACAACAATAGTGTCTCAGACCAAGAGCGCGAGAGTACACTTGCTACATTGTTTAGTGGACTCACTAATGGACCCTTGGAGAAGATCTATCTGGATCTACCCAACAATGATGTCCCCGACTACTTGAGCGTGATGAGAGGCTTTACATTCCAGTATCTCTCCATTTTGAGCATAATATTCTCACAAGATATACATGGACATGATACGATACTCTCGCTCTTGGAATCGGTCGCACCAACCATGCGCAAGATCCAATTTATCTCAAGAGATGATGAGAGTGCTACAATAACATTGGAGCCATCACATCGCCTTATGACCACCAATTTCTTTGAACAATTGTTTGGACACCTGTCAAAGAGTCGTCTGAGATCGCTACACATAAGATCACTCTATGTTGGAGACTTACAACCATTCCTGCGCGGACTCTCATTGATGAAGCATCTGACCACGCTCAAAATACCTTTGCCAAGCAACTTCTACCAGTTGCCAGAGATACGTGAGTTCCATGCGGGACTCCTCGAGTTCATAAAGTCGAGCAACATATCAATCATGAGCATACCATTCTCGATCGAATCCACCATGCTCAAAGCCCTCTCTGACAATCCAAACATAACAACACTGCGAGTGATGCTCGGAGGCAGTGCCAAGCTCTCGGACAGATTGCAGCGACTAACACTTCGTGAAGATATAACACCATCAGTGTTCAGCTCATTGATGTCGATGAATCCCGCTACCAATATAGTGCGTCTCATCCTGCTGAACCATCGACGCTACATCACCAAAGACAACTTTGATCAGTTCCTCAGCTTCGTCAAGTCCAACAAGAACCTGACCAGACTGTATCTCTGCGACTACCTATACCTGAGCGACAAACAAAAGGAGACGATCATTCCGTTGTTGATCCGGGACACAAGGATACAGACACTAATGATAAGCCTATCCGATGACATGATGCCCACCAACTATATCCAAGAGAAATACAGACGCACAAAGAAAGAGTTTGAATACTTGCAATTCCTGCTCAATCAACTTGTGCTCTACCCTCAGTCTACGGTGGACGGGCTATACCTGGATGTCACCAACTCCAAGGCACTCCAGAAGCACATGGTCGCCAAGCAAGTGGACACTGGCGATTTCAAAGTATCACAAAGTTTAGGATGGATACTCCACTTTATCAGGATAAAATAGTCTTGGACGAAATAAAGGTTACACAGTATGACACGCAACGCACATTATTAATAATTACAGATAGATAATCAATGTTATCTGTTAGATCATGTTTGACAAGTAGTCGACTTCGATGTCTTGGTCAAACAGTACTACTTAATGCATCGCGATGTGCATACTCAACGGCCAACACACAGCCGACATCTAGGATTGAGAGTGATCACTCTCAGTTGTTAGACTCTGTGAACAAACTGTTGTTAAAGTATAGATTCAGCTTGTTGTCATTACAATCAAACAGTGATGTATGGTTGAGCTTCCCAATGCGTAGTCATCTATTGCATACTCAACTAGAGAAGAGATACAAGAACAACAAGTTACAAGAACATCATAATGGTCAATTCATTGAAGCTACACCAACAACGACAACATCAACAACATCAATGGCTACGTCAACCCTGTTGGATACCACTCATCTCGATAGTATTGTCAATAGCTTACAGGACAATGAAAGGTATCAATCAATGTGGTGGGCGCAACAGGTGTTGCCAAAGGCTTTCTCATGTCATGGCACAACAATCAATGACTTGGCCAAACAATGCTTCCAACATCTCTATCCAATACTGTTCATGCTGGCCACCAATGCTCAATTGAACAACATCGACTTTCGTTTCATCAGTACAACCTACAGCAGTGATGGCAAATTACTTGGTCGTTGCAAGCTGGTTGAAGCCAGCCTTCTCGAGACACTAAAAGAGACCAGGAAGAGACTCTATCAATCAATGATCAAACATTCAGATGTTGCTACACTTTCATCATCAATCTCATCGGCACCCTATGTCGTACAGCTGTACCTGGTCGATCACAATCATATCTATATCTCTGTATTCAAGACTAGCTTATCAGAACACTTTGGATGGCGTCAACCCCTGCCAGTGTCTGGTGGTATCATTCCAATTGAGATGGATAAGGAGCCTCCCTCACGTGCCTACATAAAACTGAATGAGTTGATGGGACTGCTTGGAAGGAGACCTGCACCTGGAAGCAAGATAGCCGAACTGGGCAGCGCACCTGGAGGATGGACAGCATCATTGCTGAAACTATACAAGCCACAAGACAACATTCAGATACAGAGTGTCGACAGATCGCCGCTAGAGTCCTGGTTGACCAAAGCCTATCGGCCACCAACCCTCACACATCACATTGCGAATGGTTGTAAGTTGACAGCAGACTATGAATGAATGAATGAGTGAGTGTCCATGCTAACATGACCTGTTGACCACGCACACTACACAACATAGTGACATGGGAACCTGAAGAACCAGTGGACTGGCTGTTTAATGATATGGCGCTGCCGCCAATGAAGAGTGTCAAGGTGTTGGAGCGATGGATCAAAGAGAGACAATGTTCGCAATTCGCCTGGACTTTGAAGTTTGTTGGTGAGAGCGAGTATGATGCAGTGACCGATGCAGTGGAGACCATGATGAAGTGTTACAACGTGAGCTACACCATCAGGCATCTGGCCAATCATGGCAACGAACTTGTCGTTGTAGGTGTAGTCCATCCATAAAATGAAGTTGTTGTTGATGACGCACCAATAATGCAATGATGACGATCAGTCATCAAGTTCTAGATTGAACTGCTTGTACATTTGTTTGATAGTGATACCCTCCAGCACAGCTAATATATATATCATCAATGTTAGTATACAATCGAACAATTGAACATTCAATCAAACATATACATACCCAACTTGCCAATCATTGATTGACATGACTCTTTGATCTCGTTATATGTATGTAACTTGTCTATTGTCTTTTTAGATTCTGTCTTTATCTTTGCCATCTCATCTTGATAAGGTTTCAACTGTGCATCCAATGCAGACTCCTCTTCTGCCAACTTCTTCAACTCCTCCCTCATCTCCTCAACATCTACACCATCAATCCAATGCACTTCACAACTATTCTTTCCATCATCCTCCAACACAATCTTTGACTTGTTCGTCCATTCATTCTTCTTTATCAATGTTGCTGCCATAATATATTATTATTATTACTTGTTAGTTATAACTTTAATGTCATAATGTTCAATGACCTTGTGTTTGCGATTAGTTTAGTTTGTGTTTGTGTTGCAACTCTAATTCTTGGAATATACATGTTGTGGTTATCTCGTGAAAATGCCGAGTTTCGACAAGACCGGGACAATGATGACGATTAGACCAACTGTTACAATACATAGTAGGATGTACATCTTCTTTCTGCCTTTCTTTTGATACTTGAGTGCCTTTGGCAAGTGCTTGTGAACTCCTTCTCCAGTGTCTTTGACAGCAGAATTGATATCTTGTTCGATGGACTCTAACTTCTCACCTTGTACCTTTACCAATATTGCCATGTCCAGCATCAATTGATGTAACTCTACTAGACTCTGACCCAATCTTTGTAAATCCCTATGTCTCTGTTGTACATAGGACAATGCATTCTTGGCCTCAGTATGCAAATGAGTATACAACAACCTATCAGTGAACACTTTACTCGAGTCACCAGACTCCACTGCAGCCCTTATCTCTTCTGGATTGGCATTTGGATTAACTTTGGAAGATGTTAGTATTCAATCTATGCTACAAGGTTGGATGTGATACATACCCAACTTATATTGTCTTGTAATCTTATCTTCACATTTGGTTTTGTAGTCCTTCTGTACTTCGGTATACTTGTTCAACAAGTCGATTGAAGTCTGAAGGAGCACTGTATAGATGTTGCTACGTATACGTATCTCTGTTGGTTTGGCAGTCTTCATCTCGGCATATTTATCATTGCTTGTGGACAACGACTCTAGTTTATGTCTTAATGATGTGAATGATACATTGGTTGAATCAATCAATGATGATGAAGTTGATGTTGATTGACCATCCATGTTCATGACAGTATTCAGTGATTGGACATATTGTTCTTCCAAACTCTTGATATTCCTTCTTATTGAGTTCATTTGAGTCTTGATCAAACCAACCTCTTGGAAGAACTCTGGCATGAATTCTTCAATTCCATCTTGATCACCCTGGATGCCCAGTTCTATATCCTTGTCCAGTGTATCCACCTTTGATTGTTTTGATTCTTTATCCTTTTGTTGTTCATTTCTTTTACTACTACTCTTTGATTGTTTCTTTGGAACCTTATCCTTGATACCAGCAGCAGACTTTAACTCTTGTAGACGATCCTCCATTATTATTATTTTTGTTGTATTTTAGATATGTTTATTTATATTTGATTGAACTGACTTCCTTTTATATTGTTGTTCTGATGTCCTCACTACCAGGTGGAATTAGGGACTTGGAATCACAATTCATAACCATGGTAAACAAACTGTATTTCAAAGTTAGACTTAGGATACGACGAACTTAAAAATTGTGTTGGACCTGGGAATCGTCTTTGAAAATCAATCAATTCTGAGAATCTCACACTTTGAAGTCATGACAAACATCTTATCGAACACTGGACTTGAGTTCTATCGATTACAACCACAAGACCAAAGGATAATAATATGAGCGAAGAGATAAAGCTAAGAGACATAGTCGATGAGATACTACAGACCAAGGATTGTATGTCATATACCATGGGATACCAGTAGTTGTTACTAACATACCACTCACTTATTATGAATAGTGAACGATGATGTGTTGCTAACGTAGGTCCTATACTTGATTATGATGTGATGATATTAGCACTAACTAAAGATAATGCAATTAATATAGACTTTCATCAATATTCCATCAGACATTGTTTGATTCACTACAGATCATTGATAAGAAGATGATCATTAGATATGTATTCCAACCATCAAACAGGTCATTCTACGTTATCAATGGTACAAAGGATACAAAGTATCTCTGTTTACTTGAAGGTGACTATTGTAGTTGTCCTTCATTCAACTTCTCTGTACTAGTTCGTTCAGAATCAATCTATGTTGGTATCCATCCATTCCATTCATCCAATCAAACATCCAATTTACTGATCGATATAACACTAGTGTAAACATCAATTGGCAGCAAAGATAGCAGAAGCACTTGGCAATGCAACTGTTGTTGAGTTTGGTGACAATGAGTACAGTTCCAAAGTGTCATATATTGAATCACTTTCCATTAGAACTCCTTCACAGTCCATGCTAAAGAAGGGTGACCAACAGATGTTGCAACAGAACATCAAAGATCGCCAATCAGAGACAAGCATGTTTGATTGATTGACCAACTCAATCAATCGATCAATCTCATGTTGTCTGGTACCAGGACCTGTATGTGTGTCTGTTGATTGACTGACTATGCCCTCCCATCACATTTGATCAAAACGTAGAAAGGACATGCCTTTTCCATTTCCATTTTTGTTTGCTGATGGCGATCGCCGAACGATAATCCGAAAGGGGCTAACAACATGCAGTCAAATTGCCGAGTCCCGACGTATCATCCGTACTTCTCTCTCTCCTCCTCATACTAGTATACACGTCAACAACATCAATCAATCACAAGTCAGTCAACACCTGATCATTGCATTTTACAACAAGCAAACAAGCAAGCAAACGAGATAGATAATACAGGCAGGAGATAGTATTTGTACAAAGACACAGACACAGATAGCAATGGAACCTCTACCAGAGACAATAGAGCATAATGAAGAGGATTTGAAATTTGAGAATATTAATATTAATAATAATAATATCAATATTAATCATATTAAAGGCATTGTTGGATTCTTTAAAGGTCATTATCCATTATGTAGACACAAGGGAACATGCGCATACAGTGCACTCCGAACATGGCTACGTTCATTCGCCATTGGATATGGAATGCGTGCGGCACTCGCCTTGCTCACTGGTATATTCGTCAGAAGACTTTACAGAAAGTATGGATCAATGGACCAATCAATCCATCGACCAATCAATGATTAACAATGTATTCCATCCATTAATAACGATAGCCCACGCAAGTTGATCAATCAATCATTACTACACAAGTCACCGATTGGATTTGGATTGTTTGTGGCGTTCTACACTGGTGGATATAAGGCACTCCTGTGTATGTTGAGAGCGATCAGAGGAAAGGAGGATGGATTCAACAGCGCGATTGCAGGTTTCTTTGCAGGTGCCTCCATGATGTTCTCCAAGAGTACAGAGATGTCACTCTACCTCTTTGCCAGAGCCTTGGAGTCATTATTCAACGCAGCACATAAGAGAGGGTATGTCGTCCATGATTGATTGAATGAATGGTCATCCCAAAGACATGTCTCTAACTAACATCCAACAATCAAATAACAGCTACGTCAAGTCATGGAAGCATGGAGATGCTGCACTATTCTGTTTCAGCACTACGGTGATGTTCTACGCGATGGTCTGGGAACCAAACACTGTTCGCCAGTCATATCTTAAGTTCCTGTTCAAGGTCACTGGTGACAAGGTCGATCTTGCTGGAATCACCAAGAAGCTCAGGGATGCTCACGCTTCACACCAAGCTTAGATCATAACATAATTAGAACTCAACGAACAAATAACATGTATACATTCAATCAATCAATCTTAATCGTTGGAGTCGAGTCAAGTCGAGTAGTTTTATTCAAACCTTGTTGCTGCGATTGTACTGTGACTGTGATGATTGAGTGGAGCTGTCCCTCCCTCCAGGTATGCATCCAGCTGAGTTGCTCCCTAGTATGGCTTGAACTTCCTTGCGGCGCTCATCTTGGCGATCTTTTGCTTGTCCTCTTCGAACTTCTTGCGCAGATCATCGAGCTCCTGCTTCTTCTGCTGTCGCTGCTGGAAGGAGTAGAAGTTCTTGTGTCGTCTAGAGTCATTGAGTGCCTTGGCCTCCTCGGTGGTCATTGGCTTGAAGTTCTTGTTGCTGCCAGTGACCAGGACGAAACCGTCCTCATCCGGTTGAGTGGATTGCTGTCTACGCTCGTTCTGCTCGATCAATAATCTCTTGTCATAGTCCATCATGATCTGGTCCAATGTCGCCTGCAACTTGTCATAATCCGAGATGATCTTTGATTGTTCCTCGTTCATCATGTCTACGTTGTGCATTAATTGTTAGTCCACATGGCCTTTAACAACAAACAGACACTACGACTTACCATCATATCCATCAGTTGTGTGCACTGGTAGTTGTACTTCCAGTGTGGTTAGGTATTGCATTAACTCCTGGAGAGTCTTGGGCGAGGACATGACAATGTGTGCGACACCAGTGTTCTCCTTGGCATCATCACTTGTTGTTGGCACGACACCCTGTGCAGCTGATTGTTCGGCAGCATTGTTGGCTGCGCCAAAATGAACGGACTCGATATCCGTCGATTGGAACAACACCTGGACTTCGAGAAGTGTAGTGCAGCTCTGCGGCAGATTGGCAACAAACAATGTCTTGTTGATTGGCCACTTCTTGCTCGTCTCCTTCTTGTAGTATATGTACTTCTTGATTGGCGTGTTGGGGATGGACACTGGAAGGATGTTGAAGCCACTGATGACCTCCCTGTCCTTCTTTGGCGCGCCTGCCACAGACTTCTTGTCAGCCTTTTCAGACTTGTTGTTGGCTGGAGTTGGGGTTGTCTGGGCGGTGGGTGCCACATTGTCGCCTGTCTCTGAAACATCCTTGTGTGTACCATTCACAGCAGCCTTTGCAGCAACCTTCGAGGCAGTCTTCTTGCCTGCCTTGTTCACAGCAGCAGTCTCTCCAACATTCGCGGCTTGTGCTGTTGTGGACTTCTTTGTCTCGGCCACAACTGCAGCAGCAGGTGCTGCACCATTTGTAGTCTGCTTCTTGCCATTCTTCTTCTGCTGCTGCTCCACCTTCTTTAAATCATCGCCATCCTCATTCATTGGTTCAACATCCTTGATCTCCTGTTGCTGTTTTTGTGGCTTCTGCTTCCTTGCCTGCTCTTTGGGCGGGGCAGGAACAGAGACAGCTGGCTCCTCAATAACCTGATCTGCTTGCTTTTGCTCTTGTTGCTGCTGTATCAGTGCTGCCTCTTTCTTCTTTGTTTGCTTTGGCTTTGGTACTGCTGGAGTTGTGCTGGGTGTGGTGGAGGTGGTGGAAGTTGTGGATGTGGTGGTAGTGGCGATGGGTGTTGTTGGCGCTGGGGCGGCGGCTGGGATGATTGGGGCAAGCTTTACAGCAGGCTTGATGTCAGCCACTGTTCTCAGCTTGTTGAACAACTGCGTCTGGTTTCTCTCAAAGTTGAAGACGACATTCTTAGTGGGCGTAGTCTGTTGCTCCTTTTCCTTTTGCTGTTGCAACTGCTTCTTCTTTGTCTTGAGTATAGGTTTCAGTGCTGTCGCTGTTGTAGTCTCTGTTGTCATTGTCGTTGTCTGAGTCTCCACATCACCAGTAGTATCAGCGGTATTAGCAACAGCATTGTCCTCTGCACCATTGTCCTCCACCTTTTGTTGTTTCGCCTTCTTTCTCGCCAGTCTTAATGCTGTATCCCTCTTTTTTTGAGTTGATGATATCATTATTATTATTATAATTACTTATATTTGTTATATATATATATGTATGAATGAATGAATGATTGTGAAGAGGAGCCGAAGAATTCGTCTTTTGTCGAGCCAGCCCCCACACTGCAATTCCCCAAAATTTATCTTTGACGCATCAATGACGAACGGCAGATTCATAAATCTGGATGGAAGTTGTACATTCACCACAAGCAATCCAAATCTTATTAAATATTTAATATAATAATAATAATAATAATAGGTATTGTAATAATAAATACATGATTAGATATTCCTGTTCTTGTTCCTCTTGAGTGCTGCATCCAGGTCGGCACCAAGCGCCACTCTTTGATCGAATGAGATTGCACTGCCAGCTACGTGTGTGCTTGGTTTGTATTGAGCGGGGAAGAAGTCTTGAGATCCATTGTTGCCAAAGAATTGTTGTTGCTGTGGCTGTTGCTGTGGCATCTGCATGAACTGATTCTGTTGATTAAGTTGAAGATGTATTTGTTGTTGTTGTTGTTGTGGCATTTGTTGTTGGAAGTGCTGCTGTTGAGGTTGTCCATTCATTCCACCGACCATGCCATTCATTCCATTCATTCCAACCATGCCATTCATGCCGCCACCTCCTCCACCGGCTTGTAGTGGAATAGATGTTTGTGCAAATGATTGCCAATCGTTTTGATTGGTGGCAGTTGTTTGATAGTAGATGATCTTGGAGTCTGGCACTAGTTGTTTGGGTAGCACTGGAGGCAGTATGTATCCATTCTTCACAGCGTAGATCAGATGCATGCTGATGACAAACTCCTCACGGTCGAGATGTCCGTCGCGATCGATATCGGACAGCATCCATACTTTGGCCAGGTCGTCGTTGGACAGTCCGGACTTTTGTAGAATGGGACGGGCTACCTGGCCCGACATCTTGGACGAGTCACTGCCACCGACCTTGTAAAATACATTGGAGTACTGTGCCTTTGACTCATTGCTTATTGGTGGAATCTTTCCAGGTTCACCAACCAATCCAGCATTGAACACTGGCTGTTGATTCTGTTGTTGATTATTCAACGGCAGTTTGTTTGGTGCTCCAAAGAATGTATTATCAACTGCTTGATTGTTTATCTTTTGTTGATTCTGCTGTTGTTGTTGTTGTTGTTGTTGTTGCTGCTGCTGTTGTTGAAGTAACAACTGTTGTTGCTGTTGCTGTTGTTGGAGTTGTTGTTGTTGGATTTGTTGTTGTTGAAGTTGTTGTTGTTGCTGCTGTTGTTGTTGAAGTTGTTGTTGTTGTTGGAGTTGCTGCTGTTGGATGTACTGCTGTTGTTGTTGTTGTTGTGGCTGTTGCATGTACTGTTGCTGTTGGGGTTGCTGCTGCTGGAAATGTTGCTGCTGTTGATACATATTCTGTTGTACCATCTGGAACTGTTGTTGTTGATTATAAGCCATTTGATTCATTGGCATATTGGACATTGGTGTTTGATTGTACATGACGCCACCTGCTCCATTAACTGGACTTTGATTCATCATATTATTATACATGTTTAAATACAACTTAATAATTACTATTACACAATAATAATAATACTACTATCTCTCTCTTGATTGACTTGTTGTTGTTGATGATGATGAAGAATAGAATGATACTTCACGAAGATGAAGCAGAAGATGAGCTGTGACAAACTGAGTGGAGGTGGGGTTGTTGAGCAACAACACAACAAAGAGGTAGAGTTGGGCTGATCTCGCACAATACTTCCCCCACATAATACATTTACAACACAACAATATTGATGTCTCTCATTTTATTTGAAATGCCAGAGAGGCAAGAATCCCAATAACTCTTCATCTAATAATTCTAGCTCAAGCTCTAACTCTAGTACTTGAATAAAGGACGTAAAAGCTATTATTCCTCTTTTGGATTGACTAATGATGAATGATTGAATGATAGTTGATTGATTGAATGAAGGTTGATTGATTGATAGTTTCGATTTGATTGGTTGTGTTTTATAGTTCATTGATCGGTCACTTTACCAAAATTGTACAATTCGTCAGTTGGGAGATGTCAATGATTAAAGGAGACTGTCTACACTTCTCGGACAAGTCCAGGACCAACGACTCGATTACCTCGAGACACAAAGACACACCACAAGTTTGTTCAAAAGTGGTTACAATCATCATGATTGGTAGTGTCGACATTGAATCGCAAGAACTCACTTCTTTGAATGTTTCGTGGTCAGCTTCCAGTCCATCCATCGAATGAACGCTTGGGCATGTGTGAGTTCGTCTCTATCTTTCAAAAAACAAATAATTCATTATTTAGTATTGTCAATGTGTGGCGCGCCGAAAACCCCACACATTCATGTTCACCATAAACACACCAAACTTCTGACCAGGCTCATTCATTCATTCCAACACGCTCTACATACCTACATTAGGGTTGTCACGCTCTATTCTGACTTCAAATTATATACTTCATCATCATCCTATATACATATACATATTACATTTTATACATATATTTATATTATTATTATATTAACACATACACTCAGTCATACCACTCATACACACAGACGACCTCCTATTTGTTCACTACTATCATTTCATTGGTCACTACATCTTGGTTGTTGCGTCGCAGAGACATCAAAGTATTACAAGTTGGACATAGTTTGTAAGTATTATGCACTCATAATGTATCTTAAATGTTCTTATACTAATAATAATGTTATTTCGCGATCTTTAAAGCATCAGCTGCAAACAAACAAACAAATACATATTCAATCAAACAAACAAACAAACAAAGAAAGAAACATACAAAATTGTATTATAATATAGATTAACCATATACTAGATAGATAGAATATGGAGGACCGTCTACAGGAATTGCTGTCAGCCGGTGGTGTAAAGCCAGACCAGGGAAAGAAAGGAAAGAAGGGAAAGAAGGGCGAGGAGACAAAGCCAACCGCAGGAGAGGATCGCGGAACGACATCGACGGATAATGGCGACGTCGAGCTTGGCATCATTATAGACGACGATGGCGAGCAGATGGAGGAGTTCATGCCAGAGTTCTATCAAGAGGTTGGCATCATCAAGACTCAAATGACATCGATTCGAAAGAGTGTCAAGAGTATAGAGGATAAATATGTACTCTCACTAAATTCTATTAATGTAGATCAAGGTTCGAGTATGTAGTAGTAGTAGAAGTTGTTGACAAAGTTGCGAGGCTGGTAACAACGAGATGTCTAACAATCAATCAATCAACCACAACAACAACAACAACAACAACAGAGTATGAAGAAGATATCCAGGCAATGATTGAGGCAACCAATCGATCATTCACTGACTTGAAGAAGAAGTTGGAGGTGTTGAAGGCTAATAATGACAAATACACATCACAAAAGTCAGCGACGCCTACCGAGATACGTATCCGTAACAACATGCACAATACCCTCACACAAAAGTTTGTCGAGATGATGAGAGAGTATCAAGAGGTTCAGAACAACTACAAGAACAAGTACAAGGAGAAAATCGAGAGACAGTATAAGATAGGTATGTTTGTTTGTTGAATGCGAGGCAGGGCATGGAAGATAGGCGGGATAGACAGCGGCAGACACTAACAAACAATTCGAATGGATCAATGAAACAGTTAAACCCGATGCAACACCAGAGGAGATAAAGGCAGCGATGGACTCTGGAGACTCGAGCAAGATATTTGCCGACACGATTCTGTACACACATCTACACACACAGGCCAAGAATGCCCTGGCGTACGTCCAGGACAGACATAGGGATATCCAGAGACTGGAGCAGAGTATTGCCGAGCTGCATCAACTGTTCCTAGACATGGCGGTGTTGGTGGAGGTTCAGGGAGAGATGCTCAATCAGATCGAGGCCAACGTCGAGTCGACGGTGATGAACACCAAGGAGGGTGTGGAGAACCTGGCCGAAGCCAACAAGCTGCACCGCAAGGGCCGAAAGAAGATGTACATCCTGCTATGTATTGTGGTCATTGTTCTGATTGCCGTTCTCACGCCAGTCTTGGTCACACAACTCGGAGGAAAGAAATAATATAACAATATTATATTATGTTTATCCATCCCTCCATCCATCTATCCATCTCTATCCAACCTAGCTAGTATTGACAGTCAGTCAGTGAGAGCCCAAAAGGTCCTTGGACTTGGATGTGGACCTTTTGGGAATTCCTTGACCTTAATCTTCAAATAAAGTGCCTGCCTGGCTGGCATGTACCCCATGTACCCAATCCATTCCATTCAGCGGAACCGGTTCCCAAGATGTCGTTGGTGTGTGGATGGCTTGTGATCGAGATGGATTGGTTTGCCGCATTGAATGAAGTTCAGATCATGCCCATTTTACACAAATATCTGACGATTTTTTTAACAAAACCACTCATCCCTGATCACGCACCATTTTTGATTCGAATCTTAATAACTCGAATGTGCCAGGGGGGGTACCATTGGTACGAGGCTTGGTACTGGCCCAGCTGTACAATTATGTGTGAAGTGAATGTTGTTTTTGATCAGGATGATGGTTCTGCCCCATGATTAACATGTGTGAGTTTTTTTGGAACCCTCCAATTATTTATTATTATTAATTATAATGTTTTATCCAACTTAAGTTTTGGATTTTGATGTCCATCACCCAACACAACTTATGCTCTCTCTCACACTACATTGATCACTCTCATCTTCACAGGGCGCACACACAACCTGCGTTTCTCGCATCCAACACACCTCTCTCACTCATCGATAAAGCTTCATCACTCTCTTGAGTTCCAAAATAATTATTCACCCAATTGGCCACCAAGCATCAATATCTCTGAACAGAAGGTACATAGACATACAACAACTTTTGACATTGACATTGACATTGACATTGGATTGGATTGACGATCGATCGATTTGGACCACACACTCTGAAGGAAGGACTTTGGAACTAATCCACCCCCTCGTACCCCATCACAGATATATTAGGTTTAGACTTTGGATAAACTCATCACCTTCACCTTCACCATCACCTTCATCTTCACCATCACCTACACGCTTGTATCAAACAGACAGAACATTTAAGTCTCTGTTGTATCCACACATTTTATCAACGTCGTATCACATCGCCGCCAAACCCGCCCCTATTTATTGCGCACGCCCCTACCTTGGAATAGCGTTCATCACCTTTGTCTATCAGAAGTGTTTGGATGTTATTTAAAGTGTATCGGGACGACATTGCCATCGAGTTCTCTTTATTTCTTTCTCTCTCGTACAAAAAGATAAGTAATTTAATTAAAGAATATCTTATATTATATACTTCATCCCAGCCCCCAACAGCCCCATATCATCAACCTTATCATCATAATCAGCTCCCAATTACCAGTCATTAAAGTTATCATAATCATCACTATATTATTATTATTGCCAAAGTCCAAGATACCCCACACGCAAACTCAATCAGCCCAAGCCAGTCAATCAAAAATACTGTCGCCAACAACTATTATATATTACTGTACGCATTACGCCCCGCCATTAGCCTGTCCGTCAATTCCATTACCGCCAGTTTGAACATCGCCCATCAGCTGTTCACAACTCACTACGCCAACTCAATCAATTTCAATCAATCAATCAATCAGTCAGCCAGCCAGTACCAGCCATGTACATCACGCACATCCCAAACAATCAGACTGGTCCGGTGTCTTTGCCACCTCAGCACTATAACGTCCATGGTGGAATCCAGCCACAGTTGCTTCAGAACGTCCTGAACTCTGCCAGTACCATGCAGGTCTCGCCACCCATGCTCAGCCAGCAGCAGCAACAACAACAGGCCATGATGATGTCCAACAACTCTGGTCATCACGGCCATGCCATGGTCCAACATCAGCACCAGCAACAACACCAACATCAGCACCAGCACCAGCATCAGCACCAGCAGCAGTCGCAACAACAGCAACAACCACAGCAGCAACAACAGCAACAACAACAACCCAACGCTGTGGAGATGCCACCCACCAAGAAACGTGCCAAGAAGGCATGTTTGAACTGCCGCTCGTCCAAGGTTGCCTGTGATCATAATCGCCCCTGCCTAAGATGTGTCAAACATGGAATTGAGGACAGTTGTCTTGACATTCCAAGGAAGCCCAAGGTCGTCGGAAAGCGTCTCAAGAAGGACGCCATCTCGTCACCGTCGTCCGCGCTAGTCCATGCCACTACCGAACCGATCCTATTGTCGTCTGCCGTGCCTAGCCTGTCCCCATCGAGCTCCATGCAGAACCTCAATATGATTCAAACCACCTCCGCCCCCGGCAGTGGAGTGGGCCAGCCATTTGTGCCCCAGCAGCAGCAACAGCAGTCGCGCGCTGGTCCTACGCCCAAGCCCTTTAGCCATAGTCAGGGCCGCTCGACCTCTTCCTCTTCCTCCTCCGCCAAGGCTGCACCAACAAACAACCAGAACAACAACAAGCCTGTTGCCGGAGGATACCCGCTTGGAATGCAAGACATCTCCCATCTTGTAAATAGCATCAAAAACAACCAACAACTGCAACAGCAGTTGCCTCAGTACCTCAACTTCACCAACAACAACGCCAATCACGCCAACAACAACAACCACGCCAACAAGTCCCCGTCGCAACCCGCCTCCCCCAGCTCAGGTTCCGTGACCAACCTCGCCGCCCTCGTTCCACAGCAACAAACTTCCAACAATGCCAACCACACCAACCAAGCCAACAACAACATGTTCAAGTTTACTGCCAACTCGCCCAACAACAACAAGGACTCACACGACCTGACCAACTCTTCCTCCGGACACTATAATGTTCCATTCGAGAAGCACGACACCATGTCGTCGTCGGGCCAGTACGTCATGTCCCAGCACCAGAGCCAACACCAAGCCGCCCAGCAGATGCAACACCAGCAGTTGATGCACCAACAGCAGCAACACCAGGCGCACCAACAACACCACCATCACTCAAGTGGTGCGACCACGCCAACTGGCACGAGCATCCCATCGTCCCCAACGTCGTCCTTCTCGACGCCGTCGCCCACTCACTCGGCATACTCTGCCGACTCCTCGCCAGGCAGTCCCTCGCATGCCGGTCCCCAGTTTGAGTTGGCCGTACCCAGTATCCTGGCCTCTGGTGCGCAGTCACATCATCACCAACACCATACCGAGTACCATCACCAACCAACCAACCAACAGAATAACGTTCATCGCGGTACTGCATCATTCCACAACAACAACAACACGACCACAACAACAACAAACATGTCACCTTCACATGGTCATCAATATGACTCAACTATTACTAGACCAACGACAACGACTGAGGAGGACCATAACACCAACAACAACAACAAGATCTCAAGTTCCTCAGCGGCCGCCATCCTATCCGCCGTTGACAACGTTTGTGCCAACCTGTCCAACCTGATCAGCACGTCGTCCAGCTTCCAAGAGCCAATTGGCATTGGTTCTGCTCCGTTCGCCTACTGCTCCAAGAGTCCGTTCATGCACTCGCTCGATGGAGTGCCGCCCCAGCAACAACAGCAACAACACGGCCAACAGCAACAACAACATAACAATCAACAGATCCAGTCCTCGTCGTCCTCGTCCTCCTACATGCCATCCACTGAAAGTCTGTTGCACTCGTTGATGGGACAAGCTGCCGCTGCCGTTGCCGCCAACAACAACCACAACAACAACAATAACAATGCCAATAACAACGCCAACAACAACAACAATTCCTTTGGCAATGGTTCATCATCGACGACCGTACACACCATCCTGCCCAATGTGCTCGTCACCGAGTTCAAGAAGATCCACCAGTCTCTTGAGACCATCACCTCCTTCCTCCAGTTCCCCTCTGTCCAACTGCCGGCGCTGGTCCCACCCAAGAACCCTGTAAGCCAAGAAGCACTTGGCTTCCATTTCTAAAGAGTATGTATATAATAACATGTTTATTCTCATCTCTCTCTCTCCCCAACATGCATACTTACACTCACTCTTCTTCCTCTTCTTGTTCTATATCATAGGAATGCATTCCTACTTCCATCTATCCATCGACCAACCAACCAATGAATGCACGATTGATTGATTGAATGAATGAATACAACTCCTCCGCCAACATATCCTTCCATTCAATATGAGTGGAAGTACGTCCCGCCCAACGCTATCTTTAACTTCTTTTTGATAAACACGTACGCCATCGTCCATCCATCCAACCTACCTACCGTACCATCCCAACCTACCATCCATCCATCCAGTCACTCACACACCCAGTCTTGTCCTGGCTACCTCCAACAACATCCATTATTTAATAATAAACTAAACAAATATTTATCTCCTATCTCTTTATCTGTATCTCTCTCTCTATCTAATAATATTATTGTATTAATAATTATGATGATGTATTCCACTCCATTTATCTATCCAATAGAATTGATGGATTGATTAATGTTGAAATGAATGACTCAAAAAAGATAAGTTATCTCCGACACGGCCCGCAAACAACGCCTTTCGACCTGACTGACTGTGGCTCATCGGAATTAACAAATTATTTAGCCGTGGGGTGCATTGCATAGGTGGTGTTGAACAACATGATCATCGGCATAATGATCGAATACATGTACTTCCTGCTTAAGACTATGGCATGGTGATTGATGATCGTTGTAAACTACCACACACAAGGGACTTGATAGGTCAATGTCAGAGGTCCCTTATACCACTCACCACTTGATCTTCATTCATACCTGCCAATTTGAATCAACTTTATTAGCATTATTGTTGTTCCATTTCAAATCCGTCGGTTGATTAATAACTAATAATCAATAATAATATTATTAATAATAATTATAACAACAAGCTGCCAATATCACAACATGTTGTTGTCCATCCATAGTTTGTGTGGGGCGCGGCGTTGAAAGCCAGGGATTTGCAATGTCTGTCGTCTAGACGACGCACACATTATATTTGCTACGATGCGGAATTAACAACAACAAAAATAATAATAACAACAACACTTTATGCAATGACTAATGTTAGAGTTCGGACGGTCTGATGTTGATGGAGCATCACTATTATCCCATCTAGGTATACTATTACTATTATAACATTTCGATTGTGTGATTGTGTGATTGTGATTGAGCGACTACGACTGATATCGACCAGGCGACCCAGGCGATCGTTTCGTTCGGTTCAATGATCAATGTTCTGAAGCACTTCAGAATACCTTTAGTGGTATGTTCTCACTTCTATAATACATTACAACCAATCATTCAATTAATTGAACATGCCATGCCATGCGTATGCCGATAAAAATATATCAGTGACATCATTGGTATCCTGATTGTTGTTGATTGACCTAAATACTACGGAGTGTTTGGTATTTCCTAAATACGTGTACACTAAACAGGAGTGGCACATGCTTCAGAACGTCCCAAGGAGAAGATCTTACAATGTTATTTATATCTTCGGAACGTTCTTTGTATAACGTCGAAGGTTAAAGCGAGAAAAGAAGCCTCGCACAACTAAAGCAAAACAAGTAGATCACGCCCTTTGGCCACCACAACTTTGACAATGGGCTGCCTGATGTCATTAAAACATTTCTTCAGATTTTTCAAAAGCGAGTTGAAACTTCCATCAACGTCTCCATCAGATACCACACAGGTATGTTTACCCATTCACACCACCCAACCAATCTACCATCTGCACCATCCGTACCATCCTATCATCCATACTGTCCATCAAACTATAATAAAGTTTTATCACGATTATTCATTGCATAATCTTAACACATTGTTTGTGATAATTAGTATCCTTTTGGTTTGATTGCCCTACACATTCGCAACAACAACAACATCAGACAGATACTCTTTCTGGATACGCAGTCCCCAAGGTAGGTAAAGAATCTACCCATTAAATTATCTCCAACACCATGCCCAACTCCATCACAACAACTACAACAACAACAACAATAATGAAATGAATGAATGGATGGTATTTACACATTGTTTTGTGGGCAAACCATCGGTCAACATGATACTACAACTACAACTACTACCACAATAACAATGATGGACCAACTCACCCCCATCCATCCGTCCGCAATCAATCAGATCATAGCACCACCACCACACTTCCCTTTCATCACTACTTAGCATTATTCATTCATTCATTCACACAACATCAAAGCCAAAACACACCAAGGACATCGCCTACCCTTCACTACACTTCACCTCAGACTCACATCACACTCTTTATCTCATTCAATCATTCAATCATTCATTCAATCAATCATTGTTATTGTTTAAACTTGGCATCCAGGTTATATTTATATATATACTATTTTCTTAGTTCTCCAGGTGTGATTGATTATCACAAGGTAGTTCCAACTTTATATTGACCTTAAACCTCTCTAATCAATCCAATCAATATTAAGATCAAACATATATATATATATATATATACAATATAATAGAGTGTACAAATGAAGTCACTTGCAATAACATCGATGGTCTTGGTGGCCATCATGTTGATGTTGTTATTGCCAACACAACAGGATAGTATGGTGTCGGCAGCCAACTCACCCTACAGACTTGGAGAGAGCAAGAAATGTCGTGACTGTCTAATGGGTCAACTATGTCTAAACAATACATGCACGTAAGTTACTTCATTCAAGTACATAGTCCATCATTCGTCCAGACACTGACAGTCTTTCACGTGAAACAAACAGAACATGTCAGACAAATGATCAATGCCAAACAGATTATAGCTCTCAGAGTATATGTAGCGGAGGACTATGTGTCCACAAGACACTATTTCACAACAAGCTCTCTGGAATGGATATACTAAGTTTCTTCCTCCTCTTCGTCGGCTGTGCCCTGTCATCTGGCGGTGGAATTGGAGGTGGTGGTATCTACATCCCCATCCTGATCTTGGTTAACCAGTTCAGTCCAAAGGTGGCCATACCCCTGTCCAATGTATGTTATGTCAAGCTTACCATCACTCATTCACTCATTCATTCACTCACTAACTCAATCAATCAATCAACTGAATCAGTGTTTGGTAGCAGGTTGTGCAATGGCCAATCTCATTCAGAACTTCCCGCGAAGACATCCACATGCCAACAAACATTTGATCGACTACTCTGTGGTCTTGTTGATTGAACCATTGACACTGTGCGGTACTGTGTTTGGTATTTACCTCCACACTCTGCTGCCGCCCTACATCATCCTCATCCTGTTGGTACTCACATTGACGGCCACTGCCGCCACCACCATCAAGAAGGGTCTGGATCTTTATCGTAAAGAGAAGATCAGACGCGACTACCTCAACGTCAACGATGGTGGCACGCCCACAAACGAGAAGAAAATGAACCGTAAGTTGTCCAAAGTGTGTCGGTGTCGGTCCAAAGGGTGACCTCCATGTCACTAACAATCATATATCACTCTAGCCTTCTACGATGCCGACTGGATCAAGATCTTCTTGACTCTCTTCATCTTGGTTATGTCCACAATGTTCTCAGTGTTCAAAGGTGGAAACAATGAGTATAGTGTCATTGGTGTCAAGCTCTGTTCAGTGCCCTATTGGATACTGTCTTTTGCCATTGTGCCACTGGTGGTTGTGGTGTGGGTCTTCACGGCTCGACGCCTCTACTCCAACTTCCAGAGAAACCAAGCTGATGGCATCATCATTGAGGGTGACATTCGCTACACACGCAATGCCATCATCCTCCTGGCAGGTCTCAGTGTACTTGCTGGTGTCCTTGCCTCACTACTAGGCATTGGTGGTGGTATGATTAAGGGTCCAGTACTCCTAGCCATGGGTCTCAGTCCAGACATTGTCGCAGCCACATCTAGTTTTATGATTGTAAGTCATATCCAATCATTCCAACAGCATCCACGAGGTTTGACATGACAACTAATCAATCAATACAATTCCAATCAACATAGCTATTCACATCGGCATCATCTGCATTCCAATATATATTGCTGGGCAAGTTAGCACTGGACTATGGACTGGTGTACTACTTGATTGGATTCGCTGCTTGCTTTGTTGGAACACAGACACTGATATGGGTTGTCAAGAAGTACAAGAGAAGATCATACATTGTCTTCCTGATCTCATGTATCATCGTGATCAGCACGATACTCCTGGTGATCACCGAGGTCATCGACATGGAGAAGTACCCCAACCAGCCTTTCGTTTCGATTTGCGTTCCTTCCAGTGGACCGCTAAGCAGTATGTTCTAGAATTATTATATATACATATACCATATATCTGATGTCGACGAATCTGATCATTCAACATACCTTACCCTACAATCCAAAATAAGGATACGTGGGTATGGATGGACACATAGATCATCGATCGAGTTCCAGTCCAGTCTCAATGATCGGTCATCATTGAGGCAATGCGACTGACAACATTAAACCAAAAAGTCGCATCACTCCCGTTTCCAACTTTAAAGTTCCCCCAACTCGCCCCATCACCATGATCAATCAATCAAGTTGATCAACTTGTAATGTGTTTACAACAAAGAGATAGAGATAGAGAGAGAATGGTAGTTACATTACAATTTCATATTATATCAAAGATTGCATCATTGTTGGATGATAGACTTGATCGAATGAGTTTGGTACTGTCATCAAACTATTTGTTTCAAAGACGTCATTTACTTCTAATGGATGGTGATCTCTTGGTCACTGAAGTACTAGAGCTCCTTTACACACAAGTACCAAGCTCAACAATGACAACGACATTGTTCGATATCCCATCAAATACAAAGAGGTTGACTTTTGGTGATCGTTTCTCTCTACGTTTGGAGTTGATTAGCATTCCCAACTCAGTCACTGAACTTATTCTTGGCGGTAATTTCAATCAACCTTTGAATGAACATTCAATACCTTCATCAATAAGAACACTTGAATTTGGATATCAATTTAATCAACCTTTAATTATTGGATCTTTGCCACCATCCATTACATCATTGAAATTTGGTAGTCAATTCAATCAATCATTGAGACCTGGTACTATCCCCGACTCTGTGATCAATCTTACTTTTGGTAGCAAATTCAAACAACCGTTGAGACCGGGTACTATCCCCGACTCTGTGATCATTCTTAAAATTGGCGAGTTGTACTCATATGATTTCAAGCAACCTTTGGTTCGTGGATCAATTCCATCATCGGTGACAACATTGGACATTGGTTCTAGAAGCACCAATTCAATTCTAGAAGGCTCCATACCTCCATCTGTCCGTACTTTAAACATTGTTGCTGATAAATTTATCAGTGCGCTCAACCAAGGATTCATCCCATTATCATTGACATGCCTTTCACTTTATTATTACGACAATGACCTTATCGACATGTCATCACTGACCTGTCTAAGAAGCCTTAAACTGCGGGAGGGAGAAATCTCCGACGACACTATATCCAAACTTCCACATTCAATTACCAAGTTGTCGATTCAAAACTTCAAACCAGTGGCACCAGGTATCTGGCCGCCAAACCTCCATACATTGAAATGTTCCATCAATGATTCTTCGGGTCTGGTCAACCTACCTCCATCAGTGACAACACTTCATCTTGACGTCAGGGATCTAGAGATTGGTTCAATTCCCAGTTCTGTCCGCAATCTACACCTCAGTCCATATTTCAATCAATCATTAGAGCATGGAATGATCCCATCATCCGTTATATCGTTGGATCTTGGTGATGAATTCAGATATGAAATTCCAAAGGATGTTTTATCTCCATCGGTGACCCAACTCAACTTGCACAGCGCCGCCCAGTTTGAAGACATACAATCCCTCACCAATCTAAAGTCAATCACACTCAACATACCAGGAGACTACACAGACTACAATAACCAAAATGTCTATTCATCAGTGCCAACAAACGTTATCAAGAATAGCACCAATGAATATGGAGATATTCATCTGTCTGTTAGGGCAATCGATACCGATACATTCCTTGCGTATGATCACCGTTCATGCACATATTCCTTTGGGCAATACAACAGTTGTCATAGAAGGAGTAGTCTTCTTTCATATCCAGACATGTCCATTCCATTTCGATATTTATCCATGCATCAACGACAGATGTACAACAACTCAAACAAGATCATTCATTATTATCATGATTTCCAACATTAAAGTTACTATATATATATATATTTACAATTGATGATCAATCCAATCAATCAATCAAACTATCTATCACAGATCGTTGTCATCGTCTATTTCCATTGGAATGATTGGCTCGTATTGTTCGCTGAATCTATCGTTGTCGCGTCCAAAGATTCCCTTGAATGTTCTTTTCAGTGCTTCTCTACGCTGTTGATAGCAACAGACGCAACAGATAGCCACTAGCAGTAGGATGAGTCCAAGTGGCAATGTGATGATGAGTACGATTGCACCGCCAGTGATGTGTGGATTGCAAAGATTGCATATCTCGACATTTCCATCTGAGGAGTCTGTTCGTCCATATCCTTCGCATGTATATTCAATTAAGAATGTGTCCTGATATGTCTTGCCACTGCACACCTCCATGTTTCCAACTCCTTCACAGCAAGGTATTGCCAGTGTCATTGGTATATCCATTATCACCAATGTCAATGCCAACCAAAGTGTGATCATCATTGACCATGATAAAGATATCATCATTACTGATGATTGATGGTTGTTGATTACTATAATATAATCTCAAGGTAACTCTATAGTAAAGATTATTCTTGTGTTATTGTTGTTGTTATTGTACTTGTTGTTGATGTTGTTGATGTTGTTGTACACTTGTATGCATTGTGTGTGTGTGTGTGTATCTGTAAGTGGTGTATATGTATATGTTATACGTATTGTATTGTTGGGTCTGGGTAGTGGAGGGGGTGAGTGCTAATGACCAAGGTTGGGTTGGAGCTCGCAGTGAACCACGTCGGATGTCTTTGGAAACGAAACACGTTGAGAGTGTGAACAGCCGAAAGACAATTCGAAAGAAATCGCCGCGTGAATCACAAAGTTCAACCCTGGGCAAATGATCAATCAATGAATAATCAACGATCACCGGTACCTAGGTGCAAAGATAGGATTTATTATAAGTATTCTTGATTGCTTTACGTGCCCTGATGGTACTAGTAGTATGATGAGTTTGATGATGTTGTTGATGTTGATACCGAGTTTGCTGTTGGGTATAGTTGTGCTTTCTTGTTTCTCTCTTGTACATCATCCAGAGATCTAATGAAGTTGCAATTAGATTCACCCATGGTTCAACTCTCTCATACCATGGCTTCTCAATGTACTCTGATACTCCCTCTTCCTGACGTAGGTATTCCATCACTTGATGATATGTCATTCCGAGTTGAAGTGCACCTTCCAACAGCTGTTTAAACTCATCCTTTGTACAATTGATCTTATATGCTTGTTGTTGTTTATCTTCCATTTTAATAGTGATCTCTGTCATATCCATCTTACGTTCCTGTATGTATTTACACCATACTATCATTCTACTTCTAACATCATAATATGATTTGATTGAATAGATGAGCTCTGTTCCATCCTCCAAATATACATTGAACATCTCATTGGTGTATCCACATGTGACCTTGAACTTTATACTTGAGAATGATCCTCCCATATTGTTGTAATGTTAGAGGTAATAATTACAAATGTAATAAGTAAGAAGGTTGAAGATGGAGAGTGGTATTATTGTGATTGGTGATCACGGCCTAATCAGGAAGAGCCAACCCCACACAAACCACGAACGTTCGTGGTAGTGTTTTGATTGATTGATTGTTATTGATTGAACATGAATATGAATATGTATGAATGAATAAGGGTTGGATTAAGATTGACGATGTCTTGGCGCAGGAGTATTGGTGAAGTAAAAGTCCATGTCTACGAATACAACTTCAATCTCCATCTCTTGGTGAAGCTCAAATGTACCAGAGATCTTGTCTGAGAGGATGGTCTTGCGGGTCCAGTGCTCGTAGGCCTCGTAGAACTCTCCCTTGTGTGGGATGTTCATCTCGATCAGCAGCTTGAAGTCGTCCTGCGTGATGCCATAGGGGATGGCCAGCGAGTAGAACCAGAAGGTGCCGCGGTGTCTGACGTAGACGACGATTCCCTTGTCAGAGGACCAGTCCTCTGGCACCTTGATGTACTTCTTGCGATGCTGGGCGTCGCCAAATACCATGCCCACCTCCTTCCTGTGCAGGTCCGCCATTCTGTAGCAGACGCGACACTCGGCGCCGATGCGAGCAATGTCGACCATGGCCGTCCAGTCCTTGGTCGGACCAGTTTTCTTCCACGTCAAATACTTCTCGTACTCCTCGTCATTGTTATCCAGATACTTTAGATACTTTGCCAACTCCTCTGGCGAGCTGTAATCATGGGCAAAGATCACTGAATGATTGTTTGGTGCAAACTTCAAGGCATTTGGTGCACCATCATAGACTAGAGAGTGATTGAGTCATTGGTGAGTGATTGTGATCGTTGGGGGCGGGACACTGCCACGTGGGTGGGTTGCCGTGATTGATACTCACTTGGTACTGAACCGACGGCAAGAACACCAAATAGTTTCTCAGTGACGTAGTCATCAGTGAATGAGTTCTCAAAGGCCATGATGAACTTGTAGGTCCTGCCAATGCCAAGCTTCTGTCCATTGTAATCGCCTGGTAGGTCGTTTCTACTTGGCATTGCCTTGTTGTTCTCACAACGACCATAAGAATCGACGATTGCACCAGCCTTTGTCAAGCCCTTCAGCCAATCCAGACGTTTCTGTGGGCCACAGTTTGAGATGAATGCTGCGACCAATCCTTGACTCTTGCTATCCTGTTGTTGTTGTTGTTTGCATGAGTGAGTTAGACCAACATGATATCGATTGATTGAATGGGTAAATGAATGGGATTACCAACCTTTGGGACGGCAGGCTCGGCATAGGTATACTGATTCCAACCATACATGGGCAGAGGGACATCGGTGTCGAGATAGATACCAGCAATGATGTCATAGGTATCTCTGCTATATGGTACATTCTCCATGGTGAAGTGGACGGACTTTTCACAATCTGAGCCATACGAGTGGATGCCACCATCGAGATAGTCACCGCCCTGGTTCAAACAGGCGATCTCACATTTATCATCGTTGTTATACCATCCATGGAATCCGAAACGCATTGGTTGTTGTTTGTAATCACGTTTGTTGGAGTAGTGGCAAGCCTTCTTCTCTTCGCGATCCCATATCCAGTGAACAGTGGTCGGTAGAACATTGTAATGTATGATACCTGGTTTGTTGTTATTATTGTTGTTGTTCTTGTTGTGATTGTTGTGATCGGTATCCTTTGGTTGCTTGCGATGATTGTCTGGTACGACATCTTCATCAAGCTTCACAGTCCTTCTGTCTTCAATGTCACTACCACCATGATTGTTATTATGATTGTTTTTGTTGTTGTTATTATCAGTATGCTTTGGTTGTTTATGTTGCTTGTGATTGTCTGATGGAGATGTAGTGGCAGTGGGATCACGAGATATAAAGTTATAGTTGATAGCAATGAGCAACAAGACAAACACAACTACCATCAAGTGCTTATAGTGTCGCGTCAAATTGAAACGAACTATAGCCATTGTTGATCTATATTTGTTTGTTTGTTTGTTTGTTGTAAATTGATTATTTATATATTTATATATTACTTTGAGATCAAACTAATAAAGCTTCAACAGCTCAGCAACGATCGATTGAGCTCAAACGCTCCAGATGAAGGGGCTTTTTGAGCTAATTTTTTGGCTCAAACTGTGGTGTGAGGTGCAACGTCTCAACCTTTTTTGGAAGATTTGTGTTTTTGATTGATCAATCAACAACAACTTAATAGTCTTGTAAAAAAATATTTATTTAGGATTTCTTAACTAAAATAACTTTTATAGTATCGATCATCATCCCACATTGTATCAGGTTCGGATTCCTCTTCCATCTTGATATCGATCACTGTGTCTTCTTTGTTTGGTATTGTCTTTTGGTTGTCATCATCAGTTTTGTTTTTGTCTGGAATTGTTTGAATAATAATGTTGGACAAAGTGTTTCGAGGATCTGGTATTATGTTGGATGCCAATGGTGATGATGATAGTGTTGATGAATGAGGAATTGTGAAGGTGTCTGGACAATCCAATGAAATCTGTGATACTTGTTGTGGAGGTATTTGATCAATTGGATTTGTTGTTGAGGTTGATGTTGGAGAATCTAATTGGTCATCAATGGGAATATCCAAAATGGCATCTTTGACGACATCATCATCACCAATGCAGAATAATGATCCAATGATTGAGGTGTCTCCCTTGAATGATGCCGACCTTGTTTGGGAAGGTTCAGGAAGAATTTGATGTTGGGTCAGGGACGGAGCAGGCATTTGATGTTGAGTTTGGGAAGGTAGGGGCATTTGATGTTGAATTTGGTAGACTGGTGGAGGCGGTTTGGAAGCACATATCTTTGGCATTGGCTTTGGCTTTGGGGTTGTCTTTGGAATTGATGCCATCTCCTTGGCAATACTATCTGCTATCTTGTCCAATGATGATGAGGGATCCGCCGTGTCTACGGCATCTTTGAAACTCTTCATATTGTGATTCAACACAAACTCAGGACTGCGAGTATCTCGTCTACGATAGAATAGTAGATAGGCATCTGATGTGACCACCTTGGCCACTTCAACTTGTTCAGAGTACTTGTCATTGAACTTGAACCACTTTGATTCCAACTCATTATATGCAAATGATGTATAATGACCTCCAAGTAGACCACCATGGTGATTGGACACCGCATAGAGGTCATATATTGGCTGAGCACCAGTTGCAGCCTGTGACTTATCCTGAGCATACTCTGTGAGATCCAGACCCTCCGTCGGGAAATCAATGTTACATGTCAATTTGTCAGAGATTCTACCTGCCTTTGAATCGAATCTCTTGAGTTGAATGATAACAATTGGTGGCACGGTCCACAGATCCAACTTCTTACTGTGATCAGTTACTGTCTTGCACTTGGCGCATGAACTTGGAAGAGTTTCCTCCTTTGTAAATTGTTTCAAACAATCATTCAAAGATATATTCTTCCTATCTCTTGTTATTAAACTCTGATGTTGTAGGTCAATATGTACTGATGCCTAATAATAATTGAATGAAAAAGTAGATATGAAGTATTAGTTAGTCCATGAAGTAGTGTTGGGTACTCAACAATTCGTGGAAATGAACTGTAGTGACGTCATACCTTCAGTTCGTCAACTTTGAAGTGTTTCAAAAAGTTATCACTTCCAATCTTCAATATCACTTGATGTCTTTCAATTTGAATATCCATGTCATAGAGTGATTTACCATTGGCATGAAGTTCTTCAAGTCGATCCAACTCCTTCATCATACTAAATAAAGTTACAATATAGTAAGTATTTGATTGATCAATTGAGATTGATTGATTGATGTGCGAGGAGTGACATACCCTTCAAGTCTTAGATTGATACATTGGTAGAGTGAGTTATCATCGCTGACATCTGGTGTGATTGATAGAACGAATTGGTATTGAGGTATATTGTCAACCTCCATCGTCACCAATACTCTATCCATCATAGGTAGTACTTGGAATCTAGTGTATTGAGTTGATGACATGTTAACAAAGTGAAAGAATAGGTACTAACTAATAATTATACTACGATTACTTACACTACTATTGCTTCATCCTTGCTAATTGATGACATTGATGCCTCAGGCAACCACTCTCGCTCTACTCTTGAGTTGCGATACATTGTGATGACCAAGTTTGAGGGATTGTCCTTGGTGATCTTGGTCAACATCTTGATAATGTCATTAATTGTGTGGTCATCATTCACCTCGAATGTCTCCAATGATGGTGACACATAGCTGTTGTAAGGAATGTAGAGAACCTTGATCAACTTGGTTGGCTGTCTTGGAATGGACAATGACAGATACATCATTGGATCGAATGTGATTGACACATCACGACATTTGGAACACACCAACTCAGACTTGGTCTGTGCCTGGAACCAATCCACAATGATCGAGTTGTTCCTGGCAAGATGTGATTGCCATTGATCCTTGGCTACAAGTTCAGCGGCACGCTTGTCCTCCTCAGATTTCTTCACGTACTCTGGTCGTTCCAATACCTTGTTTACATCTTCATGAAGACTATCCAACAAAGATGCCAACAACTCATGTGAATCATGCTGGTTATATCCACTGAACTGTTTCCAATAGTCACCAATTATTGATTTGAGTTCCCTTGGTGATACAGAGGTCTGATCTCCCTTCCATATCCTCCTGATCAACTTTGCATATTCCAAAGTTAACTTGCACTTGGTACCAAGTTCACTCACCTTATTCAAGTCCTTGATCAAAAGTTCATCACTCAACATATATCTAGTGAGAGGAGTAGTGTTGCTAAGGCACTATGATCATTGGTACAGTTAGTTACTTTCGATTAATCGATTGATTTGTCGATTTATTGAAGATAATACCTTACCTGTAAAGCAGAGTTCATGAAACATGTATTTCCAATGTTGTCAAGACCTGTTACACCTGGACGAGGTGTATCTCTTCCAGAGGAGGGCAACCAGCTGTTTGAGTAACTTGAGATGTTTGAAAAACTGGAGCTGTTTGAGAGATAGTAGGAGTCTCTATTGAAGCTGTTTCTATTTCTGTAGTTGTTGTATGAACTAGTGTCTGAGGGCCATCTTCCATCATAGTCCGACTCCTCAATAATTAACTATTTAGATTTTAAAAAAATATTAGAAAATGATAAAAAAAAAAAAGAACAAAACAATTACTTACCTCCTCGTTATTATCAATGGAACAATTTGCTATCTTTAAATATGTTACCAACTCCTTGGTACCTCCTCTAGTTTTCTTTAAAAGACGGCACCTGTTCTCGTTCAAATAGAGTTTTGTACAAACTCTCTATTTAAAGTAGGGAATTAATAAATTGAATTTGTTAATTTAAAATAAGATTAGTTATAATTATTATTCCATACCTTTAAGAGTTTTGCTATTGTATCAAACTGACTAACAGTGATAGTTAAATCTTGATAACTATAAGATATATGAATTATCTTTGGGAAGAGAAAGTCTATCATTATATAGCCACCTCTTCTGATGACCTTCCTCTCAATGATAGACTTGCAACCGAAGATCTGTTCAAAATATTCCCAAACATTCTCGGGAACACAAACAAAGTCAATGTCTTCTAGTTTGGTTGGCTTCATATCAATTCCATTTGGAAGAAGTAGGTCTTCATTGTGGATTGCACCAACATACTTGGGATTGGAAGCATAGCACCATTCTTTGAACCAATTTCTGTCCACTATGTACCAACTTTGTCCTGGGATCTTCTTTGAATTCCTAATCTCTCCAACCATAATTTGGACCGCTTCTTTATGTGTAAATCTATGTTTATATCCATACATGTCATTATAATGGTCACTAAATTCTTCTTCCTCCTCACCATCAACATCATCATATTCCTCATTATCCACTTGGTGAGAGGATCTAGATGAATGTTTATGCTTTCGATCTCGATCATCTTCATCATCACTCATTGACTCATTTGAACTGCTATCAGAGAGATCTGATATTGTGGTGACACGAGTAGGTATTAAATTACTCTTTGAGAATTGATCATCAGTCAAATGATTATCAAATGATTGTTTGTATGATCCAATTATATGAATATTTGAAAGATTGTTGTTGTAGCTATTCTTATTATTATTGCTGATGTTTATACTTTGTTGAATGTCCTTTGTTGGTATGGTTATTGGTTGTGATATATCATAAGGTGGTTTGGTACTATCCATACTAACTTCACCATCCTTATCAGTTTGTTTAATTTCTTCCTCTGTCATTTATTATGATTTGAACTTATAAATACTATAACAATAATAATGAAATGGATTTATATATTTCCAGAGTGTATTCAAGTCACAAACTTAATTTGACAAGTATAGATTGAGAAATCTATTAATTATTCATTAAATACATCTAATAAATTCCAATGACCATTTGTTCCAGCACAACACACTCTACCCGAATCTATACAGACTCATTCACTGGTGCACTCTTCATATATTGACACCAATCTAGATGAGTTTAGCTGGTCATCTGATTAACCACGCATACCACTGGACTTGCCAAGTACTTAGGTAAGTGATGGAAATAATATCGACATCATTCTTTAGTTGGCAAGGCTTGAATCATAACGTGACACAAACTTCCAGTAGGTTGTCATTTATTCCAACATCATTATCATCATCATCATCTCATCAACTGTTAGGAGTCACTTGAATTGAAATGGTTGACGAGGGGACACTGATGGCATGCCATTCGTTCAGATCTGACCCTTGGATATGCACCTCGGGTATAAATGTTGTACATTGTATATTATGTGCAAGATGTTTAGTTTGTTGTTGGAATGGAAAGTGCTTAGGCAATTGAGTTGAATGAATGAGTGAGTGAGAGTGATGGTGAGAGGTTGGAAGCTGAGTTGACAACACCAATGAAGTGAATGTGTGTGTATGTATGTTTGTAACGTGTATAAGTATGCTAAGACCATTGAAGAGTACCATCTACGATGGTATTGGTCCTGCCTCCAATCCATATGATTCCTTGTTTGTCATCGATCTGAACGACCAGTCTTGCATCGTGTCCAATCTCTCTTCCTTGTGATACGACGTAACCATGTGCCAGAGGTCCGTTTGGCTCTGCATGCGCAATGTATGCTCCGATCAGACCGTTGGCCGCACCAGACGCTGGGTCCTCCACGATTCCAACGCCGGCGGGCAGTGCACGTACCACAAGTTGATACTCTCCATTGCTGTCTTGTGCGCGCGCAAACACACAGATTCCCAAACAGTTGGTCTCCTTCGCCAGTGCCAGGATGGCCTTGTGATCGGGCTTCCACTGTCGCAGCTGCTGCTCACTCTCGCACTCGGCCAACCACCAGTGACGACCGCCCTCGACCAGCGCGGGCGGCAAGCGACCCAGACCAATACCGGCCAGCGAGGCGGCCAGCAGAGGGTGGGCGTCAAGTCCCGTGCGTATCACTTTGGCCTTGGGCGATTGCAACAACAACTGTCGCGTGCTGTTGTTGTGATCGGGGTCTAGTATGCGGATGGGCAGCACGCCTGCGCCACACTCCTGATGTATCTGGTTGTCTGCGTTTGGTGTCACCAGTTGACAATCGAGAGCGGCATGTGCGCTTCCAATGCTGGGATGTCCTGCGAATGGTATCTCCTTTGTGGGCGTGAAGATACGCACCTTATAAGATGCATTCTCTGCGGTAGGTGGCAAGAGGAATGTCGTCTCCACCAAGTTTGTCCACTTTGCAAACCTCTGCATCTGTTCATCAGTCCATCCCGTAGCGTCAGTCACGACACCAAGGTGATTACCTCCTCCCCTTGAATTACAAAACACGTCCAAATGTAAATAATGTACTTTGTTCAATGTCATCCTCTATCTCTATATCTCTATCTCTATCTCTATATGTATCTCTATCTCTATCTATATGTATATGTATGTTTGTTATCATGCAATACCATTGATGTTCGGAAGGACTCTTCGGGAAGCCTCAAAGGCCTTCCCCCAAAACGTGTCTAAATCTCAAAAAAGTACATACTTGGTAGATTGATTGATTTTATTCAACGTTTCGTGTGGGGGATTGATGGTGATGGAATGGATGGATGGTTGGATGCAATGGATAGACGCGACTAAATGACTACAACAATAACACGCTCACTTGAACTTCCTAGAGTTGTTGGAGTTCATAAAGTGTTTGTAAAGATGCATGAGCTTACGTTGTGACAGTGTCAGTGACGTGTCTGGCGTCATGCTCTTGACTCCATCCGGAGTGAGATAGATGCTGAATGGGAAAAAGTTGGTAGTCTTGCCATGCTCCTCCTTGAGCACCTTGACCAATGGAGTATCAATACACATAAAGATTCCAAGTGGAGTGTTTGGACAACGGTATGAATGCTAATTAATGGGATGAGAAAGGATGGTGTGAGTGAGCGAGTGAGCGATGAATGGGGACGTTGATGATGAACTTACAATATATGCACTGCCCTTGCAGTTATCGGTGGAACAGAAACCAAGTCCACAGAACATACAGACGGTCTTCTTGAGACTCTTGCAGTTGTCGCAGTGTCCATTCTCGAGTGAGTCGCGGAGGAAGTCAATGTACCTCTCTTGGAGCGAAATGAACTTGGGAAGAGTCTTGAATGAGGAGGGTGGCGGGAAGATACCAACAAACTTGGAGCCCTTGGGCGTGGTCTGCAGGGTGACGTAGTGATCGATCAATTGAGAGAAGTCCATGGTGGCCAAGAACTTGTCGATGGCGTTGACACCAAGGTAGTCGCGGATCTTGGTAAAGTCGGAGAAGTCCTCCAGAGAGATCTGGCTGGTGCTGTCAGGGATGTAGAACTCGCGGAACAAGTACATCTTCCTCAGGTATGGGTGGATCTGGTCGTTGAACTCCTCGATCTGCTCGGGCGACAGTGTAATGGTCTTGAGCTCGCCAAACATCTCCTTCAGACTCTTCTTGTTGAGAGTCTCTTTGGGATGTGTGCGCATAAAGTGCACTAGCATCATGGAGAATATGTAGTAGATGTAGCCGTTGGCAATGCAGTTGAATGGCTCGCAGTTGGAGAGGAACACCTGGTAGGTGGACGCGATGAATGGGTCCATCAGGAACACATAGTTGTTCTCCAGTGGCAGACGGTTCTCTTGAGTGGGCGGCACGTTGCACGCCATGATCACATGGAACAGCTTCTTGAGAGTGACCAGCTCCTTGTTGAACTCGACCTGCTTCATCAGGAAGTAGGGCTCGTTGCTGTACATTGAGGTCTTACGCGACTTGAGCTCCAGTGTCTCGATGTTCTGCAGTACAAACTTCCATAGGTAGCGCTCGATCACTGTGATGTTCTCCTTGTTGAACAGGAAGAAGTCGAAGCGACACAAGCTGGTGAAGAACAGCTTTCTGGCCTCGAGCGACTCGATCGTGTTGTCCACTGTCTGTGGGATGATGATGTTTGATGGCAGCGAGCACAGAGGGCATGCAAAGCCTTCCTCAAAGTTGGGGAACAGCTTGCGCAGACAGGTCTGATGGATGTTGTGCGCGCACGATGTGACGTAGGTGGATCCCGAGCGGTAAAAGAGGAAGCATGCAAACAGCGTTGGGTCGTCGTCCTTGCGTGGGAAGTATGGGAGAGAGCCAGGGATGATCTCGTTGAAGTAGTACTCATCGAGGAACTTGACATAGTCATCGGGCAACGACTCGTCGTTGAGGTAGCGCTCAACTTCGAGCTTGTTGTGCAGCTGGACGGTGGAGGTGATGTCAATGTATCCGATAGAGTATAAGATCTCCTGGGCCTTGCCAGTCTGACAAACAATACAGTTGTCGTCCTTGTGCTCTTGGTCGGCGTCGGCGTGAGCGTGGTCGTGCTCGTCCTCCTCGACGATCTCCTTGATCTTGCCGAGGTTGGGGTTGGGTGGCGGCAGGAGTGGTGAGTCTGTGAGTGGCGTCGAAGTCTTGTCGTCAAGCAGCTCTGCACCAGCGCTTGAGCTGGGTGGGGTTGAGGACAATGGGCTTGTGGCAAGGTTGCTACCGTTGTTGTTGTTGTCGTCTGAGCCATCCTTCTCCGAGTTGACCAACTCTGAGAGGAAGGACTGCTGCTGCTGCTTCATCCTCTCCGAGATCTTCTTGGCACGCTCCGAGATGGACTTCTTCTTGCTGAGCTCCTCGGCCGACTGGCCTTGGTTAAAGTCAATAAATCTGCCATCAAAGTAGGTCTTGAAGTGCGGGTCAAACTCCTGCAGGAAGGAGAAGACCGCGCGCAGATGTGTCTTCTTCTCGAGGTTGAGCGACTGCTTGGTCGTAATCCAGACGTTGCCCAGCAGGTCCAGCAGCGAGTATGGCTTCTTGTCGTTGGCAGAGACCTCCACGTTGAACGTGCGCAGCAGGTTCAGAATGGAGAAGGTGCGGTCAAACTTGACCTTGCTCTTGTCTTCGGCCTCAAAGTAGGTCTTGATCGACTCGTGGATGTAGTCGATGGTGGCAGCATCCATCGAGTCCTTGCGCTCGATGAACGACTTGATGCCCAGCGACATCATGTAGAGGAAGTCGTTGACGACAATATCGGCCTTCTTGAGGAGCAGACGGATGACGGGCTGCAGCTCAAAGGCGTCGTCGTAGCCAATGTACTCGTGCTCCAAGAAGTCCAGGAACACGGTAAATATCAGCTCGAACAGGGTCGGCTCGTCAAAGATGTCGTGCAGCTTGGCAAACTCGGGGCGCATCACCGTGAGCTTGGGCGCGGCGGGGAACTCGTCGGGTAGGCCCAAACGCTTCTGGTAGTCCGAGTAGTTGACCACAGTCTTGCTCTTCAAGAACGACTTGAACTTGAGCGAGAAGAAGGGATAGTAGAGATCGACGTCCTTCCAGTACTCATCCTTGAGCTCGCGTGCCTTGTCCTTCTTGACAGAGATCTGGTTGAGGATGGCTTCCATCCTCTCCTCTGACACATCCTTAAAGATGAACTCATAGTTCTTATACGACTCCAATGCAAAGTAGCCGGCAGCCACGATCTGGATCATGTGATGTCTAATCTCATCGTCCGTTGGGTTGACAGTCGCTCTCAACTGGAATGTCGATGTCAACAATGCGAACAAATCATTCAACGCTGATGTGGAGTCTGTAGTAATTGATTGATTGATTGAAAGTGAGTATGAGTGCATCGATCAATCTATCGCGATGGTAGTACTACATACTATAAATGTCCACAGAGGTGATGACGTTGAAGAAGGTGTGGAGGTAGTGCTTGGGACCAAGTGCCATCATGCCCATTTGGAGTGCAAAGAGATCGGTCATCATGGTGATGTCGGTGAAGAAGTCTGTGGACTTTTGCAACTTGCTCTGACTCTCCTTGGGATCGTACGATGGGTCATATGATATGTAGCACACTCTGAACAACAGGATTGAGTTGACCATGTTGACAACGCTCTCAATCTTCAAGTCCTTCAACTCAGTAGCATAGCCATAGTTGTACTGGAGCACAGCTGTGGCCAGCATTCTGTACAAGGGGAAGTGAACTGGGATCTCGCTATACTTGAACTTTTGGAAGAAGTCTTGATGTGGCAACAACAATCTTTGATTGATTGAGGATGTTAGGTAAGTGTGCCGAGTCTGCGGTGGCGGTGATACTGCCTACTTACTCATTTCTTGGATAGAGTGGAGGGTAGTAGAGGTTGTTGATAAAGGTGATGGCGTCGGTGATTAGACGTTGCGAGACCTTGGGGTCGTTGTCAAGGGTGGAGAGAAGGTTCTTGGTGGTCAGCATCAGCTTCTGCTCCAACAGCACGAGGAAACAGGTGGTCGTGATGGTTGGATCGACAAACTGTGGCGAGAAGAAGTTGTGTAGGCCAGTGGCAAACTCAAAGAACAAACGAATGATCTTGTCATCGTTCATAAAGTACTGTGCCACCTTCTTATTCAATATGAGCTTGGGGAATGTCTTGAAATCACTCTGCAACATCACCTCCCTATCGATCACTTTGTCAGTCTTGTAGAATGGCTCCAAGATTGGCATGTATGATTTCTGTTGTTCGCGCGAGGGTAAGGGTAAGGGTTAGCACATGCTTGGTCATATGATTGATTGATTTATGGATGGGGATACATACATGTGTTTGAAGAAGTAACTCCATGTAGTTACTGGAGGAGAAGCCAGTGGAGAATGGGACGAGGATGGAGTTGGTCTCGATGTAGAAGGAACCGATGAGCAACATGATCTCGGTGGAGTTGGGATCACGGGGCGTGAAGATGTCGATGTAGTTCTTGAGGTACTCCTCAAAGAAGATGATCTTGAACAGCTTGTGATTGTCGATCAAGAGGGTGAGCAGGTCGAGGAAGTAGTTGAGCAGGTGGAGACGACGGAAGAGGTAGAAGAGGAAGTGGTGCGACTCGATTGAGTGATTCTCGTTGGTGGAGAAAGGCAGAGGCACGGCGTTGTTCAGGCTGAAGCTGTTGGGCTCGAGGGTGCGCGACGACACCTCCTCCGAGATGATGTGAATCAGGATGGAGGAGCGCGACGCCAGGAACGACAGCCACTCGATGATCACCTCAATGTTTGTCTTGTTGGCCTCAAAGTCCGAGGGCATTGTCGTCACACGCTGCAGATAGGCAAAGATGTGGCGGAAGAAGAGATGCAGGTCCTTGAGGACGGCAGGCTGCACCATCTTGCACTGTCTGATCTGGTTGGCTTCGTCCACATTCCTATGATCCAAACAGAATCCCGAAGGTCTGATCGACTCTGCATTGCCACAATCACAAACAGCAGAGTTACTCTCATATATTGTGAATTGATGGTTCAAGTCAATGTGAGGTCCATTGAAGAAGCATGTTGGGCCTGTTGTTGTTGTTGTTGCGCGTCATGTCAGTCAATAATTCAATCATTCAATCACACTTGTGTTCGATCAACCGTCTGCCTCTGCCATCCATGTCCTCCATGCCTGCCACGCCTCTCTCGCCTCGCCCTGCCTTGCCAGTGATGCTTACATATACAACTATTCTCATTGATTGTGCAAGTCTCGCAAGAGAAGAACCAAGCACTCTTTGTTCTGGTCTCATATTGACACTTGAGAGTGTCCTCTGAGGGATACTTGTCAAAGAAGCTCTCGACCTCCATAAAGCAACACTTTTTGAATAGAGACTCGAGTAGCTCATTGGTCACTGTCTTGTCCTTGAGTTCATCCAACACCAACTTGAATGAAGGTGGCTCCTTCACTGTATCCACCAAACCATGTGAGTCTTTCAATCCGTCATCGCCAGCATCCTTACTTGCGACTGATGGATTGTTTCCCATTGCTTTTCTTTGTTCTTTGTTTGTTTAAATAAGATACTATAAGTAGTATAGTATATATTTGTTTGATTGATAGTTATAATATATATTATACAAAATGGTTAAATTAATAAATGTTGGTTGTTGTTGATGATGTGGAAGTGTGTGAGTTAGGTCGCGACAAAGATATCTCTCACTCTAAAGGGTTGTGTTTTGGGTCCACCTTGAGGAAATACCTTTTTTATTAATTTTTGAGTTCTTTGAACATTTATCACACCAACCTCTTGCAGAAGTTCAACAATCTTCTTCCTACTTTCTCAATCCAATCTGTGATTATCCAATCAATCGATCAATCAATTACATAACATCATCATTATCTGTTGTTGGGTTTGGTTGATGGTCAGTAGATAAGTCTCGGACAAATTTGATAGTATCGTGTTGGATGGTACTCAAGTTCATATATTTGGTTGGTTGGAATATCAATCAATCAAAGATAGAGATATAATGATTGTTAATTGAGACATCAGACTAGAACAGTGTGTTGCCAATGACTGATTGTGTTGGTGGAATCGAAGACCGTGTGGTCAACCTTTGATGACTGTTCACCACCCACCCTTGTCATCATCAAGTTTTGAAAGAATGAATGAACATGTTTGTGAAGATCATAATCATAAGATTAGAAATCTCTCTGTCTGTTATTTATATAAATTACAAACAATGTCTTCGACAACAACAAAGAGAAAGGATAAGAAGAAGACTGATGCTACGACATCATCATCATCTTCGTCGACAACAGATACCAAACAAACATCAACATCATCAAAAGATAAGAATGCAAGCGATCATTCATTATCATCATCAACATCATCAACACCAACATCAATAACTGAATATTCATTGAGATACCCAATATTCTGTTGTGCCAGTGGCGGAAAGTCAAAGCTGTTGGCAGTGGGAGGTGGAGGTGGCGCATCTAAAACTGGCATACCAAACGGCGTGGCGCTGTTCAAGTGGAATGGCACAAAGTTCACGTTCCTGGCGGAGCACACAACAGCTGACTGCATAACTAATTTGGCGATGCATCCCACTGCCGACACGTTCGCCTACAGCATCGGCAACAAGTGCTACGTGGTCAACTTTAACGCCTCCAACAAGACATTCGTACACTTCAAGCAGTTCGAGTCGGTCAGTCGATTCCAGGCCGAGGTGGGCAGCCCAAACAGCAGCGACAGCGGCGAGGAGGAGATGACGCACAGCGACACCAGCAGCAAGAGCAGCGCACAGGTCAAGAACGTGCCACTAGAGCAGTACTGCTGCCGCTACAGTCCGGCCGGCGACCTGCTGGTCACATCCGGCTCGGACCGCTCCATCAAGGTCTGGGAGGTGCCCGCGTACACGCTGGCGCACGAGATCAACAACTGCCACACGGATGAAGTTACTTCGCTCGACGTCAACAACTCAAACACGTACATGGTCACCACGTCCAAGGACAAGACGTGCAAGGTCTGGAACCTGCTTTCGGGGCGCGTCGAGCAGGTGCTCCACTACGACATTGGCGGCCAGGAGCTGACGTTCCGCGGCTGTCGCTTCCTTGACGGCGGACTGAACCTGCTGACATGTATGTCGCGGCCCAAGTCGGGCAAGGTGGGCGGCTGCACCTACGTGGGCAAATGGAAGGTGGCCTCTGGCAAGCTGGAGGCCAGTCAACAGATTCACGGCAAGATGCACAACACATGTATGGAGCTCAGTGCCAATCAAAAGACACTCGCCGTTGGCACGGCCGACAGCAACGTCACTGCCATCAAAGTTGGGACACTGAGTCGTGTCGATCGTTGGGAGCCACACGACTTTGTCATCACTGGTGTAACATTCTCTCCCGACAACGAATCAGTCTGTTCAGTATCCGCCAACTATTCTCTAAAGTCTCACAAAGTGACACCCAGATTAATTGGTATGTTTGTTATCCTGGCCGGCCTTCCGGCAATCAATCAATCATCAAGACATGCATGACTAACGCCACCCCCTCACTGGCATCCCACTGTCTAGACATTAACTATAAGCAAATGATTGTAATGGCGATAATATTTATTGTAGTTGCCTTGATACTGCAATCAATCCTAGTTCCGTTATTAGGATCTAATGATCAACAACAACAACATACAACAACACATACAACAACACATACAGTATCAGAATCAACACATCCATCATCATCGGTACCTCATTCATCAAACTCTCAACCATCCAGTGTTTGATTGAACCGAATGACTATGCATGCTTGCTTGACTTATTGATCCATTGATGATTGATCATCCAACATATAGCCGACCGATAGTTAGACGCGAGCCACAACCTTATAAAGCACTTTAGACGACTCTGAGATACTTCCAATCATTCTGTCTCGGGTCATCTCGTCACCACATTGGGCATTCTCATTCATTCCAACCTGATCTGCAAATTTCACTTGAAATATCCTCCATCAAAATGGAGCTTGTGATTGAGTTGATTTGCAGCCCTTCCTCCCTTTGACCCCAATTAAACAAACAACAATCGATGAGGTCCCAACACCTCCAACAACACTTCAAACAACTTTATTCATTTCTCTTAATACTACTACTAATAACATTATACATATATATAAACGATAAACATATATGATGAGGATCATTACATTAGCCTCATTTGTTGTTGTCGTCTCATTGTTGTTGGCAACAACTATCAATGCCAACTCACAATTTGAAGAGAACCCCGATGACAAACGTAACATCTCACAGATAATAGTTGCACGTGGCTATGCTGAGGAGGACCATCATGTCGTCACTCCAGACGGATTCATCGTATGTCTCTCATTGACCATCTATCATCACCTGACACTCACTCCTCATTCAATCAATCAATCAATCAATCAGTTGTCTCTTCAAAGAATACCTGCATCTAGATACCAACCAAACCCAGCGCCATACGCTGCCAATGGCAAGCCAGCAGTTATATTACAGCATGGTGTAGAGGACATTGGCACCAGTTGGGTCATTCAAGAGAATGTCTATCAGAGCCTTGGCTTCATTCTGGCCGATGCCGGATTCGATGTCTGGATCAGCAATGTCAGAGGAACAACCTACAGTAACTCTCACATCAAGTATAATCCAACTCAGAAGGAGGTAAGATATTGATTGATTGGACATGGATCATGGACAAACTGGATCACTCACTCACTAAATCATTCATTTCAATCAATCAACATACTTAGTTCTGGGCATGGAGCTTTGATCAGATGGCAGAGTATGACTTGCCAACTGTTGTTGACTATGTGCTTGGCGTCACTGGACATGAGACAGTTGGATACGCTGGACATTCACAGGGCACTACAATGGGATTCATTGCATTCACCAACCCTGAGTTGGTGAAGAAGATTAACTTGTTCGTGGCGTTTGCTCCAGTGGTCCGCGTGACACACTGCACCAGCGAGCTGTTGGACGTCATGGCCGACTTGGACCTCGCCAACATTCTCGAGCTGTTGGGCGAGAAGGCTTTCTTGCCAGACACACCAACCATGCAAAAGTTGATGCCAGTGCTTTGTGGCGCCAGCCCCGACATGTGCCAGAACTTCCTCGGACTGATCATGGGCTTTGACCTGAGCAACATCAACAACACTCGTCTTCCCGTTATCATGGCACACGAGCCAGGCGGAACGTCCGTGCAGAACGTCGTTCACTGGTCGCAGTGCAAGAAGCATGGCTACAGGAAGTACAGCTACGGCCCACTGGGCAACCTTGAGAAGTACGGCCAGTTGGAGCCACCCTCGTACAACATCACCGAGTTCCTGGCACCAGTGATCATCTTTTACGGTGGCCACGATGATCTGGCCGACCTTACCGACGTCGAGTGGCTGATTCCACAGCTGGGCGACCATCTCCTGTACCAGAAGTTCATGCCATCCTACTCGCACATCGATTTCGTCTGGGGTGAGAACGCCTACCAGTGGATCTACAACGATGCCGTCAGCTTCCTCCAGAAGTATGCTCCAACGTCAACTTCTCAAACACATGTATCACTCTAAGCTTTAGATCAACTAGGATCATCCATCTTTAATGAATGAATAAATGATCAACATGCATCCAAGGGTTAGGGTAGGGTAAGGGTAGGGTAAGGGTTGGGGTTAGGGTAAGGGTTCAAAATGCTCTCTCTTTGTCAACCAAGTTGTGCTTCATTTGACAACATGTATTACAACAAGATAATAGTAATATCTGATATATAATGGATGCTGTTGAAAAGGTATTTAGTGATGTGATACTCCTCCGTAAGATCATCAGATATGCTTGGACTGGAAATGCATATATGCCTTTAAGGTATAGACTACAACTGTCATTGGTATCTCGTCAATTCTTCAAAGTGATGAGGGATAGCGCAGGATACATCGATACGGCCACATTCAAAATGATCAACCCAGATGACGAACAATCAGACAATATCTTCGATCATCTTGGCTCGCAACACTGCCTGCTCAAGACGATACGCCGTTTGATCACCAACAATAATATCCTCTTGCCATCGAGTAATATCCAATTAGAGGAGTCCAACCAAAGTCTGCTCTTTGGTCACGTCGAAGAGTTGGTAATTCATGAATCATTGTATGACTTCCAGTCCTTCCTCAAAAGCAATAATGGGAGATTGACATCCATTCATTTCAATAACTTTGTTGTTGAGGATGCCAAGAGCTTCTGGTCCAACGAAATCAAGCCGAACCTACAACTCGCTCAACGTCTTCAAACATTGTTGTTCGATTTCAACATGTATGATTCTGATGACCATGGGCAGCTACCGGTATACCTTGAAGCAGTTCAGCTGCCAAATGTTAGACGCATCCGGATAAGAGGTGATGCCAGCGACTTCACTTTTGCTGAAAGCCTTCTCAAACAACTTCACAGTCTTACATTGGGATGCAAGAGATCGTTCACTGCCCATCACATCCAAGATCCAGAGGCTTTCTTTGGTGCACTAAAAATGAATGATCAGTTGACAACACTCAAACTGCGTCTCAGCAACATGAGTGGATACAATGATTACAAGCCAGCATTCCTCGACTTTCTAAGATACAATCAATCATTGACATCTTTATCGGTTGGATTCATCCGTGATCGATCAATCGTTGAACTGATCTCGTCCAATCGTAACTTACAACAACTCAAGATACAAACGAATGAGACTGACATTGACTTTGGCTATATCAGGCGACTGACAATCTCATCCAGACGAGACAGCAACATCTATCACATGTTGTGCACGATGGTTGGCCAGACCACATGTGCGTTGACCTCACTGCATCTCAAGTTCTACCAATTCTACCACTCATCATGCTATACCATCATCAAGGCACTACCTACTCTCATCTCGGGAATGACCTCTCTTTGCCACCTGACCATTGAGATCTGCGGACATGTTCCGCCAACCTTGTGGATCAATGCAATGTGTGCCTGGGGAGGCTACAGCGGCAATCTGGAAACTCTCACACTCAAGAGTAATGCGCAACAATTTGGCGGAGGACTGTTCCGTCAGACACTACTTGTGCTCGAGAGTGGACTCAATTCCCTTACTGTCTTTGATAACGATGAACAGATCACCATGATCAAAGGGAAACATCAACGACTGGTACCTGAGGCAGAGTCCAGACATCCCATCGTGATCATAAAGTTTCATATTCTCAATCCTTTACTCTACGAGGATGATTATAAATTCGAAGATCAGGTACTTCTCTACAAGCTTCAAGACAAATCAATGGAATTCAACAATGTGACGCTATACTACCGTCTCGAAACTCCAAGGATGTCAAGATGTTCTTGCTCATGTGGTCATGATTATATTAAGGATAACATCGATGACCATTTGGACAATATAATACTATCAAGTATATATCCTCCAAGTTCATTTTATTATTCCTATAGAGACGAAGATGATTTCCAATCGATTGAGTCATATGGCTTTGAGGGCGTCAACTCAGAAGAGAGATTGGACAATATATATGATCAATGGTATGCCAAGACTAATAACAAAATAAGGTTGCCAATAGAATAAACTACAATTATCTTGAAATACAGTTAGGGCAAGGGTTTTTCAAGTGGGTGATGAACAACTCTTCAAAAATATCAATGGGATGTGACACTTCATCTTCCCAATTCATTCTAATTCAATCACTTACATGTAACATAAATCTCGAGATAAAGATAAATATAGATAGATAAGAAGAAGAAGATATATATATAATAATAGAATAAACAATGAAGCTACTAGGGTTGCTAAGAAATATACAATATATTCAACATTGTAGATCATGCACTACACCTATTGGTCGAAGTGCATTGTCATCATCATCATGGTCCACAACAACTAGTATCAAACAACTCAATCAATTATCATCATTATCATCATCATCATCATCATCAAACACATACATCAGATATTATACAAGTGCAACTACAATTGTAAACAGTAGTAGCAGTAGTAGTAATAATAACAATGTCACATCAACAACAAATAATAAATCATCAATATCAACATCATCACCAAGTCAACAACAACAACCTGATCAATCACAATCACAATCACAACCACAACAACAACAACAACAAACTACTAAACAACAAGGTGGCGCATGCTGGTGTATACTCAACTGTAAATTGCAATCAAAGAGAATACATGTGTCACAGATTAAGCCAGTGCCATACTTGGATGGAGAGAAGGGCTACGTGCTAGGCGAGTACAACACCAACTATGAGACTCCATTGAGTGTCTCGAGAAAGGCTGTCCTGCAGGAGATGATCAAGGAGAAGGAACAATCAGAGCAGGAAGAGCGCGAGCAAGAGGACGACGAGGAGAAGCAACATGAGGAGGAGAAGAAGCAGACCAAGCAACTGTTCAAGAGCGACGAAGAGCGCGAGGAGGAGTGTCGCAAGTACCCTGTGCTCAATGACACCACCACATCGATTGGACCACTCCACGTCCTATACAAGAACCAATGGATCATGACCGTTGTAGAGCGGACAGAGACTGAGAACAAGGACAACGAGCCATACTTTGTACTTAAGCTAAAGGTAAGTGGAGCACGTGATAGCGTGAACATTGGAGAATAACCAGCTAACCTTGTCTTCCCCCCTGTTACACAGACACCAATCAGACAAGCCAGCGATGTATCATTCAACATTGAGAGCCTGTCGTACTTCTCGTCGATTGAGAAGTTGTTGTCCTTCAGCAAGTCTGTGGAGTGCAGCGACAAGGAGTTCGAGAAGCTGTTCTTGACAAAGTCCGACTCGACCACCAAGAAGGAGACCAAGTGGCTGGTGGAGGCACGTCCCTTCCTGCGCGAGGCCCTTATGTCACTAAGCATCCAACTGCTGCCATCAATTGGCTTTGCCAACTGTAGCATCAACCTGCAACTAAAGAAGGAATCTTTAATCAAGTGCAAGCAGGACTCATCGCTCGAGTTCCCGCCCAACGTCTACCAGCTAGAGCTGGAGATTGACAGCACTGAGAGCATGTGGAAGAAGGATCCAGCAGCCATCGAAAAGATACTCTACCTCTACACAGTCATGTTTGATAGCATCGTCTCATTGGGACACACTGATGATGCGCCAATCGATCAGACCTATCTCTAAGTCGCGCAACATATCTCTCGTCGACGCCATGCCAAGCATTCAATCAAACCAATTAATCTATCATTCTATCATTCAATCAAACAGTCAGTGTACTACCATGGAGACATGGAGAGGAATATTGATGAACTGGATACAGCAATCACTTGCTGCCAGTTGTACGTGTATGTGTATATATGAACTAAATGTGTTGTCTAAGAGACTGGAGTTGCTTGGTTGGATAAACTCGTCGCTTCTCCCAGAGATCAAGCACACGATGTGCCATCTGTCGGTAATGGTCTGGTTCGTTGCTGAGTGATGAGAAGATGCTGGGTAGACAGGGCTCGATGAGCTCTGCCATGGGGTCCAGTCGATCGGTCTTCCTTCGTCGCAGAAGGCCAAAGTTCAATAGGTCATGGATCAAGTAGACTATACTGATCCTGTGATTGGAGTTGTTGATGATGTTGCTGCTGTAGCGTTCCAAAGATTGTATGTTTGATGCAATGAATGACATTATTGATTGTCCACATCTAAAGTGAAGTAATATCCAATCCTTCGCCTCCTGTTTGGTTGGCCATGGATGGTGTTAGAAGTTGGATTTGTTATCCGGACAGCCAACAAGATATGATATTTACAGCGATCGACTTATAGGTTGGCGCCAGGTGTTGAATGATATGGCTCAGATGCTCCCTCTCTTCTATACTAAGTTTGTCCAGTGGCGGAGGAGAGAGTGTTTTCCCTGTAGTCGACTGGATCGCATTGATTGATTGATTGAAGGGGGGAATGGGTCCCAGATTCGAAGGAAGGGTTAGTCTGTGAACTTTGATCAATCAATCAATCAATCAATCAACCAATCAACCATGGATGGAACATACGATTGTACTGTTGATGTCTGTGTTTGGATCAATATGTTCGATTGATGATGAGTTGATGGAGGTGATGACAGTGGAGGTTTGTGTTGGAGAGAGTGGCGCTGAGGGAGGAGGAGACAGCGGCAAAAGTGGAGGTTGAGTGTGTTTGGATGATATGGTGGTCTTGATGCTTGCCCAATTGGTCTTGATCTTGTTGCCCGCGAAAAGACTGCCATTGGTGAGCCTGATGGCATTCTCAGCGTCATCATGCTCTGTGTACTTGATGAATGCGCATCTGCCATCGACTCGTATCGACTCCACGGTGCCATGCTTTGAGAAGAACGTTCGCAGAGCATCCTCCTGTGTGTCCGAGGGCAGATTACCGACCCATAGCTTTGATACCTCTTGTGTGACAACAACAGAGGCTCCGGGTTGTTGTTGAGGGAGGGCCGTGGGGGGTGGGAGAGGTGCGGCGTAATATCCATGAGCATGAGGCAACATTGTGTAGTAGGAGGAGTCGACAGAGTTGAAGGATGTGGGCAGTGCAGACGGTGGAGGCGGCTGATAGGGGTAGTATGCTTGGGACATGTGGATGTGGTGGGGATGAGGCAGAGGCAGCGGTCCTTGCATCTGAAGCTGAAGCCCAGGCATCATCATCATTCTGTTGTATGTAGGAGCTGCTGCAGATGTTGTTGCTGCCGCTGCACTAACAAGTTGATGTTGGTTTTGATGGAGATGATGATGCTGATGATGATTCACACTGATGTTCACTGGTGATGCGGCATCATCGTAGTCCATTGCAATTGCTCGAGCTGCTCTTTGCACGCGTGACGTGACGTGAGATGAGGTATTTGTTAATCACCTTCAAATGCTCAGCACTGTATTGTCTGTCTGTATGTCTGTCGAGAGATTGAGTTAACTAACACAAAGAGAGTGATTATAATCTTATGACTATGTTTCAAGTCACAGGCGACCACGACTCAACAGATCAATTTGCCGAGAATTGTTGGTTCAAACTTGAGGGTGTCTTGGAGACCAAACCAAGGATTTTCCCATTCCTTGGAATTGTTGTTGTTGTTTGGTCAATCTGTCACACATTTCATATATTTATAAACTACTGATACTCAATGTCAAAGACAGTAACAGTAGTAGTGTATTTATCTATCTTTGAAATCTAGAAATAGTTATTATTATCACTGCCTGCTTAGCTTGGAACTATTAAGGGACCATGTTCATTAAAACTAAACTGTGGTCAATAACATTGAGTGATTGTTTGGTTGGTCCACAGCCCGGACCACCTCCCCCATCTAACTTATATCTTTTGGAATGTTAATGGGTAGTAGTCTAAAAGAGAGAGGTGAGTGTTGATTGATTGATTGTTTCTTTGTTTGAATTGAATGATCCAATTATTGTTCTCTTAATTGTTAATTAAAGTAGTGAGTGTGTGTGTGAATGATCTAAGTGTGAGTATTGATTCATCAATCACCTTGACCACCTCATCCATCTTTATTGCCATGATGACTAGCCTTGGCATCAAACACCTTGGTGCTACATCATTCCCCAAAGAAGCAATCAAGTTGCAAAAGCAACAACAACACCCACCTTTACCCTTTGATTTGAAGTGGTGATAATAAAGTTGTTATTGTGTTCCATTTACTTGTTGGTTGGATGATGGATAAGTGAACATGTTATAAAAGGATCAACCATTCAATCAATCATATATACAATCAATCAATCAATCAATCAAACAAACAATCTAATATAATATAATATAATATTTAAATAAGATGTCATCTATTAACTATATTGACTCACATTGTCATGTTTGGAAGGTGGAGAGAGGCGACTATGATTGGCTAAATGAGTCAATGACCTCACTCTATAAGGACTTCTCAATAGATGATTATAAGGAAGCCGCAACAAAGTTTGGTGTCACTGGTTGTGTGTTGGTACAGGCTGCACCGACAGTGGACGAGACATCCTATCTGTTGAACATCGCCATGCAGAGTGGAGGCTTTGTAAAGGGTGTGGTGGGCTGGTGCGACATGCTTGGCGGCGACACCACCATCACCAACTTGAAGCAAATGTACGACTCCACCTTCCTCAATGGCAAGCCACTTCTGGTGGGCATTCGTCCCATGCTGGAGAACATCTCGCAGGAGGACTGGATGCTGCAGAAGGAGTTGGCCCCAGTGATCAACTGGATGATCTCCAAGAACATCGTGTTTGAAGCACTGGTCCGTCCCGGCCATCTCAAGCATCTCAGGAAGTTCCTCATCCGCTACCCTCGTCTAAAGGTCGTCATTGACCATGCCGCCAAGCCATCGATCAATGGAGACAAGGCCGCATTCGACCAGTGGAAGGCCGACATTGAGTGGATCGCCAAGAACTCGCAGACCTCACTCGTCAAGATATCTGGATTCTACAATCAGGTGACGGTGGAGGCTGGCAAGGAGAAGGACATCACCGAGTACAACTCACGTGTTGCACCCTACGTTATGCATCTCGTGCGCTGGTTCACTCCCAAGCGTTTAATGTGGGGATCAGACTGGCCCGTCCATGACAACTACGAGGCCTGGTTCAAGTTCTGTCGTGACTGTTTCTCCACCCTCTCCAAGGAGCAACAGACCGACTTCTTCCAGGGAAATGCCACCCGTCTCTATGGCTTCTGAAGACCCTGTCGCCAACAACAACAACAACAAATCTGACATCAAGTAGTCGATCGCAATGCTCGCTCGCCTATCTATCTCCATCAATGATCAACTACCCTTTTTGTAAATAAACGTTATAGTAGTATCTACCAATGAGCCATGCCATGTCCACAACTTCATCTTCCTCTCATTGATCAAGAGTGACTGAATGAGTTCGAAATGATCGATCGATCGAATGTTTAATGAGGGTTGTTGTTGAGTGATCGTACATCATGCTATATATATTACAATGAGTCCATCAGAGTTGACATGTCCTTGAACTGCTGTGCAAAGTCCTGTTCATCATTGAATGAATGAATGAGTGAGTGAGCTTCATTCAGGTCGCGACATGAGATACATACTTGGAACTCTGGTACAGACAACTCGAATGAATGTGATGCCAATTGATTGTTGGTGTCCAATACCTTGACAAAGACTGAAATGAATGGAGTGTTCAGTTGCTCGCACTTGTTTGATGATACTGACACACCTAGCTTCCACTGGAAATCAACCAATCGTCCAACATTAAACAGCTACATTTGATACAAGTATGTTAATAACATACACATCTATCTATACCTGTCACAACTATATATAGTATACCTTGTCCATGATTGATTGTATCTGTATTTGTATAAAAATAAGCTGTTTGAAGTAATGTCAAGAATGAACCCATGTCCAACAACACTTTGGATTTTTCTTCCATCATTTCGAATCAATCAAATATCTCAAGTCAAAGAAAGAGAGAGATAGAGATACATACATCATGTCTTCAAGGAGAAGAAGTAGAAGTAGAAGTTCAAGTCGTGATAGGAATATAGACAGACGCGATAGATATAGAGATAGGAGTAGAAGTAGAAGTAGAAGTAGAAGTAATGGTCGCGATACTACTGTTCGTCGAAATGATAATAATGTAAACGATAGTAGGCGTGATCTATACAGGGATCGCAGTCCAAATCGTGATGCACACAAGAGCAGCAGGAGTAGAAGTAGGAGTAGAGACCGCCAGAGCTCAGTCACAAATACGAACACGAATGCGAACATTGACAAGGTCGATAGAAAGAGGAGTAGGAGCAGAAGTAAAGATAGAGATGGTGATAGGAAGAATGACAGAAAGAAGAGAGATCGTAGTAAGAGTAGAAGTAGGAGTAGGAGTACAAGTAGAGATCGTAGTAGTAAGAAGAAAAGGAGTAGTGATAAGAAGGACAAGAAAGACAAGAAGAAGGACAAGAAGAGGGACAAGAAGAGGGACAAGAAGGACAAAAAGAAGAAGAAGAAGGATAAGAAGGCTAAAGGTCCTGTGCAACTATCAAAAGTAACTATAGACATCCTGGATGATGATCACGTTACCTTGCCGATGACTAACCCCAAGCAACAACCCCGCATGGTACATGGATGGGCAATGATAATCGACGAACAATGCACATCCAATGACCTCATCACATCATTCAAAATACAATATACCAACACATCGTCCCTGTCCTCGATTGATKWTGATTGATTACTATATTCATAATGGTTAGTATATGAACTCAGATGGAAGTGATGGCAGCGACAGTGAGAGTAGCAGTAGTAGTAGCGAGGAGTCTAGTGATGACAGTAGTGAAGATGAAAAGTCAAGAAGGAGTGTCATCTCTGGACGCAAGATCAAACTAAAGATCAAGAAGACCAAAGATGACAAACAGAATGACAACAAGAGGAAGGATTTGTTAAAGTGGCTAAACTCATCATATGAATGAGTAGACAGCCAACCATCCAATCAGCCAGCCAGCACTCTCATTCAATTCATGTGGCAACAACAACAAGCAAGTAATAACAATAATGAAGGAAAGAAGTAAGGAAGGAAAGGTCTTCAGCCTTCAGAACAGGTATTATTATCATATTTGATTGGGCCAGTAACCTGACAGTTACCAAATAAAGTACTAGTATACTGCAAGCAGTCTGCAATGCATACTTTGATCTCTCATTATCCCATCCTGATTGTGTGTCTGTGTGTGTGTGTGGAGTAAGCGAAGGGGCACATCAACTTCCCAATTGCCAAGATCAACAACCCCCAACCGAATGATTGCTGGTTCCCAAGAGGTTTGGAAGTGTGTGTTGGATGTGTGGTAGCGGGGGATTTTATCACACTAACCCACACACACTTCTCCTGATGATCAATCAGAACAGTCGCCAACGACATTATCCTTCTCATCTGGAGGAGTAAGTTATGTTAATGTAAATGAATAATCATTCATTACAATCATTATAATCACAAGGATATATAGATATATACAAATATCAAACAAACAAACAAATAATAATAATGCAACAACACGAAGACTTGTTATTGAAACTTGTTAGGTTTGAGTCAAAGATAACTGGAAGACATGGTATTGGTGCATTGGTGGACAATGGTCGAGTACTTGTTGACTTGACCACAGACAACAGTCCAATCAAAAATGACATGCGATCAATATTGGCCAATGGCAAACAATCAATGAAGCAAGCTTGTGATGTAAGTTTGATTGATTGATTGATTGATCGTGGCAAGCTCACTCAATGACTAACTCATTCCAAATACAACAAGATCATTGCAACTGGAAAGGGTAGGATCAGTGTGGATGAGGTCAAGATACTGGCACCAATCATTGATCCGCCAAAGGTCATTGGCGTTGGATTGAATTATAAGGACCATGCATTGGAAGCCAAGATGGCAGCACCATCAGAACCAGTGATCTTTACAAAGTTCTCAAGCTCAATAGTTGGCCCCAATGCCAACATAATCAAACCAAAGACATCGGATGAGGTCGACTATGAGGTCGAGTTGGTCATCGTGATTGGTCGTGAGGGTCGTTCAATTCCAGAGTCGGAGGCGCTCGACTATGTGGCTGGCTATACTATTGGCAATGATGTGAGTGCTCGCGATTGGCAACTGCGCAAGCCAGGCTCACAATGGTCGCTGGGCAAATCATTCGACACGTTCAGTCCGATCGGTCCATCGATCGTCATCAACCCATCGTGGGCACACTTGGGCGATGTCCATACTGCACCAGTGCTCGATCCCAACAACCTTGGCATCAACCTAACACTCAATGGCAAGGTGATGCAGAACTCCAACACAAAGGAGTTCATATTCCCCGTGCAACAGGTCGTCTCATACCTCAGCCAAGTGTTCACACTGACACCTGGCGACATCATATTCACCGGCACACCAGCGGGCGTTGGCTTCACTCGCAGTCCACCCATATTCCTCCAGCCAGGCGACCACGTCACCTGTTCCATCGAACACCTCGGCTCGCTATCCAATAAAGTTGTCTAACTCGGGCTGATTGCCGCTGTATCATACATGTACATTTATATTATATATTATATATATTATTCGCTAATCAATCAATCAATCAATGATCCTTAGACCTGCTTCTGATCCAGCTTCTTGAGGATGGCGTGGAGGTATGGGTTGCCACCTAGCTCCTCAATCTGCTTGACGATCTTCTCTTGCAGCTGATCCATGTGTGCCTTGGTCGACTCCAAGGCACCACAGCTCTTGATATATTGAACGGCGTGTCTCTTGATGTCCACACTCTCTGTCTTTTGCTTCAATATCATCAACAGGCGTCTATCATCCGGATGCGAATGAATGGCCTTTATAATCGGGTATGAGAACTTGCCCTCAGTGATATCCTCACAGAAGCTCTTGTTCAGGTGATACTATGAGTGTCCATGGCGTGGCGTGGCATGGCAGGGGATGTTAGTACATGGTAGTGGACAGTGTCATGTGATTGATCAATGTGTGTACATACATCATCGGATACAATGTTGATGTAATCATCACGGATCTGATAGAATAGTCCCATGTCCTCGACCAAGCCAGAGTAATCAGTCTTGTTCTGGCTGAACAATTGAAGAAGACGCAGTCCAAGTCTGAATAGACCTCCAGTCTCTGATTGATTGAGTGAATGATCAGAGTTAGTTATATGATATGAGACATTTCCGCACACCTTGGACATAACATTGTACCCATACTCTCTTGAACCATTGCACTGTACTCTTCGATGGTTGGACATCTATTGGTATCACGCCACAGGATGTCGTAGCCCTGACCTCTATGCAGTCTGACCATCTCCTCAATAAAGATTGTGGTGGCTTGAGCATTGCCCAGATTGTTACATTCATTCATCACCAAGAAGTACACAGTATTGGCGCAGTTGATCGTCTGTGGCACACCATATATCTCATGAGCCACAGGCATACCTCTTCTAATCTTTGAGTTATCCTCTATATCATCAATCCTATTGTATATGTGTAAGTTAGTTTGATTCATTGATTGATTGATTGATTGGTTGACATACAATAAACTTGACATGTGTAGACCTTGGATGATGTCGGCCACCTTTTGAACGATCTTCTCGTCGACCTTTAGCCAATGATTGAAGGCTTCGATCAAGACCTTTCTGATACCCTTGCCCGGTGATTCGGAAATATACTTATATGGCTCCAACAACTCTTCATCCTTTGTACTCAATGGGAATGTAAACTGTCTCATCTTCACTTCACTTTACTTTAATTCTACTTTAACTTTAATATATCTTATCTCTTTTTGATCAATCAATTATATCAATCTTGTGTGAATGACTCTCTCTCCTTTATATCTATCTATTGTACAATACTACTAATTCTCTCTTTGAATGTTTGAGCAACTGATTCTCTAAAATGACTTCTCTTTCTCTCTCTTGAGTGCACTCATCAATGAATGAATGATTCAGATCTGAAGCGGAGAATGGTCGCGTGGTCTCAAGTTTGGTCATCATCTCATTGCAAAGAATTTAGTTCATCAACACTTTTTCAACGAAGACAATTGCATGATTGGGTCACGTGATTCACAAGCATAAGTATAACTACTATTGTACATGAATGAGAGAATGAATAATGATGATGGAGATAATACAGGTATTCGATCACAATCAATCGATCGATTGAATGAATGAACGAACGAACAATATACTAGTCTTATTGTAACCTTGTAAGAAGTAATACCAGAACAACAATACCGTGGAGTAGTTGCAAAGACTTGGTTTGGGCGATGATGGGAATCCGTATGTATCCCAGAAGGAATCAAAGAGATAGGAGAGATCATTCTTAATACCATCGGGATGAGAATAGCGGGATAGATATGTTTTGTATGAATTACACCACCAGGTCGAAGTAGGTAAGTAAGTAAGTGAGTGCCACTCCAATCACAAATGGGTCACTCAGTCAGTCAGATTCTTGTTGTTGACATTCGGAAAGACCGGCTGTCTCTTATGCACATTATTTTAACAACGAATGATGGATAGTCCGTTGATGTTTTGATGGGTGGGCCATGGAGGACTCAGATTTTAATTGAATTGGATACGGGGGGCTGAATGACCAACCCCCACCTTGTCTACAAGATAACCCATTTGGACCTGATGCCTTACTAATGTTATCGAATGATTGAATGAATCAATCTGTGTGTGTATGTATGTATGTATGTCATTCATTCATTCAATGTCTATCGGGCTTTGCTGATCCTCCTCCTCCTACTGGTCCGCTGTTTTTATTTTAATTTTATTGTCAGAGGGTAGCATGAGTGAGTGAGGTCCTTAGGGTTCAACGGAAAGGACCCTTGGTTGGTCCTCAACAACAATGCAAACAAACACACACATACACACACGTACTTAGTCAGTTGGGATAACCACACAAATAATAATCAAACTTGTTTGTCAAAACAGATACTAAGTCAGGCAAGGACCTAATAGCGAGTGCTAAAGATAGATAGATAGACAGACAACAGATAGATTGACATACATACAGGGATAGACAGTAGATAGATAGATAGATAGAGATATATATATATAGGACTCCGACAAAACATTGATCTAATCTCCGAAGATTTGAAAAGACCATGGCAGACACTCCAAAGAAGATCCTAAAGGTCTATGACCAGGGTGGTGCCTACAAGACAATGGTGGTCGAACCAAAGACTACCTCAGCAGAGGTCTGCGAGAAGCTTGGCAAGAAGCTATTCATGAAGAATGGTGTTGGCCTCTTCAATCTATTCGTATTTGAAGGTGGAGGTATGTCCTGTCAACCAATCACGGCGACACAAGTGATCAATCACTCATACTCACTCAATCAATCAATCAATCAATCAATCAATCAATCAATCAATCAATCAATCAATTGAACAATAGTACGCCAATCACTTAGGATGACAGACTTCCCTTATGAGACTATATTGAGACTGGAGAAGAGAGACTTTAAGTTCTACTTCTTGAATATTAATGGAGAGTTTATGAACTTTGATAATCAGACAGCTGGCTCATCGATGAATGTTGTCAACTCGGCACAGGGCGGCTCAATGAGCCAACAACAACGTGCAGCCGTCTCCAACACATCGGGCTCACCATCACTCACCAGTGCCTACCCGACCGCCTATGGCTCTGGTGCGCCAGGCTCACCGGCCATGGCGTCTCAGCAGGCACCAGTGTCGTCCGCCCCATCCGGCCCACGAGGCATGAAGGGCTACCTGCTCAGGAAGAAGGCTGGCAAGTTCTTCAAGGTGTGGGCCGTCACATCGGGCAATCACCTGATGTTCTACTCGTCCGAGGAGGACACCGAGCCACAGATCGAGCTGTTGATGGAGAATGCCGTCATCGACCTCAAGGCCAGCGAGCAAGGCCCCTACATCCTCATCACGCTCTCCAATTCAGAGCGCCACACACTCATGTCAGAGAATCAGAGCGAGTTGCAGTCGTGGGCCACAGAGCTGGCCGCCACCACCGCCTATACGGGCGGCAACTCAACATCGCGCGGCCACGCCCCATCACAAATGTCCTTTGTGCCTTCGTCCAAGGACCTGACCACCAAGCTGGCGGCCAAGGTAGAGAACCCAGAGACATTGTCCGCGACATTGGTGCGCTGGACAGAGTATGTTGTGGGTCGTCGCTCCGGTCTGCAACACAGCAGAAACATCGCTGCCTGCTACAATGATGGCAGCGTCCTGGTCAATGTGATCGACGCATTGTTTGACCGCCAGGTCAGATATCGCAAGGGCAAGACAGTGTACGACAGTCAAAGCAATGTGGAGGCGGTGCTCGAGGGCCTCAAGTCACTGGGATGTGACTATGGCAAGATCCTGCCCAACGACATTATAGAGTGTAAGGTGCCAAGGACCGTCACAAGACTGCTCTGGTCCATCTTTGTGGCCTTTGTCACCAATGGTGAGAAGGAGTACGTCCTCAAGGACAAGCTTGTTGGATGGTGCGGTCGCAAGGTTCAAGAGGTCAACAGATCAGTCATCGTCGATGGACCATCCGCACTATTCAATCCCCTGGCATTTGCCTACCTCATCTCACGTTACCAATCACACCTTATCAATGTAGATTCACTCGCCAGTGTATGTATCATCACTCCAATCACTCAATCACTCCAATCAATCACTCACTCATTCAATCATAACAACAACAGAGATCAAGAATTGAACAAGCACAGACTATATTGGACATTGCACATACACACCTTGGTATTCCAAAGATATTGGACGCCAACTGCTGGCAGGAGGACGTGGCCGACGACAAGTCGTTCATGGTCTACCTCTCATTCTTTTATTTCAAGTTGTCTGGCGAGGCAGAGGACAGGAATAGACTGCTGTCAGCATGCGCGATGGATAAGCCCGCCATGGAGCCAACAGAGATCACCACCAACACCAGACCATTGCCAAGCGCACCAGGTGCCCCAAGCGCCAAGTCATTCGCACCCAAGCCCTCTGCTGGTGGCGTGAAACCTGCGCCTGGACCTGGCAGGCCAATGGCTGCTGCACCAAACGGTGCCGTGTCAAGACCACCTGCGCCAGACCCCAGCGCAGCCAACTCCAGACCACCTGCACTTGGCGCACCAATTAGCAAGCCAGCTGGCAAGCCAATGGCCAAGCCTCTTGCCAAACCAATGGCCAAGCCAATGGCTAAGCCTGGTGCCAAGCCAGTGCCCGCTGCACGCGCACCAATGGACGACCCAGAGAAGGCTGCAAAGGAGAGAGCAAGAAAGGAGGCTGAGGAGAAGGCCGAGCGATTGGCCCATCAGCTGGAGCTTGAGATGTTGGAGAATGAGCGCGAGGACTTTGACTTTTTGGAGGAGGAAGAGAGGAGAAAGAAGGAGGATCGCGACGAGATGGCACAGCTTATGGAGCTGGAGCGTATGCAACGCGAAGAGTTTGAGAGAGAAGAGGCCGCCAAGAGGCAGGCACAGGAGCAACGACAGAGACAGCAGCAGCAACAACAACAACAGCCAAAGCAACCACAGATGAAGCAACAACCTAGACAACTGCCACAGCAGCCACAACAATCAAGACCGAAACAAGCAGCGCCATCTCAACCAATCGTCAAGTCGACGTCCATCGACGATCTGGAGGACGAGCTGGACATGATCATGAGGAAGGAGCAAGAGGAGAACCAGAGGTTCATGGAGATGATGGGCATGGTTACGCCATCCACATCAACATCATCCTCATCGATGTATGATTCGCCACCACCCTTGGGTTCGGCGCCATCATCCAACTCTTACTCCAACTCCAACTCCAATGCCAACTCATACAAGCCCACGCCAGCGCCAGCGGCTGCACCACCAAAGAGGGTTCTCAATGAGCGTGACTCGATTATGTCTGTGTTTGACAAGCTGGATGAGGAGCTCTCATTCATTCATCACACTCCATCAGCCAAGGCACAGCAGCAGCAGCCACAGTACGACCCATATGGCTTCGCCCAGCAATCCGGCGGCTCGCAGCCATCCAGCAAACCAACCAGTCCCCGCCCATCCGAGCACAGCATCATGCAAAAGGCCTCCTCAATATCTATACCTGCGCCACCACCTGCCCCCGAGCCCGAGCGCGTGCCATCACCACCTCCACAGCAACAAACACCACAACCTCAGGCGCCACCACCTCAACAAACACCACAACCTACACCAGAGAGCAGAGGCAAGGTTGTCGTGCGTATATGTCTGGAAGGCTTTGGAGATGTGCTGTTCTGTTCGTTCGCCATTGGCTATGACACGCTCTGTGGCAACGTGCGCCAGATGGTGCTCAAGAAGATGAAGGTGGCCAAGGAGTTTGAACAAGAGTACAGTCTGTACATTGTGCGCGATGGTCTGGAGCGAGTTCTGGACGACGACGAGGTGCTGCTAGAGGCCGAGGACAAGATCGACCGATTCGTCTTCAAGGTGTCCGACAACTTTGATCGCAAGTCAATGCTGTCCTCTCACAGAGGATAAACATAATCACCTCACTTCACATCACTTCACTCAATCAACCTCAATCAATCAATAATTAGACCTGCAGAAGTGGTGATGGCAATAGCCGCAGCCAAAGGGTACTTCGGCACACATAAGGAGATGGGTAAACCAGATCAAGCATCCGCCATCACCGGTCATTAATAATATTCATCGCACCAACATCCTCCTCCTCCTCTCATTATATCCACCACCAACCAACCAAGTAGTACTACTAGCCAAGCCAACATATCACCTCACCTAATAAAGTGTATAATATATGTGTCACAAGTGACCAAGTATATCTCATCGTCTTTGATACAAGTTCCAATCATTCATTGTCCTCCATCATTCAGGAAGTGTGAGTGGCGATCGAGGAAATTAGACAAAGACAAAGTATTGGGAGAAGTTATGTTTGAATTATTTGTTTGTTTATTGTTTAATTGTATATACATTATGATGATTGGTTGTTATAATCTTACCTACAAGTTGAGTAATAAGGATGGGTTAGAACATGCTTTGTCAAAGATATCGAAGTTGATGTTGTTGATGGTTCGTTTGTTTGTTTGTTTTGTTGATTGACTGTTATAATAAGATCAGAGACAATAAATGGTATCAGAACAACATAGCATTCCAATAAGTACATTAGGCCATGAAGTATGTCATACGCAAATTACTTCATCATCCAAATTATAACAATCAATCATATATGTATAATATAACAAACATCCAAGATGTAATGTGATGGAATGGCTTGCTTACCTTTTATAAACTCAATCAACAAAGACAGGACTTCAAACTTTGGACCAACATCATCAAACGTTCATTATATAACTGTATAATATTGAGGGAAAGAATAGAAAGGTTAGTATTGATTGATAACAATGTATTGTTAACAAGGATGAATAGAGTGATAAGTTGTTGATTGTGTAGTTATAATATCAGGAATTGTTTTAGGTAGCGGTGTTTTATCGTCACAATTAGATACACATGGGAACCATATGTAAGACATATCGGACAAATGCCTGTTTTTCATCATAGAAAGAAAGTGTTTGTTGTTGAAGTTGTGATGGTTGATGTCGTGATGGATGATATAAAAAAGTGTATACAGATACATACATGAAAGAGAGATGATTGAATGAAACAAATGAAGAGAGCAACGTCAACATGATCTGGTTGTTGGTGGTCATTCATTCGTTCCTAGTGAACTCACTTGCTAAAAAAACATTTGATTTTTATTTATTTATAAACAAGTTTGAATTGTGAGAATTACATAAGTTTTACACACCTTTGCGAACTTGAAACATACAACATGCGTGTTTGTTTGTCTTAACATCATTCACTCTCTCAATCTATTGCATCTTCACACATACACACACAATAACATTATATTATATTACAGATACTCAGACAATCAGTCATTCATTCATAATATAACAAAACAAACATTGTACAAAAAAATATATTATAAACAAAATATACAAATACATAAATACAGATATACAGTTACAAATACAGATACACAGATACATACTTAAAGAAGATGTCTTATAAACAACAACGCGGTGGAAGAAGAGGTGGCGGATATGGAGGAGGCGGTGGCGGTGCAGGTACAGGCCATTCAAGACAGGTTTTGGTTGGCGGAGGAAGAGGTGGCGGCGGTGGTACCAGACAACCTCGTACACAGGGCAGAGCGTTCCAGGTCGCTCGTCTAGAAGACGTTGGCCCAAAGGTTGTAATAGAAGGACTACCAGCAACAGTCGACCCTAAAGATGTCATGGACTACCTCCGCAGCAGGACAGTTAAACCAGGCATGGTATTCAAAGGTGTAAGTAGTACATTGAATGAATGTGATTGAATGAGTGAATGAATGAGTGACTAACATTAACATTAACAACAACAAACACACAGCATGAGTTTAGAAATAGAAAGCTTTACCTGACTTTGGAAAAGAATGATGATGCACAGACATTGGCCAACCTGTCAAACTTTAGATATGGCGGCGATCAAGTAAGTTTATACACTCAATCAATCAATCAATCAATCATATGGTCATTATCGAACTAACATAACATACTTCAAGGTAACAATCGCAAGAGAGACACAAGCACCAATTGGAGGAAGAGTTGAACGACGTCAAACCCAAGATATAAAGGGTGGTGGCAAAGGTATAAAGCCCGGTACCAACCAGTATCAGTATGTGCAAAAATTCGAGCAGCACCTCCAGAAGGAGTACAAGGACGATAGTCCTCTCCTCAATCTCTCTTATCTCTCCGCCACGCTCTCCATCAACTTCAACGAGTCTGCCACATTGCGACCACTCTACAAGTTGATCTCTGAGAAGTGCCCAAAGGTATATAGACTCACAACAACATAATCAATCGACTACCTCGGTCTGTCATTCAATCATGGCATCAAAAGATCGATCGTTCGATTGTAAACACACACCCATCTCTCTGGTTGGTTTACGCACGCTCTCATCATCGTGAGGCGTGAGCGAGCCCGACGACCGTCATGCATGACACAATTGTTTAGTCAGTCGTGCGTAGACGAGATTGACGAGGAGACACTGCGCGCCGGGCCCCGGCGGCCAGCCCAGTTCTCACTCGTGTCAGGGAACGGAACCGAAAGAGGGTGTGATTGGACCCCGCAAGGCTATTGCATAACCTGAATGTAGAAGTGAATACCCAAGACCCAGACCAACAACAACAACTACCTACCTACTTGACAACATGACTACCTTCAACGTCTAGTTGACGACTATGACAAACACATGACACAACATAACATTGACTTACAACAACACCCAACCAATCAATCAACTACCTCCAACGCGTCAACTAAGACACCAGCCAACAACAACAACAACATCAACTACAAATACCAACACAACTTTACAAATGGGTAACAAACAACTGCGCGGTTATCTCTCTTCTTGTTGGAAGAAACATCACTTCATCAAGTCTTTCAAATGGCGATTCGAATCCAATCCACTTGGCGGTCCTCACAACCAACGACGACGACAACAACACAACACTCATCATCCATCAATTCCATTCATCGACACTCAGCTCAATTGACTCACACAAATGCTCCCTTCCCTCTCTCTCTCACCATCTTCTCCTTGTTCATTGTTATGTTTGTTTGTCACTTACTACTAACCCTCGTCCTTGCTCCTTCCTTACTTCCATCACTTAGGCCACAACAGTATCATTCTCACACAACAATATAACATCACTGGCACCATTCAACTTGATGACCAGATTCAAGTTGGAAAACCTGATCAACTACAATTTCGACTCGAACAGGATCGATGACTTTGGTCAACTGGACCATCTCTCTGACCTCCCACTACGTGAGCTCGTTCTCACCAACAACCCAATATCAAGCAAGCCAAACTACAGAATGTAAGTCATCAATCAATCATACATAGTTCAGTTCAAACAACATACTGACTTATATCAATCAAACAGGGAGGTTGCCAAGCGATTCCCCGATCTACAATTCCTGGATGGTGTCGCCTTCACACCGGCTGACTTCCCTCCCAGCCCCATCCCGCCCTTGAGGCCAAGCTACAGCGACACTATTGAGAGACAACAGTTTGCCTATAGGTTCCTCGAAAAGTATGTACGACCGACTCCATTGACTGGCCGACTGATAACTAACATATTCCTCATTACTCTTCAGATACTTTACAACATTCGACAAGGATCGCATCAACATTGTGAAGGCATACACTGAGGACTCTGTCTTCTCGATGACCTTCACAGCATCCGACGTCCGAGGAGCATCCAAGAACTATCAGAGGCACAACAGAAACCTCCTCAAAAGCTTAAACCTGGGTATGTCAAGCTCAAACTCTAACTCAAACCCAACCTTATGGACAACTGACTAACCAATAACATATTATAGAGAAAAGGACCGACCTACTCTTTGTTGGAATCGAGAGGATATACAATTTCTTCAAGATCTTCCCACAGACATCGCACAACTTGACTACGCCAGTTGTCGATATATTCTTGGTGCCAAAGCTTACACCAGAGTCAACTGATGTATGTTATCTATCTCACTTACTCATTCACTCATTGCCATGGTACTAACAAACAAACAAATCTATCCAATACTAGGCACTCTACGTTATCACACATGGATTCTTCACAGAGACATCCTTCTGCACCAAGCGATCATTCGATCACACTTTTGTGTTGGTACCATCGGCACCAAACTCGGAAGCTGCCAAACAAGGCTGGGAGGCGGTCATCTTGAATGAACAACTCCACATCAGACCTTATGTCAGATTCCCCAGACTTGAGCCGCTAGAAGCCGCTCCTGTCAGCGTCCCAACGCCAGTCGCAGCAGCGACTCCCGACCAAGACCAACTCATCAAGCAATTCGTCTCTATGACTTCGCTCAAGGATGAATTTGCTCTTGAGTGTCTGGTCCACAGTGGATGGGATATCAACAATGCAATGAGCACTCTTCAAGCTCTTAAGGTATGTTTTAATGGCCATTGATTGGCATGTCTATAGTCCACCAAACACAATACTAACCAAGTACATTAACATCAACTTACAGAGCCAAAACAAGATTCCAGCTCACTACTTCAAGTAATACAATAATAAATCAAGTCAGTTAGGTCTTTCTTCATATATATAATTTCATTTCCATGTCCATTCCATTGCATTCATCAATTATTTGATTGATTGAAGTATTTAATTATTTATTTATTTACATGTTTAATATATTGTAATAATTATTGGCATTACATTGATTCGAGTTTGTTTGATTTAGTTTGGGTGTTCAGTTACTAGTTGGGACTGTACATCTTCTTCATCTTGATCACCATGCCCAAGTTCCTGCAGAACTTCTTGTGATTGGACCAGTGGGCGTATTTACAATCAGAAGAGCAGTACTCCTCTTTACCACAACGGTCACAATGTCTGACAGTGTCAACTGATATATGTTTCTTGCAGCTGGCACATTGTTTCTCATTACACTTGCTTTGGATTTGTAGCAGATTCAGAGGAGTTTGTAACTGGAAATGTATTAAATAAATATTAGTATTACTATTAATTGATTTTATGGAGTTATATTGAGTACTTACATCATGGTCAAGGTTTAGGGTATATTCAAAGTTGGCTGATTGTGATCTATGTGGTTCCAGGTTCTGGGAACTGGAAAGACTTGGGGATTCAATTGACCCGATTAGACTTCTTGGAGAAATTGGCAAACGATCCATAATAGGTGGCATTGTTATTATTGTAGTTGTATTTGTTTAAAAGGAATAGAAAGTATATATATACTTTAAGTTGTTGCTGGAATAATTATAACACCGAGTGTATTTGTATATGTTTTAGAGGTAATGAGCTGAGATCACTTTTAAGTTGGTATGTGAGCTCTGGCGGATTGGAGTTATAAGAGTATCAAGACGCCGAACTTTGAGCCGAGATACTTTATAATATTGGATGATGAGTAGTAGGTAAGGTACTTTCACAAAGAGTATGGATAAACAGGGGATAGGTGTATAATACAACAAGAGATTAACAGCAATCAATCCGAGACCTTTCCAATGCCAAGAAGTTGATTCAAGCAACGACGTGTGATGATGATGATTGTTGAATGGACGGATGATTGGATGATAGATAGGATGAATAGATGATAGGGTGATTGATTAGATTTGATGGTGAGGACAGAAGTCTGGATGGAGAGTTGTTTGAGACGAATGGACTGTCGACTCAACTCTGGTGATGAAATAGCTGCTGGATTGTTGGGTCATGGGCATTGACAAGACAGACAGTTGTATACTATACCTGCTTGTTTTAAGTTGGCATGGATAAAGTTCTATTTATGACCACTGATCATATGACCCAGCGTCCAATCATCTGTTACACTTGCTTACTGACTGTGTCTACGTATATCTATCTCTATAATCATGATTGTGTGAGTTGGTGTGATCGTGGGACATGAGGATACGAGAGGAGAATCCACTCGCATATGGACATCACCTCACACTCCTCGTCCTTCTTCCTCATCCACCACTCGCCTGTCAAGTCAAGTAAGTCTGTGGATGGTGGTGAGTTGTTCTATGTCTTTATGATCAAAGGTGTCAATCAGCTGATCGTGTTAGTTTGTGTGGGAGGGTTGATGGTGTGAGAGTGAGTGTCAGTGATGAGTGTGTGTTGTAGTCTGACTTAGATATATCTATCCACTTCCTCCACTTCCTATGTATGCTACTGCTGATTGAATTACCATCGATCAGAACTATCAATGTCAATATAGTCCGGACATTAAAACATTGGGCAATCATTTCATACCTGACCGACAGTCGAACTTGTCATTCATTGCATTTGAGTAGACGCATCTGATCAGCAATGATAGGACGATCGACTAGCCATGAAAGACAACAATCACATCACATATTTCTATTGATAGTAGTAGTGGAACAACAATAATAATTATTAAAGTGAGTTACAGGGTGACATCTCCTAAATCCATTCATTCAACAAAGTCATGATGATCAAGTTTACAATGATACTGATTGTTAGTGACAACAACAGTCGACACACTGCCGATTGCTCTTGACTGGTGATTGATTGATAGATTAGGGCTTTACAATGGATGGGTTTATTTGGCATTGGCATTGGCGTTGGATAGCTTCTCGTAACAAACAAAGCATACTCTTGCTGGCTTGAAGTCTGTCACTGGCAGCTTAAACTTCTTCTCTGAGCACTTTCCACACACTAGTTCTCCACAGCTACGACAATGATGCTGATCGATCGGTTAAGTGATTGGGAAGGGGGAGAGATAGGGAATGGATGATATTAGTTCATGGACAGTGATATATACTTATTGTTATGGACAACAGCCAATCAATACTTACCCTTCTATTCATAAAGGTAAACTGCTCACCACAATATGGACAATTGGTGGTTGTCTCGTCCGGTACCCAGACTGGCGCCTCTGCTCGTGAGATCGAATCGGATTTGAGTGTCTGCTTCTTGGTCTGCAGCGCGGCGATCGTCTCCATCAACAACACCATCCACTGCATCTTTCCTTCGGGTGTGTCGGCAAAGACGACGAACGACTTCTTGTTGCTGCATATCTGGAAGGCGTTGGTGATCACGTCGCCATTGAGCGAGATAGCACGACTGCCTCCACTGTCTCCGTCTGGAATATCTTCAATCCTACAGTGTTCCAACATGATCTTCTCGTGTAGCAACAGCTTGGGTGGGATTGATGAGCCATATATCAGCATGTCTGAGAACAAGAACACCAGTCTCTTCTTGCATGCCTTCCTGCACACCTTAGTCAGCACGCCTTCAAAGACGAATGATCTATGTGGCGCCACAATCTAGACATTTGATTGATTGGTTAGTTAGTTCCTTGTTGTTGGAAACGCCACGTGAAGTTAAACAAAAACATACATCTGCATCACCAACAAACATCCTCTGGATCTCCAGGACCTTGGCACGATTCTCACTACGCTTGATGGCTTCGTTGGCCTCGGATGTCACCTTCTTCATCTCTTGAAGCGCTTTGGAGAGGTCGGCATAATCTGGATGCGATGGATCGGTGTGCTTTAGCAGTTCGTCCAGGAGCATGTGATATCTTGTAATACGCTGGACTGGTTGAATCAGGTATGACCTGAGATCCAGCTTCTTAGTTCTTGGGTCGCTGGTACATCTCTGGATGAACAGTACAAAGTTGGAGTTCTTCTCGCACTCAGTCACTACATTCATAACATTATCATATCCAACTGTATAGTTTGTGTACATCTTTAGGAAGGGGATCTGTGATTGATTGATTGAGTGAGTGGATGGTTCGTGTGTTGTGGGCTCCAACATCACCAACTTACCAGGGTCTTAAATACATCACCAATGCGCTGTGTGGTGGACCAGGCAAGGAGCCTCTCCTCTAGTCGCATGAGTAGCTCGATGGACACTTGGAGGATGTCCGAGAGGTTGGAGCAAAGGACAGAGGCGTTCTCCTTGGAGATGCCACCCTCGCCCGCTTTGAGCGGCTCGATGAACACCTCGACGAGGATACGCATGTTGTCACAGTAGGTTCGCTCTGTCGTGAGGATCTCCTTGGCCTTGAGATCGCGCATGGAGGAGAACGCTGCCAAATGATCGAGTGATGGATGTGCAAACTCGCTGGCTACCGACTCGTTGGGGATCAGTGTGACTGTGACGCTCTCTCGTGGCTCTGTTGCCGTCTGTGATAGACCATTCGCCAGGTTGCCCTGCGATGATGATGGGGTCAACTGTTGAGGTTGTGGTGGCAATGGTTGCTGTTGCTGCTGTGGCTGTGGAGTGGACAGCTGCAGACTGGACTGACTCTGTTTGGGCAATTGTCGCGAGATTGTGCCACGCTCACCTGCGGGCAGCTTGGGCAGGGGCGGGAGGGGATGTGGCGCCGACTTGAGGTTGTTTCGCATCTTCTCCACGCTTGACTCTGTGCCCGTCGCCGCTCCAGCGGGTGAGCTGGTCAATGATGGTGATGCTATAGGTGAGGCCGTTGAAGGCGATGGTGTAGTGGTGGTGGTGGTTGGTGCGCCTGGTGGTGGCAGGTTGGGCAATGGCTTGCGCATGGTCGAGCTCTTGGCCACGGTGGGCATTGGTGTAGCCTCTGTGACAGCAGCAGGCTTGAGCGTGGATGACCTGGTGACATTTGGTCGTGGTGGGAGGTTGTTCAATAGATCATTGGCTGAGTGTGCCTTGATTGGTTGTCTTACTGCGTTGTTGTTGGCAATTGGTGATGTTGGTGCATTGCCATTGTTATTATTGTTGCTGTTGTTGTTATTGATATTGCGTGGAGGTATTACAGGATGTGGAAGTGGTGCTGCAGCGGCAGAGTGTAACTCTGGCGACAGTGTATCAGGTGATCTATTGGCGTTAAGAAATGATGATGATGATGATGTGTGTGTTCCATGATGACTGCCTTGCGATCCAATGTCGGGTGATCTAGGTGGCAGGGGTCGACCTGTTCCATTAGTTGTTGTAGTTGTTGGAGCATGATGATTGTTTGTCGCATGAGATGTAGGGGTTGTAGTAGTTGTAGTAGTTGTTGTTGTTGTAGTTGTTGGAGCTGATGGTGATGGAGGTCTTGGAGCTGGACTTGCTGGTGCAGTCGGAGCTGAAATTGATGGTGGTGGAGGAAGTGATCTACCTGTTTGACTCTATTGTATTGCAATTGATTGTTGTTGTTGTTGTGTTGTTAGACACATTGAAAGTGTTGTGACACTTGATTGATTGATTGATTGACTTACAAAGGCAGCAGCCTTCTTTGGTTTGGGAGGAGGCGGGTTTGGACTGGACATGGTAATCGTGTCTCTTCTCTCTCTGTATATATCTATCTCTCTGACTCTCTATCTCTATCTCTCTATCTCTTCCTTCTTCCTCTTTATAAGGTGTGTGTCTCACAGACTAACTGACTTTGGAGTAGTATTACTTGCTTTGCTTCCTTGTTTTGTGTTTTGCTTGTGTTGTGTGTTGGAAGAGATACACCAACTCACACATACACACACTAGACCTATCAATGGTAAAAATTGATCAAAAAATTGTGTTTTGGAGAATGACATCAACAGCGTTCTAAGCATCCTTTGTGTTTGTTGGGTCTGCCGTGTCGCACTCTGGATTGATGACGTGAATCAATCAATCAATGAAATCAATGAGATAGTAAGGGTGTCCCGCCGCTCGAATGGACAATGATATCTTTGACCGGACTGGACTGGACTGATTCAATCGAATTGGTTAAAATGTCAATGGTAGCTTTGGACTGCTCATCCAACTCCTTCTATTTATTGACTTGACTGGATGATGATGATGACTGTTGTGATAGTTTACTCTTGTTACTGTTGTTGTCCTCGTCATTATTGGTTGAAGTTGTATTTGTGTTGTTGTTGTCGGCGATGAATGCCTTTGGATTGATTGTGACACTCTTTGTACAGTTCTCTGTCTTGTAGATGCCCACCAGACGATCGGCCAACTCAAACATATAGTTCCTCAGCGAGATGATGATGAACTGCGCATTCTTTGTCCTCTCTTGGATGTAGCGAGCGACGATCGACACGTTTCTAAAGTCCAGCGCGGCATCAATCTCGTCCATGACGTATAGTGGTGTGGGCTTGTAGTGATGCAGGGCAAACACCAACGATAGGGAGCTCAGCGTCTTCTCACCGCCAGACAAGTTGGAGATGTTCTTCCAGCTCTTCTTGGGCGGACGCACACTAAAGATGATGCCTTCGGAGAATGGGTCGGAATTGTCGGCCAGCTCGAGCTCGGCGTCACCTCCCAGCGTGATCATCTGGTACATCTCCTTCAGCTTGGTAGTGATGATGGAGAAGCCGGCCATGAACTCTTCCAGACGGTTCTTCCTCAGGTTGTCGTAGTTCTTGCGATGGGTGTCGCGCTCCTGTGTCACGCCGTCCAGCTCGCCCACCCTGGTCTTGTAGTCCTCGTCCTTCTTGCGGTACTCCTTGATTGCCGTCATGTTGGGCTTGGAGTTCTTGAGCTGCACCTCGAGCGCGGCGATCTTGTTGTTGATCTCGTTGGCCTCGCTGGCCATCTCCTCGATGCGCTCGGTCGACAGGATCTCCAATGGCTCGTCGGGGTCGCTGTCCAGGATCTTGCTCTGCAGCTTCCTCTTGTTCAGCTCCTCAAACTTTCGCATGCAGCCATTGACCTTCTCCTGGTGCTCGTTGATCGTCTTGCTCACATCGTCCAGCTCGGTCTGGATGACCAGCTCCAGGTAGCTGCCCTTCTTGTCGAGGTCTCTGAGCTTGTCGCGCTCCTTCTTGAGGTCTGTCAGCTCTTTCTCCTTGAGCTCAAGGTCTTCCTGCGCCTGGCCATACTTCTCGGACAGCTGTGTGGCCTCGGTGTCCAAGTCCTTCTTCTTTTGCTTCTGTTGCTTGATCTTCTCCTTGTTCTCCTCGAGCTCAGCCTGGTTGAGCTCCACGGTCTTCTTTGACTTCTCGATCGACTTCTCCATACTCTTTATCTGTACATGCGCTTTGGTGATGGCGTGCTGGCCCTGGTCGATCTGTTGCTGCAGCTGCTCCACCTTCTCCCTCTTACTCTTGAGTGATGGGCCACCAATGTTGACGATCTTGTTCTGCACCTCCTGGATCTCGGCCTCGATCTTGTCAACCTTGGTCTTCATCTTGTCGTACTCCTTCATGTCGACGTCCAGCTTCTCTTGCAGCTGCTCGACCTTCTCGCGTCTGGCCGATGACTGTTTGACCTGAGCTTGCAGTGCTGGGATGGCCTTGGTCAGCTCCTCCTCCTTCTGGTGGGCAGCCTTGATATCCATCTCCATTTTGGGCAGCACGACCTCCAGCTCGGCCTTGCGCTTGGTCAGCTCTTCGATGCTGGCCTGTGCCTCGGTCCTCTTTGTTCTGGCCTCTTGTAGACTGGCGTCGAGGCCCTTTAGCTCCTCGTCCAGCTTAGCCAGGCGCTTCTTGTCCTCGGTAGGATCGGACACCCTGGAGCCCATTGCACCCCTCATCACTTTGTTGCCACCACCAGACATTGCACCGCTCGTGTCGATCAGGGCACCGTCCAGCGTGACAACTCTGTAACGCTTGCTGCCATAGGCAATCTTTGTGGCGGCGTCCAGGTCGTTGGCGACCAGTGTATCCCTGAGTGCGTAGTAGAATGCCGTGGCGTACATCTCCTCATCCTTCATCTTGACCAAATCAAACAGTCTTGGTGTGTTGTCTGGTGTATCTATCTTCTCTGTCTGTTTCTTCAAGTAATCAATCTTGTCCAATATGATGAATGTTGCTCTTCCCAAGTTGCCCCTCCTGTATGTGATCGAGAGAGTTGGTTAATCAGAGTTGATTGATTGATTGATCGCGTCTTCACTTACCTTAGTTCATCGACACACTTCTCTGCTGTGGAGGTCGTGTCAACAACAATGTTGTCTAGGGATGGACAGGCTGTGGAGATGGCAACGTCGTACTTCTTGTCGATTGCTCCGAGATCACCGAGACGGCCGTGGATGCCAGGTAGGACGCCTGTCTCCTTCATTCGCATCAGACGATCCAGCACGGCATTCCTTGAGGAGCTCTCAGAGAGCTGCGACCTCAGCTCCTCGGTGATGACACGAGCCTTCTTCATCTCAGCGTACAGACTATCCTCCTCTTGTCTCATCTGTGCTATGGCGGTCTCGGCCTTCTTCAGATTGCTCTTGACTTGTTCCAACTCCTTCTTGGCGGCTGTGATATCGATGTTGCGCTTGGTGGCTGTGGACTTGGACTCGCCCAACACTTTAGTCGCCTCGTCCAGTCGCAGCTGGGCGTCGTTAAAGTCCTTGGAGAGCACCTGGATCTCGGAGCGCTGGATGTCCACCTTGGACTTGATCTCGGAAAACTTCTTGGACCAGGGCATCAGCTCCTTCTGGCGCTCCTCCATCTCGGCCTGCAGCTCGGCAGTCTCGCCCTTGAGCGATTGCATCATCTTCTCCAGTGCCTTCTCCTCCTCGGCCAGCTTCTTGGGCAGCACGGTGGACTCCTTTTCGTTCTTTACAATGTCCGCCTTGAGCTGCTCGATGGCCTCGGTCTGGTCCTGTGTCCTCTTGGCTTCCTCTGCCAGCACGGCGTCGTTCTTCTTGATCATTGTGTTGAGATGCTTGAGGTCCTCGCCAATCTTGATGGCACGCTTCTCGTGCTGGTGATGCTCGTCCTTGCATCGGGCGACCGTCTTGGACAGGTCGTCGCGCAGACGCTCCTCTGCCTTCATAGTCGACTCGGACTGCTTCAGCTTGGTGCGCGTCTCAGACATCTTCTCCTTCTCAACCGCCAGCTTTTTCTCCAACTGCTGCCTCTGCTCGAGGTTGGTCTGATTCTCGCGCTCATACTCGTGTCGCTTGATCTGCACCATGATGGAGCGGTAGCCAATGCTCTCGATCTCCATCTTGAGATAGTTCTCGGCCTCGGTCTTGGCGTCCTCAAGGCCCTCACGCTCCTTCTCGACGATCTTTAGTCTGTTGAATACTGTGGTCCTCTTCTCATTGGCCGCCTCAACGGCTTTGTATGACTCCTCAATCTGTGACAGATAGCGATTGCTGCCAATGATCTCCTCCAGGTACTCGAGCAAACCCTCCTCATGCGGGTTCTGGGCTTTGGGCTTCATCATGGCGATTTGCTCGACCTCTCCCTGAAGGATCAGGAATCTATTGTTATCCAGATCGATTCCACGCTTCTTCAATGTATCTGTGACGATTGTATACGTGCTCTTCTCTCCATTCAATTGATAGGTGGACTCACCCTTCTTGTTTGCTGTCCTAGTGACTACCAACTCTGTACCCGGTACGACCTTATAGTCATCGCCTGGCTGTTGTACGACCAACCAATCATTGTTAGTATTGTGTTGTTAACGTGGATGTTGATGTTGTGGGCATGTCCACATGTGTGGATACACATACCAAGTCGATGATATCTTGGAAGAAGACGGACACTTTGGCGGTGGTCTCCTTCTTGTGTTTCTCAGAGTTGTGGACGAGCTCGGCTACTTTGTTCAGACGGATCTGTTTGGCACGGCGACCAAAGACAAAGAGTAGAGCGTCGATAACGTTGGACTTGCCACTGCCATTTGGTCCAACGACAGATGTAAAACATTTGTGGAAGGGACCAATCTCCTGAAGGCCGGCATATGATTTGAAGTTCTCCAACGTCATCTTTGTAATCATCAATCTCTTTACATCCTTATTATTATTATTACTATTGTTAACTGCTATTGTTGCTGTTGAGGCTGTAGTCGACTGTGACTGTGATTGTGATTGTGTCTGTTTGGTGTTCTTGTTGCTGCTACTTCTGATTTTCTGTGGAGTATCATCATTGGACGACTGAGATGACTCATCGTTTGAATCTATTGTATCATCATCCATTGCCCTGTGAATGTGTATTGTGTGTATATGTATAAATATAAGTATTTGTATAAGATAGAGATAGTTTGAAGTAATGATTACTTCAAAGAGAGGGAAGTGAATGAGATTGACACAAATTTGAAATAATGAACTTTTGGCGCCATTTGGCAGCCCAAATTAGAAGAACAACCCTAACCTCAACCCTTACCCTCACCCTAACCCTCACCCTATCCCAAATATTTGAATGACAATCTAACTGATCAATAATTATTATACATCAACTTTATTTGGTGGCCTTCACCTTCTTTGTTACAGTCTTCTTTGCCTTGGCAACCTTTGGCTTCTTTGTCTTTGAAGGAGTCTTCTTAACCTTCTTGGTAGTAGTTGCCTTGGTTTTCTTTGTTTTATTAAATGTAATTAGAAAGTAATTTGGTAGGAAGGAAGCAAATTGATGAAAAGAAATAAGGAATAATTGATTAATAACTTAATAAAATAATTAATTTAATAATTGATTATTAATATTTACCTTTGGTTTTGGATGCTTCTCGTATGCCTTAGGCACTACTGTTGATGCCAATCTGTCGGGAGGTACTATTGTCCTCTTTGATCTCGGGGCAAGAACAACTGGTGCTGCAACTTTCTTGGTTGGTGTCATGGTTTGTTTACAGGGTAGAGTAGGGTAAGGATTGAATACAATTTGTTGTTGTTATTGAATTTGGTTCAAATTAATTAATGGCAATTGATGGTTTGTATGTATCAATATAATGTATGAATGAATGACCTGACCTTCCTGACAATCAATTTAAATTTATTATTAATAATTTAAATTGACTTCACTTCACTTCCATCTCAAATGATTTATCCACTCTATCATTGGATGAGGTGATTGGTTCAAGTCCATTTGCAACCCCGTTATGGATGTGTTGGGGAATTTGTGTGTTAGTGAGAGAGAGGATGCGGGGGTGGGTATTGTCTGTTCCCGCCTGTCCAGGCAGACCCCCTATACCGCCATCACGGAGGGGAGCCCTGTGATCAACTCCAATAGGTGTGTGATATAGTATTAGTCACACCCCATGACTAACACTAACTATAATACATCCAAACTCATGTTTGGTCAATGAATGGTATCCATCTTGTAATATTGGTGTGTTTGTAGATGTGGGAGTATATTCAATCAATCAATTAATCAATCATTCATGATGTTTAGTTAGTGATTGATCATTACCGCCATTCCACACCACACTGCATGGTTGTGGCGCCTCTCATTCTCTTGCTTTTTTGCTCTTTGATCAATCATAATTGATCATGATCATAATTATATACTTAAATAATTGGATTGATGAATGGATGGATTGATGGATTGAGTTGGAGAGGTAGGATGGATACAATTTTATGGTGGCGACACCATTAGAGTTGATTATAATCAATAATCATCTTCTTCATCGGAATGGCAATTGCTGCCATCAATAAGGCGATCTTTGGAATTTCCAGACTTCTTGATGTCGTTATGATCAACATAAATGAATGTGTTGACTGATAGTATTGGATTGTTGGGATCCATCAAAGTGAGTCGATTCTTCTGATTGAACTCAATGTGCTCATCACGAGTCATTGTGTAATATTGAGATAGGTCCCCACGACGACGCACCATTATATACAGAAACAGGAAGAGCAGTGTGCCAATTGCGCCTGGTATTGTGATGGCCAGAGTGTTGTCAAAGTAGGCCTGTTTGTAAGGCTTCAACTTTGCCCAACACATCTGATCCATATTGTTCTGATTGTAGTAGCAAACATGCATCGAGTTTACAGAGTAGAAGTTCGTATACTTGTGCACCAGATTGGTGTCTGTCGTCCAAAGACTACGAATCACACCCTGGTTCTGACTTCCATAAGCAAAGTTGACGGTCCATTCAGCTTGATAACATTGGTTCATATCTTTGATGGACTTTGGTTTGGAGGCAGGGTTGCCCTTCGTCGAACTTGAATATGACAATACTCCATTGTCACCAACAAAGTCATTGTAACCAAGCCACCATGTCCACCATACATTAGAGTCCAATGAGCCGCATGGCCCTGAATCACTAACATTTGTAGGTGTTATATGTAAATCTATAATCTGACATGTTGTCTCTCTAAAGTTCTTAGCTTCTTTGATCTGAATACCATGTTAACAACTTATCCTATCTATCAATGCTCCAACATCTCATACTTACAGTCGGTACAAGTTTAACTGATAAGTATACAACTCCACATATAAGTGTAATCAAGGATACCAAGAACAATCCAAATACTAATATTATCTTTGTCTTTCTATCCATCAAGTTATTGTTATATATAATATGATTTGTAAGGTAAATAGAATACCTTATTACATGTATGATTGATTGATTGATGAATGAGTCTGGTCAAGTGCAAATGAGTGAGAGAGTAGCTACGCTCAACTCATTGAGTTGTTGAGAGGAGGAAGGAAACAAGATGACGTAGGGTGAGAGTTGTTGTACATACACACACACACACACACACACACACACACACATCATTACCTGTTTAATCCACTAGTGTGACTGATCAGTCTATTATTCCCCCTTTCGTGAGTCCTAATAGGACGTCGATTCAACCAATCAACCAAGCCAAACAAATGGGCGCACCAAGCCAAATAAGGTAGATTCCGAACTGATGGGGACTTTACTCTGTCGTGATCAAAAAGTTGACAACCACTGAGGACTTGGATGTCCAGGATATCCATCTTCCTTCCATCCGATGCATCCAGCTTGCTTGCTTTGAAGGGGTGTGGCAGGTGTCTTGCCTGCCAGCTCTCACCTATGAACCAGCACTTTACTGTCACTTGTGAGTCATATCGATTATGCCCTGCACCTGGAAGAATGGATTGGATATTAAGTTCTCGTCATTGTTCTCTCTGGCCTTTGACAGTAGTCTTGTGAGGATGCTTCGGTATTGCTCAGGACTCTCTGCTTCCAATTGTGTCAACAAGAAGTAACTTGAATGGCTATATATTTGTACATTTGATGTTAGTGATTGCTTGAATGAATGATTGGTCGAATGATCAACTTACTATGCAATCTGTGTACAAGAGTCGTGCATTAGATTCTTGAAGAATCCAATACCGCCAATCTTGGCAAGGTCCTCGGCATCACTGCAACGAAGCAGTAGGAGATGCAAAAGCATAAGTCTCGGCTCGTAGTATCGCTCCAGTGTGGGGATGTTGGCAAAGCTGTAATGTAGCGTGCCAATGTTGATCAGCTTTAGAAGGCTAATCGATATGACGAACTGGTTGTTGAGGAACAGCGAGTAGTTTGTGTCTGGCTGCGTGTCCTTGATGAACAATGTCTTTGCTCCATTCCTAGTATATATTAAATCGAACATTATATCTATGATCAACAGCAAGTTGGACTCATCCTTCTCGCCCGCCGCTATCAATCTCTGCATGCACTCGTTGAACAACTCGAATATCTCGTCTCTCTTGCTTTCGCCAGTCTTCAACTAAAGGGTGGTGATGACGACGATGTTAGGAGGGGTGGCCTTGGCATTGGGTTGGAGGGAGGACTGGACTACTCACTCTATACTTTGAAAGCAGCAATAGTCTCTCGGTAAGGCTGATGTATAGCCTTCTAATCTGTGGATTGGCATGCGATGCAAGCTGTACAAATATGTTAAATGCATAGTTGATGGGTTCCTTGTCGATGATAGTCTTCTTTAGAAGTACAAGTAGCCAGTTCTAGAATGTATAATGAGTAAATGGATACATTGGAAGTTAGTCATGTGATCGATTTGGTATCACGTGATCGGTGTCACGTGACAGGCTTCAAGTCACGTGACTTGCCGGAAATTCCTGGACACTTACCGCGCCATTCATACGTATGGTCTCATCCTGCTCATTGAACAACCACTCCTGCAAGAGAGCAGCTGACTTGTCGGGATGGTCTTGGACTTCTTGCGCAAACTTCTCGTAGTAGGGATCCATCTTTTGGAAGCGCACGGCATGCTCGTGTATCTTCATCGAGAACTTGATGATCAGGTCCTCGTAGGAGAACGAAGCCTCGTTGTTCTTGGAAGCGTCGGACGATGCGAACTGGAAGAAGTCCGACACAAAGTCCTTCTCGGGTATGCACTTGAACAGCTGAACAAAGTAGTGTGGCGCATCCGCTCGCTTGAACAGCTCGAGCAGCAGCGGCGCCTCTTGGACCAACTGCGTGTCGGCGATGATCTGGCACTTGAGCGCGCTCTGCAGCACATAGTCAAAGACCACGACAAACAGGTTGTTCTTGGCTTCGTTGGAGCGCACCGAGGTGTACAGGCGCAGGACAAAGTCGATGCCGCCGACGGCGTTCAGCTCCTCCTCGTTGAGCGCCATGGACGCGCTGTTCTGTTGGTTGCTGTGATTGACGTCGCGGTACAGGAAGTTGCAGAGCATGCGAACCAGCATGCGCTTGGTCTGATCGCTGATGTCCTGCACGTAGGTCAGCATGCACGAGATGATGCCCGAGTTGAGCTGGAACATGCGATTGCGGATGATGGCGCCCTGGTGCACGACAAAGAAGATCATGCAATTCAGGGCCTCCTGCCAGACTTTGTTGTCGCGCTCGTGCTCCACGCAGTGGTTAAGGATGTCGCGCAGCAGCGAGAACACAGAGCTCTGCAGATCCCCAATGGTGCCATGCGAGCCATCGTCCAGCTTCAGCTCCGAGTAGATATTGACGTGGATGGCCAGATTGAATATAATATTGAACAACTGTATCCTTGTATCCTTGCTTGGGCTCTCGATGATCTGTTTGAAGTAGGCCAATATGGTCTTCTCGCCCTCCACTCCATTCTTGCAATATATATCCAACAGTATCTGATTGTGATTGATTGATTGAATGAGTGAGTGAGTAGGGATGGTTCCAGAGTTGATCTGATTGGTCCTCATGCCAAGACATACCTTTATAAATATCCTCGACGCTATGGCCCTGTCCTGGGCAGTGGAAGGGTTGTTGATCACCTTGATGACTTGCAACTTCTCTGCCTCGCTGATCTTGAGTTGCTCCTGATCTTTGTAATACTTGTATTGAAACAGTGCTGGCGCCTTCCTGCGTCGCATGGTCAGCGTGGCATCTTTGCGTTCAGACCTCTTCTTTGCTTGTTGTACAATGTTGATTGGTGCCATGTTGTTCGAATCGTCTGGGCACACAAAGATGTCCTTTGCCTTAATGTCGCTGCACTGTTGTAGCACGCCAAATGGTGAGTGTGTCAACAAGCTCTGTATCTCTGTTGTTGATTGGGAGTTTGATTGAATGAATGAGTATGGGAGTGACTGAGGATGGAGTATGTGAGTATACATACTATGCTTGTGAGCAATGGACGATGATGACTTGATGTTGGTCTTGAAGCCGATAAAGTCGCAGATGTAGCCATCGTCTTGACAGGCAGCGCGTCGTGAGAGGGTGGGTGAGTTGATGAGGTTGCTGCCAGACGATGCCATTCCATTGCTCGACGAGAAGGGATGAGTGATTGTGGCATTGTTGAGAGCAGTCGCGCCGCTGTCCTTCAGAGTGATGTGGGCGATCGAGTTGCCCGACACCGACGCCGAAATGCCAATGGCTGCGGCGGTCGGATCGCCCTGTCCCGGCGAGTTGGTGATCGCTGACATTAGGTTGGGAGAGAGTGGCGTCGACACGGTGGACGACTGCGAGTTGTTGAGTGTGATGCGAATGGGCGAGTCGGCAACCGACTGCGGCGATGGCGACGATGACGTCGATGTGGACGACGACACTGACATTGCTGGGTTGTGTTGCGGTTGCTGATTTGATATCGATAGCATGTTGCTCAGGTCGAGTGAAGTGCGTGGCTGAAGAGGGCTTTGGTCGTCCCTGGATGTGGTGGACGAGGTGGACGCCGACTGGCTTCGCGTGCGCACTAGGCCAATGCTGGAGCGGCGCATCGACATGGACGATCCATGACCGCTGCCATTGGGCATCAGCCCGCTGTTTCCAACGCCAAGCTGGTGCTGCTGATGTATGATATAGCTGGGATGCTGGCGCACCTGATTGGCAATGAGTGCGCGGATGTAGGTTATTGTCTTTTGCAGTGTGGCGCTGACCAGTGGCGCGCTGCAAATGCAAAACGCGTCCAAATCCAGAAGTATCTGCAGTGATGGTGGATGCAATGATATATTGTTCTTGATCAACTTGAGTATCCTTGACAGTACTGGTTCAAAGTGTGTCTTCTCGCTGTTGACTCTGTCCATCATATTGATGAACACTACATAGTATGGCGTGATTGGCGTGTCAGCTGATCGCTCCACTCACTCAATTGGATTGACTTGTATTATGATTGGAATGAATCCAAGCCATTCCAATCAATCGATCAATCACAACTTACCAAGATCAACAGTGTTGGCATCATCAAAGTACTTGGTCAATGTGAACTGGGCCTCTGGAGAGGGCATCGTGCCGTCTGGAATGCTGTTTTGCTGGACGACATTTCGAATGATGTGATTGACAAACCGTCTGTTGTTTGTCATTGTCATCGCCATTGCTTATGCTTATGGTATGTATATGTATGTATATGTATATATATATATATATAAATGCTTGAGCGAGATTGGGAGCCTATATGTCCTCGCGGCCTAGCTCCTTCGATCAATCAATCAATGATTGTGATTCCTTCTCTCTCTGCAACTGGCAGCAAGTAAGTCTCTTGTCTTTGTCTTTGTCTTTTGTTGGCTGTTTATCCGTCAGTCGTCTTTGTTGTCAAATGTATGCTGTTATTGGATTTGGAATTGGATTGATACTGATGAAGTTGAAGTTGATGATGATGCTGATGCTGGACTACCTGTCTTTTGTTTAATCTCGCGATGTGTAGTGTACTAAATCAATGATGTTGGGCAAGGTATTAGGTCACAGATCAAGATTGATGGATTATGTTTGATTGATTAATGGACTATATGTTTGATTGATTGTGTTCTGTCCTCAGTGGAACTGACTGGATTGCGTCGTTCATATGATCGGGCAAGTGGTGCACACAATGAAGGTTGTAAGAAGTGTAATCTTAAGTGTCTATATAAGTGTGTGTGTGCCTGTCTGCCAATCAATCAATCAATCAAACAACATCAATGATGTCGGCACTTCATTTCAGAGTGGTCCACTCAAGACTGGATCGTCCATCATCAAACAAACTTAACAAAGAAATAGTTGGTGTTTGTTATTGTTGTTGGTTGTTGATGTTGGTTGGGGTGGGCGTGAGTGAATGAATGGTGTGTATGAGTGTGTGATTGGATGAATGATCAACAACAACAACAACTTCTGAATGATGGATTGATGAGTGTATGAGTACAATCACGTGATATGGATAGTATGGTCTTACATTTACTTTCACTTCCAATCTCAGAATTCAAACTGTATGTACTGTCTGTTTGGCTGTATATGTATGTTTAATGTGTGTGTATATGAGTATGAGTATGATATGAGTATGAGTATGTTTGATGGTTGTGATGTTGTTAACAAACCACCTCACCTCACCTCGCCTGTATGTCTGCTTATTGTTACTCTGTAATGCTGTGCTAGAACATCCTTTTGTTTACCTTTGTGTGAGTGTCTGTAGTTGATGTTGAAAAAAAAAATCGTCTGCTGCTCCCAGGCACAAACATGCACACACTCATCAGGTTTCAATCGAGATGGGAAGCCAATCTAGATTCCGCCTCTCTTTCACACATTGTTTTTGTTTTTGTTTTGTTGATGGTTTGGAGTTGGTCCTCAGTCAAGCCCCAGCCAAAACACACAAACACCTTCCAACAAACTCTTCAAAACCATCGCCAAACACGCCCTTTGAGCCGAAGCCACTTTGAAATCCATCGATGTAAGAGTCAATCACCTCCAATCATCCAATCCATTCATTCAATGTCGGGTTATTTATCACGTGATACCCCCTCTTTGGTCATTTGCTCTGTTTGTGGTGATGGCACTTCAAATCTCGTCAACAATGATCATTCATCATCAGAATGTATAAAGAGATATAAGATATATGATTGTTGATTGATTGATTGATGGATATGACTATGAAGAGATGGATAACTGTTATCCTATATTGATGTGTGTTTTGTATGTGAATGAATATTACAATTGTAAATCGAGAACAATCTTTCTACCCTTGCCTCGTTCTTGGGAGCGAGCGAGAGCACCCTGGAAGTCAGAGAACTTGTGCTTCTCCAGCCAGAGCTTGAGGTGCTTGCTGCGGATGAGTGAAAAGATCGTGTCAAACATGGCCTGACGCTCCTGTGCACTGTGCTTCTCGATCCAGCGGGTGAGCCAGAAGCCGTGTACGGTGATGTCACGGAACACCAGGTGGCTGGTGGGCACGGTGACAGCGCGACGCGACATGGAGCCATAAGTGACGAGGTGGCCGCCATCGCCCAGCACGCGGGCCAGCTCGGTGGCTGACTGGCCGCCGACGGCGTTGAGTGCCAAACGTGGACGGGGCAGGTCGGCGATCAGACGCGCAAACTCTGGTGTGCGGATGTACTCGTCGTCGACAACGATGTCGGCGCCGAGGCCCTTGAGAAGGGTGACCTGCTCGTCGTAGTCTGGGCTGCGGCTGACGACGTTGATCGTCTTGATTCCACGTGATTTGGCGATCTGGATGAGCGACAGGCCGACCATGCTGCTGGCGGCGTTCTGAATGACGACGTCGCCGGCCTTCAGTGTGACATAGTCGTCGAGCAGACGAAGAGCAGTGCATGGGTTGATCGAGACGGCTGAGAGGTACTCTGTTGGGATGTCAGAGGGCACCTTCTGCAGCTGCTTCTCCGAGAAGACACCCTGGGTTCTCCAGGTGCCGGCCACAGTGGACGAGAGCAGTGGCACGACGTAGTCGTTCAGCTTGAGTCCCTGGACGCCGGCGCCAACCTTCTTGACAATGCCGACACCCTCTGTACCGGCGATCGATGGCAACTTGGGGCGGATGCCATAAGTTCCCTCTGCCAAGTTAATGTCCACTGGGTGGATTGGTGCATGAATCATCTCGACCAACACCTCATTCGATGTAACATTGTCTGCTACATTATCCTTCTCTACTCTGTATTATATTGATCATCATTGATTGTTTGATTGATTGATTGATTGATTGGTTGGTTTGGGTGTGATGGATTGAGTGAGTGAGTGATCATGTTCGTTTAATTGAATGATTGACCGTTTGTTGGTCATAGAGTGATCGACAATATGATTGATTGGTCAAACAAGTATATGATTGATTGTCAAATCTAACATCATCTATCAATCATGATCTTTGATCGACCCTGTCTAAAGTATGCCTGAATGACTGTTTCGCAACATTATCAAGTATTGTTGTGTCTTCTGTCTTCTTCGTGTCGTATAATGTGAAGTCCATTCATCCACTCTTTCATCTGCAGTTGTATGTAATATATATGATTGACATTGTATGTTTATGACCTACTTGAAGACTTCCTCTGGCTTTCCGAATGAGTTGTACTTGACAACTGTGGCCGATGCGAATGAACGCACGAATCCAGTTGACACTCTCTGCAATGATGGAGTAATGTTGCTCAACATAGTTTGTGACCTGATGTTGTTATATATATATGTAATAATGAATATTTATGTAGGAGGTGTAAAGTGATGATGATCAGATGTCTCAAGCAGACTTCAAACTCACACACACATTTGTGTGATCAGAGGGCCTCAGTGATGGTGAGTGCGCAAAATAAAAAATACGGGTGTGGGGGGAACGTTACTGATGACCCGACCCATGTTGATCAATCACTTCCAGTCCATTCTGGATGACTTTATTGTTCAACTCCATCTTCCTCATCTTCCATCTCTTCATCGGAATCCACTAATGCTGGCTTGATGTCCAGTTCAATCTCATACTCTTGATCGCAACCTGTGTACGAGTCTGACATGAGGTAGAGGGTCACTTGATGCTTGCCAACGGGCGGCGAGGGGAACTCCAGCTTGGCCTTGGCGCTGGACGTGAAGGTCAGACGCTTGATGCTGTAGAGTTGGTTGGTCTTGGGATCGCCGACAATCACCCACCAGCCACCCATCTTCTTCTTGGGATAGTATGGCGCGTACACAACGTTGAGTGTCTCGGGGTTGGCATTGTCCTCATCGATCTCGCGCTGCACCATCACCTCGACGGCCACGCTGCCTCCGGCATGCAGATCGCCCTCTTCCTGAACATTGTACGAGATCTCAATGTCGGGATATGTGTAGCAGACGCGAGCAACGTCCTCCAGCTCCTTCTGCGACATGTTGAGAAGGTGGTTCCTGGACTTGTCCTCCAGACCCATCAGGTCAAAGACCGACTCGACGCCAGCCTTCTTGCAGGCGTCCAGACGCTCGGACGACATGTGCGGCAACTGCTTAAGCACCGAGTCGTTGTCCCAGACAGCCTGTGTGCACATCTGACTCAGCTCCATGGCGGCCAGCGCCGGGTTGAGCCACTGCGAGCTACTGATAATATCTACAATCGCCTGGAGTAGACGGGTGGCGTTCTCCAGTACCATCTGTTGGTCGAGGTGCATGTCGGCCGAGATTGGTCGGCGCGAGAAGTGGCACTGCAGCAGCACGTTGACTTTGGTGTGTGGATCGTCAAACGAGGGCTTCTCAATCTTGAGCGGCAGGTGATGCGCCATCTTCTGGAGCATCTGGTCCTCGCGATGTCTGATTGGGATGGCGGCAAACTCGGGCGCCATTGACAGGATCTCCAGGATACCCTTGCGCTTGGTGGTGGCCTTGAGCGACGAGGCGAACAGCTCGATCGTTGTGTACTTGAGGTAGTAGTAACTGGCGATAATGCCCAGATTGAGTGGTGCAAGCGAGTCCTGGTCCTCCTTGACCATGACACAGTTGGCCTGCTCCAGGTCTGTGATGGTGTTCTCCACCAGTTCAGACATGTGCTCAGAGAGATGCAAATGGGAGATGCCAGTCAGGTTGTAGTAGTTGGGGTTCTGAGTGAAACGACGGTAGAGGAATGTCCAGGTGAGGTAGTCGAGCGCGTCCTGCTTCTTGCTGATGGTCTTGGTGACAATCTCCGAGTTGAAGTGGTCAGCCAGGAAGTGGTCCAAATGCGACTCGACCGGCAGTGGCTGGTTCAGGAACATCTTGTAGTACTCCTTCTTGGGACTGTGACACAGCAGCAGACACTTGCCAACATCGTCGATGCCCTGCTTGCCTGCGCGGCCAATCATCTGCAGCACGTCGTTGATGGCATAGTCGACGTAGCGAGTAGTCTTGCCCTGGTACAGCTGAGTGCCCATGATTATAACAAGGCTCGAGTAGACATCCAGCGACCAGCACACTGAATGTGTGGCCACCAGCACCTGTATGGCACCCGACTGGAACAGCTTCTCGACGGTCCTCTTCTCGAGCGCCGTGAGGCCCTCGTGGTAGAATCCAACGCCCCACTGCAGAGACTGCTTGAGTGCGACACTTTCAATGTTCTTGAGATCAAGGTCGGACTCGGCACATCTGAGGTAGCGCTTCTTGGTCGTGTCCTCTTCCGAGTCGACGTGCACGATGATGTCCTTGACGAGAGATCTTGCGATCTTGCGCGATGGCACAAACACCAGTGACTGGCCAGCCTTGTTGTGGCTGACGGCGTAGATTGTTGGCTTGGTCATGGCGAGGATGCGCGCGTTGTAATGTGGGAAGTCGAAGCCCTGGATCTGAATCTGCAGGGGCACAGGACGCACATCCGGATGCAAGTTGAACATTGTGCTGGGGGTGGCGCCGATCCACTCGGCCAGGTCGCGTGCGTTGGCCACAGGCGACGACAGAGCAACGATACGGATTGGTTTGCCGGTCTGGATGGCGATGTAGCGCATCCTGGACACGACGATCTCCATGATGGAACCCTCGGCGCCGCCACCAATCATGTGGAGCTCGTCCACGATGAACAATGCCACGGACTGGACGGACTTTCTCTGCTTCCATCTTCGCGACAGAATGTCCCACTTCTCGGCCGTGGTGACCACGATGTTGGACTGCTCCAGCAGCTTGTTGTCGGTCAATGGCTCGCCAGTCAGCTCCACAACACTCTTGCCTAGTATACGGTTGAACTTGAAGGTCCAGTCGCGCAGACGCAATGAGGCCAGCTCTTGGATTGGCGCGATGTAGACGATCTTGGCGTTGGGGTTCTTCTTGAGCTCGCGAATAACTGCCAGCTCGGCACACACTGTCTTGCCAGAGTTGGTGGGCGCGCCAATGAAGGCATTGTCGTCGCTCTTGTATATGCAATCAAACACCTGTGTCTGGATAGCGTTGAAGTACTTGAATGCGGGCGCAAAGATCTCGGCTGCCTTGGGGTCCTTGAGTGAGTCCAGCGACAAGGGTATCAGGTCGTGCAGCTTGGTGCATGGCTGGTACTTCTCGGGCAGGATCAGGTGGCGGAAGCTGACTGAGAGGTTGTACTCGGCACCAATCCAGCGATCGGCCAGCACACGCACGTAGTACTGTGGAGGAAGTGGGTCGGTCAATGGGACCGTGAACGTGATGGTCTGCTCGTCCTCCATCATACGCTTCTTGAGCAGGAAGTACTCGTAGTAGAGGATCTTCTCGCCATCGACGTCCTCAACAATGATCCACCAGCCAACAGAGTTGTCGTGGTACTTCTCGTCAAACTCAAAGTCAGGCGTCAATGTGAGGTCCACTCGCAGAAGGCCATGTAGGATGGGCTGCACGTGCGCGGTCAGGTCGACCTTGGGCAGCGTATGGATGAGCTTGTAGAGCTTCTTGCCTTCGTTGGGGTTCTGGATTGCGCTGCCGAGCTGTTGCGAGTTGTACTCGTACAGGTCCTCGACGGGGATGCTACGACGCTCCAGCTGGTTGAGAATCTTGGGTGTGATCTCCTTGAACTGGCGCAGGGGCGACTGCGATGACCACATCTTGCGCTCGACCATCTTGCAGACGGACAGGATCTTCTTTGCCAGCTGGGCCCAGCCCTTCTTGAGTACGATCTCAAAGAGAGCACGGCAGATACGCGCTGCGCTCTGGGCAATGTAGAACATGTCCACGATCAGGGCAAAGCCCTCAAGCTTCAGACATGAGATGTAGGCCTGCAGCAACACGTTGATCTTGGCCGCGGGCTCGTCGATCGTTTCCTTGATAGGGATAGGAACACGCTCCAGCAGCTTCTCCAGCTCGGGCTTCTCGCCGTCTCTGACCACGACGCTCTTGAACTCGGATGATAGCGAGAACAGCTTGAAGAACTCAATGTCGCTCATTGTTGGCTTGAGATGCTCGTGATAGACTGACATCGAGGCGTTGGTGATGTAGTAGTGGCTTGCAACCTTTCCCAGGTCGGTGGTCTGGAAGTGGCCCGACTTGCGATCGTACTTGATTAGATTGTTCTTGTCCAGCTGGATGGCGGCCGCGTGGACCAGGTCCATGCGGCGTTGCTCCAGTTCGGGGTCAGCTTCAATCTCGTCGTAGCTGATCTCGTAGAGGGGTGGGTTCCTCAGCATGCAGATGTAGAGGTAGGTGTAACCGAGCCATTGAACGGCGTCGCGTACGTTCTGGATCGAGCCAAGCACGATCTCGGCGTTGAGGTTGTCTGCCAAACGGCTGATGAACTGACTCTCAATGGACAGCTGTGTGTTGACCAGCGACAGGTAGAACTGCATCTCGTTCTGGCTGGTGACGATGATACCCTCACCGTCCTTGTCGAATGGTGGACGACCAGCACGACCCAACATCTGTGTGACGTCCAGTGGACTGAGCTCGGTCCAGCCCTTCTCGGGGTTGTACACCTGCGTGCCCTTAATGATGACAGTGTGCGCGGGCAGGTTGACTCCCCATGCCAGTGTGGCGGTTGAAATCAAGATCTGAATACGCTGGTCCTCAAACAGCTCCTCGACCAGGATACGGTCGGTCCTTGCCAGACCGGCATGATGGATTCCGATGCCGTAGGGCAGCAGCTCCTTCAACTCGGCGCTCTTGACCGACTTCTCGGCGGCCTCCTTCAGCACCTCAACTGAGGCACGACTCTTGAGCAGCTGACCAATGACGTCGGCCTCGATGGCACGATCGCGGATGTCGCGACCAGTCTTGCCAGTCTCGCGACGTGAGTGGACAAAGATCAGCATCTGATGCTTGCCAGCGCGCTCTGCCACCTTCTTGAATGTGATGTCGTTCATAAGCTGCAGCTGCTTGATTCCACGATCAGAGATACCAATGTACTGTTGCTCCAAGGGGATGGGACGGTAGCTAGAGTCAAAGTAGAACACGCCCTCTGGCTTCACTCGCAGGAATGTGGCTACATCCTCATAGTTTGGCAATGTAGCAGACAGACCAACCAGTCGCACCATCTCCTGTGTGGACTCAATCGTCCTAAGTGTTCTTGCAACGATGCACTCCAACACTGGACCTCTTTCGTCGTGTAGCAAGTGAATCTAGATTGAAGTGAGGAAGGAATGTTAGGACTTGATGGTCGGATTGAAAGAGGGAGGGCACCGCTTACCTCATCAATGATGACTAGTCGCACGAGCTGTGTGTAGGCGCGCTCGCCAGACTTTCTTGTGATAATGTCCCACTTCTCGGGAGTGGTGACGATGATCTGAGTCTCGGATATCTGTTTGTTGGTGAGTGATTGGTCTCCAGTGAGCTCCTTGACGGTGATGCCGTACGACGCCAGACGACGAGAGAAGTTGGCCACCATCTCCTGCACCAGCGACTTCATTGGCGCAATGTACACGATCTTGAAGGCGTCCAAGTCGATGACGCCGTCGTGCATGTGCTTGCCAATCTCATGCAGGATGGTCAGCATGGCCACGTTGGTCTTTCCAGCCGAAGTGGGCGCTGACAGCAACAGATTGTCGTTGCTCTTGAACGCAAACTCGTAGAGGCACGATTGGATACGGTTGAGGTGCGCCACGTTGAAGTTGGCAAAGGGTGCCTGTGCCCACTCGGGCATCTCGCTGACCGCCACCCTGCGCTCGTTCTCGCCAATTGGCGGGTTCTCGCGGGCGGGGATGTGTATCTCCTCGTAGCCCTTGTAGGTCTCGCGCTTTGATCCTGCGGGGAAGTGGAACTTCTTGTTGGTCATCAATCGGTTGCCCTGGTGGAAGGTGAGGTTGTCCAGGTCGAGGTTGCGCTTGGGTGTCTTGATCGCTGAGGCCTTGGCGGCCGCGGCCGCTGCAGCTGCGGCGCCACCAGCCTTCTTCTGTTGCTTGTTGGTGCCTGTGCCGTTGCTGGCCTGATCGCCTGCTGTTCCCTTTAGCCTGTTGAGCAATCTGTACAGTTCGGGATCCTTTGTCATCTCGTCTTCGAGTCGCCTGCGTTCTTGATCGTTCTCGGCCTTGGCCAATAATGTACAATACAGCACGGTCTGTCTGTTGTGCAGCAGCAGCTTGATAAAGTCAAAGCGCGCAAAGTCAAAGAGGCCGACGAGGTCGTTCTCGCAGCGCCTTATATCGCTCTGTTGCAGGATGTTAACCACCTGCTCGGCCAATCGCTGGGACTGCAGTGGGTCGGACTCAAAGCCCGAAATCTTCCTCTGTATCCAAAAGGCGTCGATGTCCAGCGGGTTCAGCGCGTCCTTCTGGACACCGTTGCCGCCCGTCGTCGACTGGTCCACGAGATTCGACTTGATCGACTCTTCGTCCTGATCGCCCGCTGCCGCCTGCTCCTGTTCGAGTGCCTGTTTGCTGTCCTCGTCGACGATCTCCTCGTCCTCGTCCTCATCCTCTCTGATCTCAAAGTTGTCCATGTTGGCGTCGTCCTCCTCGTCCTCATCGATGACGACGGCCACGCCGTGTGAGTCGTCCAGCGAGTCCAATGCCGCCTTGCCCGAGGCCGAAGCGTCGGTGTAGTCTGTTATGGCGCGTCCCATGCTTGTGATCTCTGCAAACTGCTCCTCGGTCATAGACTTTAGCAGCTTTGAGATCTCTGTCTTCTTCTCGGGCGCTCTGATGTGATCATTCTTTAGAATTGCCAATATCTCGTCGACGGCACCCTTGATGATCTCCAACGGTTGATCGCCCACGAATGTCTGAACAAAGGATATCATTCGCTCGTAGATCAGTCTGGTCTCCCTGGTCTTGGGCCTGTAGAGGCCCTCGTAGGCATCGGTGGCGGCGAGTACATCGGCGGCGCCGTGTCTCAGCTTCTTGGGGACGACCGTCTCCATCACCACATCCTTGTCCACATTCTTTCTCTTTAGTTGCTGATGTTTATCGAGTAGTTCAGTTGGTCGCGAGTATGATACACGGTCGCCCATCTTGCCGCCCAACTTGCCCCACAGAGTCTCTGGTTCGCCCTTTGGTTCTTTAAGATCCCTAGGGTTCCTCTCTGAGTGTATCACCAAGTTTGAGTTCTGTTGTCATAGTTGTAGATTAAAGAATGAGTGAGTGAGTTTGTCCATCATTTGATGATGTTGATGATGATGATGATGATGATGTGACCTTGTGTCGATACCTACAGCCTTGTACTCATATTGCTTATTTCTAGCAACTACATCTGACATGGCTTTGAACCTATGTATCTATATATTGTATGTATGTATATGTAATGAGTCTTTGTTGAACTTTTGATTGATCGATTGATCGAATAATAATAATAGAGGACAATAATGATAATGTGTGTATGTATATGATTGAAGATATTCTTCCAATATCGATATCTTCCCTCTCTATTACTACTATTAATACAACACGATTGATCAATGATTGATGAAAGGTGAACACTTGCATTCTTTCAAAGTTCATTCAGAATGTGCTCAAAAACAGGATGTTTGTGTGTTCTTCTATTTGAACTTCAAACACTCGTAGACACTCATTGGACCAAACGATCACCTTACAACGACCAAGACATATAATACCATATAAATATATATGTTTGTATATCTATTGTAAGATCGATAGTCCAAACGAGATATATAAGTTAATAATATCCAAACAATTAAAATTGAGACTCGTCATGTTCTTGACAATCACATGACTGATCTTTTGAATCTTAAGATATAATGTAATCACATCTAATAATGTAATGCCAAAAACAATCAAGCATGTTGAAAGATAGGTAGATGATAAAGAATAACTAATATTGTAAACAAATAGAATCAAATACTCGTCTTCGTCTGATTCGCTTGTTGAAGGCAATAAGTAATTGAATTAAATCTAATCAAATGAGAAAAAAAGATGATTAGTCGTCGTTTGTTTGTTTCTCAAGTTGGAATTGCAGTTTATTAAAGTTCATTCATTCGATTCGAAACTAACTAACTAATAACACACACCCAAAGATAAATACAGTTAATAACAAAGGCTTCCCAAGCATTCATTATTTAACTACTTTAACTGTATTATTATTATTATTACATAACAACAACCTTCACCAACTACCCTACCCTTACCCTCAAGTTTAGACCCTTTAACAGAGACTCATTAACTCAAACAAACACATATATACAAAGATGGCAACAAGTATGATTCATTCATTCATTGCGAGCGAGCGAGATTGGATATGTTGGATTGGATCAATTGATCTATGACAATATATGTTAACAATCGAGACGAGACATGATGAGACGAGACGAGACGAGACGAAGCAGATGATTAACATTATTACTATCTTTGGGATGATACCTCATTCAATCAATCAATCATTCAATCAATCAAATTAATATTAAACAGGAGCAATGTACGAGAACAGCTGCGATATTGGAGTATTCGCAAAGCTTACAAATGCATACTGCCTGCTGGGCCAGTGCGGCTCCAAGCAGTTCACTCGCACTTTTGAGAACCAACTCGCTGATAACATGCCAGTTATAGAGTGCTCAATTGCCGGCACAAGAATCGTCGGCCGTCTGTCAGTCGGCAACAGCAAGGGCCTTCTGCTGCCCAACACCACCACCGACCAGGAGCTGCAGCACATCCGCAATTCGCTGCCAGACACTGTCACCGTGCAGCGCGTCGAAGAGCGTTTCTCTGCACTCGGCAACTGCATTGCCGCCAACGACTACGTCGCCCTGATCCACCCCGAGCTGGATCGCGAGACCGAAGAGATCATTGCCGACGTGCTCGACGTCGAGGTGTTCAGATCGACTGTGGCCGGCAACGCCCTGGCTGGCACCTACTGCGGTCTGACCAACACTGGTGCCCTCGTGCACCCCGCCACCACCACCGTCGAGCAGGAGGAGCTGTCCTCGCTGCTGCAGGTGCCACTGGTAGCCGGTACCGTCAACAGAGGTAATGAGTGCATTGCCGCCGGTCTGGTCGTCAACGATTGGGCTGCCTTTGTCGGCAACGACACCACCGCCACAGAGATTTCAGTCATTGAGAACATATTCAAGCTGCAACACGGCGCACCAGCCAACATCCTTGGCCAAGTTAGAGACTCCATTATCGATAACCTCTAAATAAATATATATATATTGGATCGCCAACATGATGTAGCCGAGTTGCCGGCAGGTGGTGTGTAGCCAGAGAGTGGCGACAGTTTGGCGAGGGATAGGCGGAGATTGTCGAGAGAGGCGAGCAAGAGAGATGAGTACTCATCTCATTCATTCGTTCGATCGTTCGTTCGTTCATTCAATCATTCATTTATTAAGTCGACGATGAGGTCGTTGATGTCGTGGATGTTGTTGATGTCGCTGATGGCTCTGATGATGATGCTTCGACTGGCTTCTTCTGACCAGCCTCAATCCTTCTGAACACGCCATACCACTTCTTGCCATCGATACGATTGACTTTACGTCCCTCCTCGGTGGAGTTGAGTATCAATGGGATGCAAGGGTCTTGCGAGGGCTCGAGTTTCAGCTCCTCAAACAGAGGATGTGCTCTAAAGTGACCGAGCATCCACAGGTAGAGCTCCTCTACATCGCTGATAAAGTAGGCCAGTCCGCCAATAGCCATCACGTAGGCGTACTCGGCCAGCAGTGTTGGGCTGATGATACGACGACGGTGGTTGGCCTTCTTGAAGTGCGGGTCGGGGAAGAGGAAGAAGATCTTCTGCAGCTGTCCCTTGTAGAACAGGTTGGGCAGGTATTTCATGGCGTTGGTCTTGAGCACCGAGATGTTCTGGTAGGGTCCCTCGGCACACACGCCTCCGCCGGGCACGGCAGGCATCGTCTTCTCCTCGCTGCGCAACTTCTCGATTCGCTCCTCGACGTACTGTACAACTTTATCGCGAATCTCCAATCCCAGACTGAGTCGGTCGGGGAAGGCTGTCGAGAGGCTGACAGTCAGACCTCCATATCCACAACCAACATCTGCAAACTCCACTCTACGCTGTGCTGTTGTCGAACCAGCAGCAATAGCCTTCTCATCAGTGCCTCCAATTATCTTTGGATAGTGCTTTGACCAATCATAGAACTGTGGAGCTATAGGACTGTGTTGATTCATTGATCGATCAGTTGTGATGGATGTGATGTGTTAATGTCGTTCACTCATTCATTCATTCGTTCGTTCGCGTCGTATGATACATACTAATCAAAGTCGCAGTCTGAGAGAGGGTTTGAATGAGCCTTTATACGATGATATGGTCTGATTGGCTTCTTCTTCTTATCAGTCTTTGTTTGCTGCAATCTAGGTGGTTGCTTCGAAGTAGTCTGTTGTGGTTGTTGTTGTTGTTGTGTATCCATCATTCAATCCAATCCAATCCAATGAAGTAAGTGTATGTTTATATCTTTATCTTTGTTGAGATGAATGAATGAATGAAATTGACGAGTCGCGCTTTGATTTAGGGGTACCGTTAGCTCGAATCAAGGAACCAAGAACTAAACAAGTTACGACCATCTGATAGCCAATGATTGAATAGCCATTAAAGGTAGTATTAGTTTGTTTATTATTGTATACAAAAGATAGGATTCATCCCAGAGAATGGTATTGTAATTGATTATAACATATCATTTGATGAGTTCTGGATTGGGAGGCAAGAAGATGGTTCCTCTACAATATATCAATGGTAGAGTTATAATATTTGAACAACCAACAGTTACTCATCAGGCTTGTGTTTGATTGGAATTAATATCATTGTTTATTCAAATATACGATATAATATTATGATTGTTGAATTGAATGGAGGTGATTATATTGATTACTACCAGTACTACTACTTTGGAACGAATCCAGCAGTAATAAGGAACTCATGCTTCTCATCGACAGCTGATTCATCCAAAGTGAAACAGTAGGCTGATGAGTCCTGGGCGAAATAGTTGTCCTTGCCAATGGGTCCAAGTACATTCTGTCCAGAGGGATCAGCAACCTTGATACAATATGAACCCTTCTCCAAATCTGGGATTCTGAATCCATTGCACTTCTTCTCTGAATCCATCACAAATGACTTCAACTCAACACCATCCTTGTTAATAAGTGTTCCAACTACTCCATTGAGTAATGGCTCAGTGGAATCATCAGCTCCATCCTATTCCAAATAAATGGGTCGAAGTTAGTCAGTATGATATGATATGATTGATTGATGGATTGATTGATTGAGTGAATGACATACCTTGTTGGTATCAACCCAGGAGTATCCGTGGACGATGAACTTGGCGGGGACCATTCCACATTTGATAGTTAGCTCTCCGTTCATGTTGACGGTGGTCTGATCCAAGGATACACATATGTTGTCATCCTTGTCAAACTTGTTATCAACGCCATTGGGTCCCAACTTGTAGCTTCCCTTTGGATCGAATATCTCGATACAATATCCATCTGGTTTCAAACCTTCAATCCTAAATCCATTGCCCTTCAACTTGCCAGATGTAATCTTGTCCTTGTCCAAGTATTCATCCCTAACCGTGCGAATATACACTGTCATTCCACTCAAGTACTTCTCATCAGGGTCATGGACACCATTCTAAGTTAAGTTTGATCAAATGATGGGGTGAGTGAGTTTGAGGTTTGAGTTTGAGTTTGTTGAATGTGTGATAACATAACATACCCTGTTACAATCAAACCATGTGAATCCACGGATGGTGTACTCTGGTAGCTCACCATCGTAGAAGTAACCTTGGGACATCGAGAAGGTACCGTTGGCATCGGTGGTCTCTTTGCTCAGCACGAAACAAAGATCTCCATCCTCGTCCAAGTATTGGTCTTTGCCAGCCTTGGTCTGGTCGTAGTGGCCAGCGGGATCACTGACGGACATACAATAGTTTCCAGCAAATAGGCCATCCATGTAGAAACCTCCATCTCGTCTGGATGCATCAGTGGTGAAGTCTGCGATAATCTTCTTCTCCTGGACTCTCTTCTTGACAGGCTTGTTGATGTTCCTTCTCCTCAATGGTGCAGTTGATGTGATGACGACCTCGCCGTTGGTGGCATCGACAAACTCCTCGGTGCTGACACTCTCATCGACGATCACCTCACTACTTGAGCCACTTTCATCGCTAAAATCAACACTGTCATCCTTTGAGTTGGAGTCTGTATGTTGACTATCATCATGGTGATCATCATCGTCATCCAAGAACTCAGTGGCCTGGCCATTAGTGTTGTCATATAGGAAGCCATGCATTCCTCCGAGGAAGCCCTCATTACCATCATCAGTACCATCCTATTTTGTTTGGTTTATAGAGTGTGTATGTGTGAGTGGAATGATTCCAAGATGATTGATTGGTGAGTTGAGATTGTTGGACTTACGTTATCTTGATCGAGGTAGGCGATCAAACGAACACTGTATGGTCCACGGAGAGGTGGGGTTGGAGTGATTGTTGGTACTGGAGTAGTGGTAGTTACGCCAGAGGTTGAAGCAGTTGATGTTCCAGTCGCAGTGGTACCAGTGGCAGTAGTTCCACTACTGGCTGATGCAGTCACTGACACTGTTGCCGGTGATGTTGCTGTGGCACTGGAGGTAGATGCAAGAGTGGCAGTAGTGCTGCCAATAGTTGATTGAGTGGATACTGTTGTTGTGGCAACTGTCTGAGGTGGAATCACAGTCGTGGAGAGTGTGGCAGTTGTACTCATAATTGTTGATTGAGTAGAGATAGTTGTTGTGGCAACTGTTTGTGGAGGTGGTGGTGCCGTTGTAGGAGTTGTTGTGGCTGGTTCACAACATGCATCGCCACTTGGATCAATTGTACAAGTGTATCCTTGTGGACAATTCCTAAAGAAACACTTATTAATGCATTGGAAAGCTACCCTTGGGTCAGGTTGGAAACAAAGAGTTCCAAAAGGGCATGATGTTTCACAGCATTGTGTAACACCTGGAAATAATTGATTGATTGGTTGATTGGTACCATGTTAGTTAATAGTCATTCCATGTCACCATGTTCAAAGGATTGGACCATACTATGCTGAGCTGAGACTACTGCCAATCCAAGGAGGATGATGGCCACGCATGGAAAGAGTCTTCCTGTCCGAGACAATATCATTGCGTTTGCGTCCAAAAGAGGGTGTTGTGATTGTTGTTGGTAGTACTCTCTCTGTCTCTGTCTCTATCAACTTTTGTAGAGTTTGTGATTGATTGATTGATTGATTGTAGTGTAGTCTTTAGTCAACCTTAATCTAAATTCATATAATACTCTCAATGAAGCTGCAGCTTGTTGGATTGATTGATTGATTGATTGTAGGTAGGTTGCTCTATGATGGATAATGGATGATGGTTTGTTAAGAATGATTACATCAACACCTTGTTTGTATGTACAGCGCCACACACATACACCTTTGTACCCATCAATATGGTTGCTGGCTGGGCTTGACTGATTGGAAGCCCACATGTTGCACAAGGAAGAGTAATAGCAGTAGCGTAGAGCACTACTAATTACATGAGACCAGTCAGTCAGTCAATCATGAAGCACCATGGTGCAACAACAACAACTGAACAATCAGCTGATGATGTGCAACACAATGCAAACAGGAAAGAATGAGGGGCAGTATCAGTGAATGGTTGATGTTGGTAACAACATACTTAGAGAGTATGTGTGTATTGTATAAGTAATTAAGTAACACTACCATTACCATTACCATTACCATGCATGGTGTGTGCTTGAATGATCATCTGATCAGTGTGTGTATGGGTGTGAACAAGTGAGTGGAAAGTGATCGAGATGGGTGGGCCTTTGATGGAGCACATTGATGGAGCATCACATTCAATCAAACAAACATTGAGTTTGTGTTCACGATTAGAATGATGCTGATGATTGATTGAATTGGATTGGCGAGGTAAGCAAGTTCGTCAACATAGACCACTTTATTGAATGTTCTCCCAGTCATCAACTGGCTCAGACTGTGCACTGTTGTTGTTGTTGTTGCCTCCAGTGTTGGAATGGTTGTAGTCAGACGACCTTGCAAGGGAACTGTTCAAGCTGTTGCGACCAGAGGACGAGCTGGTAGTGGTCGTGGTGGTGGTGGTCGTGGTTGACGTCATGTTGTTGGCGAAAGGAGAGTCCAAATAGGCGAACCTGTTGGTGAAGAAGCTGGACGTGGGGCTGGCCGTGTCAGTCCTCTTCACGGTGTTGGACTGGAGCACCTCAATCAGAGACGGATCGTCGGCGTATGGCATCACCGAGAACATGGCAACCTTGGTGTTGAGCGCGCCCTCAAAACTATGGAGGTCGTCAAAGACGACCAGCAGGTTGCTGTCATCGACCCAAAGCAACTGATACTTGTCGGCGTGCTCCTTCAAGTGTTGCTGGATGTGTTCCGACTTGATCGACAGGTCCAGGTTGTAGATGAGCAGGGTGTGCGCCTGGTACTTCTCCGTGACGATGCTGTTGAGCGAGATAGATGCGTAGCTCTGGGTGCTCTTGGTCACCGACGACAACATCATGAAGTTGAGCGACTCGGTCAACAAGGGCACGGGGATGGCCGTGAGTTTCTGTACCTTGTACAACTCAATCGTGTTGAATCCACGCTTCTCTCTTGGTCTCAGATGATAGTATCTGGCCATGTTCATGATCAAGTTGCTCTGGATTGAGTCCTTGAATGACACTGTCAACTTGCTATTGATGATGAGGATGGAGAAGGAGAGTCAGCATTATGATTGATTGATTGTATGGTTGATTGAATGAAGATAACGCAACACATACAGAACACTAGAGTTGATGAACTCATCAAAGATGGTCTCCAGTTTGCGAACACTCCTGGGAGAGGCCTTGCTGTAGAGTGTGAGCAACTCAAGTTGGCTCATGGTTGGGGGCTCGGACTCCTCGGGAGTGGCCTCTGGAGGAGCGTCCGACTTGAGACTGAGGAACAACTTGTCTCGCTTCTCCTGCTCGCATACCTCATCGCACTCCAACTCTCTCACGTTGCCATCAGCACTGATTGGCACACAGATAGTCTCGACACACCTTCTCTCGCAAGGACAGAAGATCTTGGTCTATTGTTGGTATAAGTTAGTAATCGTTGAATAAACGATTGATTGATTGTCTTTGGGTATCATACCTTTTGCTTGCAGACTTGAGCTGGACATGGCTCGCCTGGATGGCAAGGCGCTTGACATGAGTGCTCGCAAGTCTTGAGCTTGGCTCCACAGGGATAGCCGCATGAGATGTCGGCAAAGACGTCAAAGGTCTGTGGTGGGGTGCTGCTGCCGTTGCCGCTGGTCGATGGCTTCAAGCACAGGCCGTTGTGGCAGGTCCTTGGACATCGATGCACAAGACATGGGAGTGTCTTGCCGCAGGCTTTGCCACAGGACACCTCGGTCGTGTGGCACTTGATGTTCTTCCTGATCTCGTGGCCGCTGGCACAAAGCTTCTCCACGAGAACGGGGCAGGGTGGGCAGGGGCCCTGATGGCACTGATGCTGGGCAATCTCATCAGTGTGTCCACACTCACGTCGGACGGTGCATGGATGGGGGCACTGCTGCATTCTGGTGCCGCACGGAATGGGTGGCAGCATCACGGTCTTGCCGCAGCGACAGGACATCTCGTCGTAGCTGTTGAAGGGGCATGGATAGCACTTGCCCTGATGGCACAGCTGCTCGCACTTGTGCAGGCCACACTTGAGTGTGCGTCCACAGACGATCTTGCAGACATGGTTGCCCACGGGATCGTTGGTTGCCGTGGCAGGGCAACACTTGACGCCACACTCATGCTTCTTGCACGCACGCATCGCGTGGCACACGGATGAGCAGGTAAACGCCGCTGAGGACGTTGAGAGGTTGGCCTGCACCATGCCACATTGTCGGTTCTCCACCGACTTGCCACAACGACATGCCGTCCTGACCTTGACGCGGCAGGGTGGGCAGGGGCCAGAGTGACACTTCTCCTGACAGGGATGCTGGCCGCAGGGAAGAACACGCGAGCACACCTTGGGACAGGTGGGCACGGGCTCTAAACAAGACTCGCGGGGAGGTTGGGGCAGGTCGACCAGCGCGGTCTGGGAGCAGCAACAGCGGGTGACCTTGTCGGGCACGAGCTCACATGGGTCGCAAGGGCCGGTGTGGCAGGTGCGAGTGCACTTGTGCTTGCCGCAGTCCAAGAAGCGGTCACACTTGGTCTGGCACGAGAACAGACGGTCTTCCTCCTCGTTCCATGGGTCGCGGGTACCGCTGCCACATGGACGCTTCTCAAACGTCTTGCCACAGTAGCACTTCTGAGTCTCAAGCACCTGACAGGGCGAGCACTCGCCTGGATGGCATGTGTTGGCGCACTGATGGTTGCCACAGGACAGTGGCTTGTCGCAGACGTTGTCGCAGCACTTGCCCTTGTCGACCTCACCGCACATCAAGCGGTACTCTGTGCGCCGGCAGTGGCACTTCATCATGGGGCCGAGCGCCGAGCAGTTGAGGCACGGTCCGGGATGGCACAGGATGTTGCAAGTATGCGGGCAGTTGGACTTGGCGCGCAGCTTGCCACAGACCTCGCCACAGCTGTGTGGCAGGAAGTAGGGGTTGTATTGCGGGTCGCGTTGCTTGCCGCAGAAGCAGGTGGACTGGGGCTCGCCGCGCTCGACAATGTGGCGGCAGCCTGGGCACTTCCACTTGCCATCGGGCGTCGTGGACTTGGTCATCCACACCTTGATGCAGCTCTGATGGAATATCGTGGAGCAGGAGGGGCAGTTCCACACGGGAGCCGTCCTCTTGACGGCCTCATAGCACACCATGCAGTCGTAGTTGTTGCTCTGGAGCTTGTTGATGATCTGGATCGCCAGGGGTGTGTAGTCGGCTGTCTTTGTCGCATCCTTGTCGTCGAATATATACTTGGGCTGTGATGTTGACGCTGTCGTATTTCTCTTATTCCTATCTCCGTTGTTGTCGCCATTGTCTGATTGCTGCTGCTGTCTTGGCTGCTGCTGCTTCGAAGCAGCATTCTCGCGTGCCTTTGTGAACTTGTCCTTGAGTCCATTTGATTGATCCTTCTCCTTCTCCTTTCCTTCCAGTGGAGATGAATGTCCTCTTCGATCCTGCTGCTGCTGCTGCTGTCTAGGTTGCCTCTCTCCCGATGGCTTCCCTTCGCCTCTCTCTCCACCAGCGCCAGCGCCAGCTCCAGATGCTCCTCCTCTCTTGTTCGCTTGTCTCTTGTTGTTGTCTCGGTTGTTTTGATCTCTCTGAGATGATGTTGTGGATGATGAAGTGGATGTCGTGCTGTTGTTGTCTGTCTGTCTACTTGGCATGAATGGTGGGGACTTGGGGTTGAGCTTGGCTGCTCCAGCAGAGGCCTGTCTGCCGAGCATCTGCTCCTGCTGCCAGGTCAGTCCCGAGGACTGAGTCTGCGACTGTGAGGCAGTCGAGGAGGAGGAGGAAGATGGTTGGGACATGGCGCCATCAGTTGCCATGCCCTGATGATATATAAACACTTCGTTGGTCGATGGATCAAAGTCCGTCTGTTGCTGCGACTGAGTCTGCTGCTGTTGAGACTGTCTCGACTTGTTGTGTCTGCCTCTACCACTGACTCTTGGCTCAGAGGTGGCAGTCGACGATGAAGTGTTTGTTGGTGATGTAGAGTTGTTGCCGTGCTCTGAAGCAGACAAAGTGTGAACATCGATCATCTTTGTTGTTGATGGAGCCTTCCTTCTCGATGAAGGTTTTGACGGCTGCTGTGTTGTTGTTGAGGTGGTGGTAGTAGTTGTGCTTATCGTTGATGACCCGGCTGCAGGTGATGAGGCTGCAGTAGAAGTGTTGACTGTTGAAGTTGATGAGGGTGAAGTAGTACCTATGTTGTTGTTGTTAATGTTGTTGTTATTGATGACGCTGTTATTATTATTACTTCGGTTGTTATTATTATTTGTTTGATGTTGTTGTTGTTGTTGAACAACCGGTGGTGCAGTTGAATGGTCGGTATTCATTGTGTTGCGTTGTTCTATTGTTCTTCCTAAGTAGTCTCAGAGAGGAGGAAGGACGAGGTGATCACCTCGTAAGAGGTCAACGGCACGCTTGTGTTTGTATGCGGGGATGATGCGCTCGCTCGCCAATCGATTGGCTGCGTTGTAGTCCTTCTCGAATGTTTCTTTGCTCTCTCTGCTTTTGATCGTATCGTATCGTATCGTATTGCTATTGTTGTTGTTGATAGTTATGAGATATAGAGGGGTTTGCTTGATTGTCAACGGTATTTCCTCACTTTCTCCTTCTTCTTTACTTCGTTGTTTGTTTGTTGTCAAGTAATAAGATAAACAAAAAAAAGTGTGTTTGTCATCATAATCACCTCTATCTTCAATTTTTCCTAAGCTTTAGAACAAACATTGTGGTTGGAGGAAATCCATCCATTGTTGGGTGATGAACTTGAACCACAACCAACATTGATCCTAATTAATTAATTCATTGATTCAACCATTTATTCAACCTTGGTGTTGTTAATACAACTAACTTTATTTAAGTATAGGTATGGAATTATACCAAACAACCAAAAGTTATATCTTACATGTCACTCAGATAAGATAAGATAAGATGTTTACAACAACACCATAAATGTACATAAATAGTATTATGATGAGACTATTGGGAAAGGTGTTTGCACTCTTGGGCTTCCAATTCCATAGAGCTCAAACATCATGATCCAACTCATTCGATTTAGTCCATCGAACCATTTTGAAAGGATCTTTGTGTGTGGCCGATGAAATTAATTAAAGTTGGTTGAGGCTCCCAACACAAGCATCACACCCTCACAACCACATGACGATTATGAATAGATCGTACAACTAATCACTTTGAATGATCATGATTGATTGTCTGTCGGAATGAATGAATGAATCAATGACTCACTCGCTCATTCACTCAACTACTACTTCGTTGTATAAATCAAATCTACTTGTATTTTTAATCAAACATATATATAAATAACAAACAAATAATAATAACAACAACAATGACAATCACAAACATATACTTGCCAGTGACATCAAGCTTTGCTGGTGTGCTCGGCCTGTTCTACGTGTACCTCTCACTCAACGTCGTCAGATATAGGCGTGGTCTGAAGGTGTCTGTTGGCGATGGCACTGCAGAGTTGATGCGCGAGATGGCCAAGTCCGACAACAACAAGGAGATCGACTTCAAGAAGTACAAGGGTCTGGTGGCCGCCATCAGATCACACGGCAACTTTGCCGAGTTTGTGCCACTGCAGCTTGTGCTGGCCGCTCTGCTCGAGCTGCAGGGCGTCAGCTCATCCAAGCTGACCGTCCTCCTTGGACTGTTCACCGTCTCACGTGTGATCCATCCATTCTTTGGAATGTTCAAGTCCAACTTTGTTGGATGGGGACGTGTTCTCGGCACCGTCGTTACCTTTTTCACGATCGCCGGTTCAGCAATGGCCAACATCTACATTGCCCGTACCAGACTATATTAAATAAACATAACCATCATTCATTCATACTCTCATTCAATTATTCATTCATTCTATCATTCTTTCATTCTTTCAAAGTTGATTCAATAGTTCAGCCGATAACGCCCATTCGAGACACACACACACTCAGAGACAGGACCAACCCCATCCCCTCAACTTTGCGCGCAACAACCCAACACAAACAAACCATTCTACACACAAACACACCAACAACCTTTGTTTTTGAAAGAAAGAACAGATGTCCCGTTTGACCCTCTCAACTCCCCCAAGTCCACACTCTCCCATTCATTCATTCAGTCACACATTATAACAAATATTAACTGTCTTCAACTCAACTGTATTACCTTACACAACAACAACAACAACAAACAGATACAGATATATTAGATCATTGGAAAGGATCATTCATATTCATCATCTTCTCGAAAGCTGCTTCAATCAATCAAACAAAGAATCAATCAATCGAATCAAAGTACATGCAAGATGATGCATTGAGTGCGCACGTGACTGAATGATGTGTTTGGACAAAAGCTGGAAGTAGATCAGTACACAAGCAACGACAACAATCAACAATCAATCGACGCAATCAATCAATCAACGCAATATCAATCAATCAAAAATGATGGGAATACTCAATAGAAAGAAGAGGACTTCAAAGAGCAAGGACGATGAGTTGTTCGCCAGTATTAATAATAGTAATAATAGTAATAATAATAGTAATACAACAACATATACAACGACATCATCATCATCAGTTACAACATTACCAGCTATAGTACCTTTGCCTTTGAGCCCTTTCAAACCACCAGTTACATCGACGGCCACAGCAACAGCGACAGCACCACCTTCACCACCTCTAACTGCCACGACGGGACAGACATCTTCACCGCCACTCACCTCGACGCCTGCATCGTCACTCATATCAAACCACAACAACACGACAATGCCATCGACATCCCTGCGACATGCATCACCCTATCTCAAGGGTGCCTATCTCTCACCGACTCGTCTGCCGCCACATGCTCAGCAGCAGCGTGAAGAACAACAGCAACAACAGCAACAACAACAGCAACATCAACATCCTGCATTGACACACAAGCACTCGACAAATGATCTGTTACAGCAGCAGCAACTACAACAACAACAGCAACAACAGCTGATAAGCAAGTCATCCTCAATGAACAATATATCAAAGATAATGGATGGCCACGTTCTCACAAAGACCACGATGATGACGACGACCACAACAACGACGACCACCACGACCACAATGACAACGATACCGCTCACTCCTTTACAGCCGACTCTGCAGAGGATACATTCGCAGCAGCATCTGCCGTCGCTCACACCAAAGCAGCAGACGCCACCCCTCGAGCCTGTCAAGCTCAAGAAGAATGTGGCCGTCTCGATACCGTCCACCAAGCGACTGCTGGAGGGTGAGCGCTCTCGAAAGATGTCCATCGCTGCCGAGGTCGAGCTCTACTTCAAACTCAAGCAATCTGAGACGGACTTTGCACACTCACTCACCTGTGCCGTGTCGCCCTTCCAGTACCTGGACGACAAGGAGGCCAATGTAAGTAGAGTGCGGTTCTTGGGTGGCGCCTTGGTGTGTGGCGCTTCAACATCACACAATGTACTCATCCATCCATTCGTTCATACAGGATAACCTTAGTGTCGAGGACTTTAAGGTGGAGCTGAGCTTTGATGGATACACCAACTGGTATAGGGTACGTATGACCTTGGCCTCGACCCGTCAACCTACCTCTCACTCCCCTCACTCACTCAATCAATCAATCAATCAATAGGATATGAACCGTAGGGTATCACAGAAGACTATAATGATACAGGATGACAAGGATTCATCATCAGAGATAATGGAGGAGAAGGGCGGCTCAAACAATCTGCACGCATCACCAAAGTTCACACCGGTTTGGAAGAGGAAGAAGAAGGCAAATAAGGATGAGGATGTTGAGCACTTGGAATTCATGAGGCGTCATCTGCACAATGACAACAATCAACAGCAGCATCAGCAGCACGCTGTCAAGAAGAGTCCGATGCACACGCACAGCGACATGCACATTATCAACACGCACGTCAACAACATCTCGCTCTCGAACAACACAAGCAGCAGCCTCTCAATTGGCCAGTAATGGCAGCAACAACAATGGCAGCGCCAACAACAGTGCATTATCGATTGGTGGCGGCACTTCACCACATCTCAGCAGCAGCTGTGAGCGACTGCCGCCCAAGTTATTGATCGAAGCCATGTCTGGCGGACCCAACGACATTGCCTCGACGTCCAAAGAGACGTCACGCAATGACGTCGACTCTGAGTCGTACCGCAATAGTATGTCAGTAAACTCTGACCACAACTACTCGCCTGTGTTCGTCGGCGCCAATGGCTGCAGCAAGAACCCACCACGACGACTCAACAGCGTCCAGACCATAGTGCCCCAACAACAGCAGCAACAGCAGCAGCGCATATCGCCGCGCCGACTTAACTGCTCGCAGAACATGGAGGACTTGGTACTGGAGGATGCCAACAGCGTGGACACGAGCTACTACGAGGACCTCGATGGCAGTAGCTACTACGACAATCACATGATGAGCCCATTCAACAAGCAGCAGCAACAACAGATGTCAACGTCACCCAACTCAATCAAGCGAATTGGTGGCAAGATCAAGTCATTCTTTGTTGGCGGCAAGAGCAAGAACAAGGGCCCCGGCAGCAGTCCGATGATGCAGCAGAATGCAAGCGACTTACAGAGCGTTGGCATGTCACCACCATCATCATTCTCGTCGCCCTCCAATCACTTCCTGCTGCGTACACAGTCACAGTCGTCGCTGCAGAGTACACCGCGCCAGCTGGAGCTGGAGCGCAGTCCAAGCAGCCAGCAGTTCACAGGACTGCCGCCACAAGAGTACTCGGCGCTCTACTCTCTGACGCCATCGCCCCTCAATCGATCACAGTCACATGTATCACTGCATAAGCTGACAACGCCACGCTACGACAACATTCAATCAAACATGTCTCCTCGCTCTTTCAACCATTCGACAGCATCCACACCATCTGTCGGAGTCTATCCATCACCTCATCTTGTACAAGTACAACAACAACAACAACAACAACAACAGCAACTACA